AATCCGCAGTCATCCATTTGGCTTATTAAGCAGCAAAGCATCGAAATATCTAAAATATATTTATATAGGCATATAGAGCATATATAGATATATCCATATTCAATATATGAGTCCCATAGGCCCCCTCGTTGGGGAGTTATTCACTAAAAACTAAAAATCGACTGTATGTATGCGTGATGTATGAAGCCGAAATATATATCTATATATCTCCGTCGACATTCTACCCAAACCACCACCCACCCTCCATATAGATATCGATATGTATATATTTACTATATAGATGGCTTGAAATATCAATATACAAGCTGAGCATGCGATCGTAAGGGTGATACTGAGTGGTGATTAAGCAGGGAGACTAGCCATATATGGCCTAGTACTTTCCTACTTGGGCTCTAGTGCGGCTTTTGCGGCTTAATCCACGCCAATCCGCGCCGAATGCAACTCTAGTAGATGGGGTGCCACCATAGCTGCAGTGGGACGGCTATGGTAGAGGATTTTGGTATTTGAATTGGTTGGATTGTTATTAAAGAAATGGCCGGGATAGCGGAGGTGTAGCAGATAAGGTCCTCCTGATCCTTAATGCGCTTGATCTCTTGGGTGGCATGGTTTTCAAACATGGCGTTCTCCCCATCAAGGTAATTGACAAAGGTTCTCTGTTCGCGCAATCCAATTAGACATGTAGTAGCTACCCGACTACTGATACTTACAGAGGTCTTAAATCCATGGACTTCTGGGAACAAGTGGTCAAGGCTCATGGTGTCCCTAATACCGAGGACGAGAAAGCTGAAAGGATCATTGGGTCGGTGATCGCCCAAGAGTACCATGTGATGATCCAGGAAGGACTTGAATATTCATATGTGACTAATGGACTTGCATTGATCCTTCTGCGGGTCCCCTGTGACGACCCAGGCACTCTGTATTACCATCTCTGCGAACCGAATTTAGAAGTGAACCCAGAAGATGATCAGAGTTTTCTGCAGCCAGCAACGGCTATCGCTCAGGTATTGTGTCTCTGTCTGATGAGCTGGCGCTTTGGAACACAAGTTGATAGAGGCTGTAACTGTAATGAACTTCTATCTCCTCTCCAGCTTCCTGATACGAGTACCGCGCCTTGGTTGACTCAGAGCACCCAGTGCTCTGAAAGCTCCTTGTTTCCCTGAAAAAATCATGACATGAGGAGGGAGTGGGAGGCTGTTAAACGATCTCTAACAATGGCAAACCTTCCAATATCACACTAAATACTTAATGCAGATGATTATCCCCGCTACTGAGCTGTTGTATGCACCTATCATTCCTCCATCAACTGCTTTGGCGTCAGGCCACACCAGTTTCTTGAGCTCTGCCAGACTTCCTCGCCACCATCCATTGCTCGCAATACTTTTACAGTCTCAGAACCGACATTCAAAGTCGCCGCCAAGTAATGTAACGCGGTGTTTCCATCATTATCCTGCGTTCGGACATCGAGCCCGCCCCACCCCAGGAGCAGCTTGATAGTAGCCAGCTGAGCAGCCTGTTCGGCCTCCGTCATGAATATTTCTTTGAAGGGATTTCCCCGCATACCATAAGGCAACTTTGAGCCCCTAGGATATTTCAAGTGCCGCGGACTGGGCTTGAAGTGCTGCCGCCATTTGGAATCTAGTGTGCGGGCGCAGTGGATGCTGCGCTCAACTGCCGGTCTGCTCATTGCTGCATGGTTGCCGGTCAGAGGAAGTGCCGCCACATGGAGCAATGTATGGCCCAGGGATGTCTGCCCAGCCGTGGCATGGCCATCTGGGATGGAGGCTGCGATCCAAGCCAGGAAATCAGGGTCGTGCCTCGCTGTGGCAAAGTGCAGCGGATGTATATCAAACACAGGTGTGCGCAAGTGGGGTGAAAGGCGTGGATGTGCAAATAGATCACCGATGCATTCTCGAATACCTGGCTTGGCCACGTCGCATCGGGCAATGGCAAAAGAAAGCGGTGGAAGGGCCACCGTGGGCGCCACCAGGGGACGATAATTTGGACAGTAATTGTAGGTGTTGAAGAGCTTGTTCAACATTGATCGGTGGCCAGAGGCAATGGCCTGGTGCACTGGCGATGAGACTGACAATGCGGACAATGAGGCCCCACTGGGGATTTCGAGCAGGCTGTCCTCTTGGGCCTCTGTGGATGCTCGCCATGAAGAATCTTCAGCACCCGCAGTGTGCAGAATGTCAAATAATTCTTCACAACCACACTGCGCTGCAACTTCAAGGGAAGTCAGTGCAGTGTCCATGCGCAATCGTTGACCAGGTACATTTGGCTCTGTCCAGAAACGGGGGAATCCAACCCGGCGCTCATCCAGTTCGGCTGAGGTCAGCGGTGCCATTTGGCTCTCAATGCCTTTGGCCTTTGCAGTCGCAAGGAGTTCTGCCCTTGGGGGACAGCCACCAAAGCTGGAGACATCAATGCTGGCGTCACGGCCACGAATAAATCGAACAGAGTAGTCAGAAAGGTCATTGGCTGAGATCCCATTGCAATCTGCGCCCGATGCTAGAAGGAGGTTCACATTATGTGGTGACTTTGCTCGGATGGCTGCAGTCAGGGGAGACTCATAAGTACCCCACAATGCCCCTGACACACCTTCATTGGGTCCATAGTACTGTAAGACCTGTCGTTCTTTTTCTGAGAGCTGATTCCAGCGACTGTGCCCTTCTTGATAGTAGGCCATGAGAGCCTCCAGAACGGTGGGGTTGGGATTGCGCGCAGCCCGGACTGGTGCCGAGTCCCACTCCCTATCGACATCCAAGTCATCTTCGGTGAGTTGATAGGCCATGTTGGTGTGGAGAAAGGAGTAAAAGAAATCTTCGCGTGTTGCTCGGAGGGGTGACTGCTTATATATATATTTCATGGCGGGCCACGTGATACCAAGACGGCCGTCGCACCCTGATAGTAGTAACTAGCCAGGTGCCTGACCTGAGCTCTTAATTCTCGCATTTTGCTGTTATCATGCCTAATACACAGAGCAGGATACTGCCCTTACATAATTTGTATATTTTTGTTCTGTCACTAATTTCAATAAAACGCTTGGCTAGGTACTTGGTAGAATCACCGGCTTGAACCCTCATGCAGAAGCATCTCGAATAATGACCAACTGCAACTCTGAAGATAGCTTACACGCCATCATTATCATTTTGGTCATCTTCATCATCAGTCCGCTCCCCCTCAGATTCGCCTCCTGGGGTGAACTGTCGACTCTGATGATATCCGTTCCAGTCAAATAGCCGGCGTTCAGGGCAGAAACTGTTTTCATCCTGGTAGGTGCTCAACTGCCCACGGCGTGAGCCGGTGAATGTTCGCGCAGTGATAAGATCTTGTTGATGCAACCAGACGCCAAAATCAGTCAGCCACTGTCCCCATTGACTCTCCGCATCAATTGAATTATCTCCTGGGTACCAATATAGCGTGTTTTCGTCTCCTTCGTCATCAGGATCACATTCAATCAGACGAGCCCGTGCGTTGGCATTGGTGTGATCATTGCCATCTATACGCATGCGTCCTCGCCGTTGGCCATGGAACGCGACCATTGCATAGATCCCAGCGTAGTCGGTACCTTCGAAATCTACAAGATGATCGAAGTGAAAGTGGAATACCACATATTGATCGTCACTGCTTTCTCGATAGCTGTCACCGTCGCGACCACTAGGAAGTTCCCAAGCAACTAAAGACAATGAGCGCTCGTGCAATAAGCTGTGTTAAATTGGGTATATATTTACTCTCAAGGATCTGCTCTCCACGGTTTGTGTATATCAGCTGCTCGTACAGCAACTTGAACTCACCATCCATGATGGCCTGGATCATGTACGCTACAACCAGTCAGTCGAAGGATGGGGAAATGAGGGGGTGGGTAAACTTACTCCAAGTTGGCATGTACCCACCTCCACCGGGCTGTGGATCATCAAGTAGGTCAATTCGTCGAGCCCCCAGGTGGTTGGAGATGTTGGTCGATGGCGGCGAAGAAGAAAAACCCTTCACACTTCGGCGCTTCGTGCTTGCCGACGGACACCGATTGATACAGACTTCTGATCGAGCTTCCTGGTAGTCATCGACCGTATCAGAGGCCTTCTTCCCCAAGCACATCAAGCTTTGCGTCAGAGCAACAGAGTCCGTGTTGGGCCTATTGGATGTTAGAGAGTGTTTTTGTTGCCAGAGAAAGGTTGCACCTACCAGTCGGCATGATATTCGGCGATCTGATCCAGATCGAGCCCAATGTCAGCAGCGTAGGAGGTATTGTATTCTTGTGCCATTAACGTCATTTGATAAGTCCGGGCTGTGCCCGCTGCAAGGGCTGTAATCTGCATCAACAGATCAGACCAATCCGATTTGCTGAGATCATGTCTCTTGGACAGCTGAACGTTCTTCTCTTCACGCTTGGCGTTCAGCCTATCGTTCTTCCCGCATGTGGGATTCTTGGCAAAACCCTCCAGTCGCTTGGAGAAATCAGAAACCCAAGGGTCATTCTGTGGGAAATCTGTCAGCCACTGTTCATATATCTCCTCTCTTGCACTTACCGTTGTTGCAGGGGAGTCACAGCAGAAAGAACCGTATCCTGAAAGGGACATGGATTAACCAGAGGCACCAGAATATGAGTTATGGTTGCAGACCACACAGAGGGAAAACGAACCTGTTAAGCATCCCGTTGGATCAGTGGCAATCGATGCCTTTCCTGCAGGACAAGTGCCGGTACACTTGAAGGGTATCTGGCCCAAGATCTTACCGCCATGGTAATACCAATCGCAGTTCTCATACGGGGGAGGTTGGTCACAGCATAAAGACTGAAGACGTCTGTCAGCTTCTTGGGCTCCACCTAGCAGAACGTGCACCTACCTTGCTCCCTGTGAAGCATGGCTGTTCGCCTCCGGCCCCATAATTCGAGTATGTGAGTCTCTTCTGGCTATCTGGACAAGAGGCCTTGCCACCAAGCCCGGCGCAGCTCGGCGCACTTCCAGTCCATTTGCATTCAGAAACTGCTTTGTTGGCAGCTGTCTGCTCACAGCACAGGACTTTATGACCTGTCCAACAGGAAGCACCCGTACCGCTCATACTGCTGGACACTTCAACCTCACCATCATGACACTTGCCTTTACAGAATGGGGCAGTTCCCCGCCACCGACACGTTGGCATGTTGTCTGGCGGGCAGCAGTACAACCGATTTTCACCGTCTGGGCATCCTGTATTGGTTCCTGTGTTGCCCTTGTTCTTCCCATCACTTCGTTGAACAGGCTTGAGACCGCTGGGGCATTTTTTCCCACACTCTCCCAGCCGACACGACTGGACTTGATCTGTGGTGGACGTAGAGCGAGCCGACAGCGCAAGTGCAGAGCGGCCAGTGAGTTTGGAAAGTGCCGCAGAGGCTGTTCCCTTGGAATCATCCTGGGAAGTCGCCCACACCATGGTGCCTCCCAGGCAATGGTCGTTAGCGTAGTCCAATTTGAGCTTCAATGTCTCGCTATCATCGTAGCTGACCCATTGGTCTCCACCCCATGTGACCAAATTCACTGCTGCTTTGTGATCAAGCTCCACCTCAGCTCCATTCTCTATTACCTTCTCAATTTCTGCATAGGATAAAGTTCCCACTGAGCCTGTGCAGTCACCAGCATTTCCTCCAGCAGAGAAGATACAGCCAGGCTTCTTACAGCCAGGATCCTGAAGAGTAAATGATCGACCATAGAAACCAAGACCCAAGACAACTTTCTCTGGATCGATGTCATTCCGCCACAATAGCTCGAGCGAGGTGTTGATCTCAGTCAGGTTGGTGTGAGCCCGAACATAGGGCCCTGTCCACTGGTTGTCATTATCCCAGGTGCCGTGAAGGTCATATGACATGATATTAAACCAGTCAACAATCTTCTCCATGTTTGCAATATCAAAATGCCGGAGGTACCAGTAAGAGGTAGGAACCTGTAACAAAACAACACATGGCTTAGTTACGCCTTCATGCGTATTTGAATGGGGCTCCGTACTGTGATGGTTAATCCATATTTTTTCCCGCTTGAACTCAAATGGTCTCGTAGATTCTGCAAAAGGGAGGTGAAGTTATCAAAGTCTTCTTCTCTGCCCGAGCGTTCCTCGGCGACAGGGTACTCCCTGTGTGATGTAGATTAGCAGACAAACCAGTTATAATGGTGACAGGGAGAATAGCATACCAGTCAAGATCCACACCGTCAAAATTGTAGGTTTCCATGAAAGAAAGAAGGGAAGCAAAAAACTTCTTCTGTGCAGATTTTGACGCCGCCAGGTCAGAAAAGGTGGTGGCTGTTGGCTGATCTGCATCATTCATGCTCCAGCCTCCAATGGATATCCAAGTTTGTAGGTCCGGGTAGAGGCTTTTCAGTCCTGTGAAGCGCTTATAGAGCTCTGGGTCACCCTCATTCATGGGCGCCACCTTGAAGGTCAATGGATCCTACATACATTGTTAGTGATGGCATTCAATGAGACAGGTCTTCAATGATAACATTACAATAAAGGCAAATGCGAAGTTTAGATGTGTATAGGATCCAATAGGAATAGCTTTGAGGGAGGTTAGTACGGTCATTCTCTCTGCATGAAGAAAATAATGGGACCCTACCTTCAGGATATACTCTATCACAGTTGCGACTGAGACTCCAAGATTCATAGTAACCGATGGTTCTTTTGGACGAGCTAGAGCCACCATCACAGCTTGGAGCTGTGACAGTTTTGTTGCCACAAAACTCCTCTGTGGTACCACAGAAGCCAAACTCGGAGCAGCACACATTCAGCGGGCACTTGTCGGCTTTTGACCACTATTTCTAGTGAGCTAAGCACACAGAATAGCCTTACAGCATCTATGAGCTCACCTTGGTACCCCATCCTGGGTTACATTCGGCTTTGCGATCACAATTGGAGATGCAAGTTTCCCCGCAAAAATCAGGACCATAGCCACAGACTCCAGTGCTAGAACAGCATCCTATCTCGCAGGGCTTGGAGGCGCTGCATGTGTAGTCCTGTGCAACAGATATACTCACAAAGAAAGTAAAAAGTAAGCAAAAGAGTGAATATATGTCCATAATGGAGGAAAGAAAGAGTGAAACTGATCAGAGGGTTTGCTGAGCCAGTCTGCCCAGGTGCAGTTGCTTGATTGATATATCACATCATTCAACCTTGCCAGTCTTTTGACTCTTATCAATGTTTGCTACTGCTTCAGGTGAACGAATATGGAACTTTGATCGGTCATTTCCGGTATGTTAGAATCCACCTAATACAGGGCAACCATTTTGGTCAAGTCCAAGCAGTTCTAGATCTGGTCACAATGACTGAGCGAAATTTTCCAAGTGGATAAAACAAAGTCATGTTGTCCGGAAGGAATCCAAGCCCTGGACCCTAAATTTTGGGGTTTAATTTTGTTATACGAAGGCCCGCTTCATTAATCCTGTCTGATTCGACATATTAAGATGCTATGCCAGAATCGTTTGAGCATTACATATGACTTGCCTTAACCTGATTGAGTCTAGCTAGCAAAAGTCTCAGGTGATTGACATTTTGAGTAAAAAATTCTGCCCATGCACACTTCATAAAAATTTGATGGGTAGTGACAAGCAGTGGTACCCTGTGCATTTGATTTATGTTTTCTGAGACATTATTCTTGGCAGGGACCTTTTAGGCTCTCTTCCAATGCAGCTAAAAGGCTCGTATTGTTACATCACCTCTTTTAGTCTGTATAGTTAACTAATGGAGTCGACTTTAGTTTTAGTTTCCGGTGGGTCCGAGTTCATTTCGGGGAAATGCAGGTAGTACTCCGACATGCCAGGAACTTCAAAATCCTCCATTACAGACTCGCGCCGAGACGTTATACTTAACAGCTGACATAGAAGGATGTTCATCAGTGGGATTCAAAGGCTTACTACTAGATTTCTTCTTGGGATTGAAAGGCCGATCTCGGCGTCGCTCCAACCACCTTCTCTTGTTCATCTTGTTGTATACCTGGTAGAAGCCAATGAAGTCGTCTCTACTGAGATTTGTGGCCTTGGTAGCTGCTCCCGTGGCAGCAGAGATCCAGATCTACAAGTACGGCCTCAATTCAACAGCAACCTTGTCTAATGGCTGCACTGAGGCGCTTAAGGGCGCACTGAATTGCGACCCATATCTGCAATCTTTGGCCGCGATCGACTACTATGGGCCTGTTGGCAACAACACATTACAGGATGCACTATGTGCTGCTTCATGTGGCTCATCACTATCAGAATACCATGATAGTGTCCATAAAGCGTGTGCAAATGATCCCCAGCCATGGGATGGCATCCCAGCCTTCTGGGTAGGCGATATTATCTGGGCCACCTACAATCGCACCTGTCTGAAAGATGAGACTAGTGGAGAATATTGCACCAGTAAGTATTGCAATCTCAGTCCGGAACTATTGATAACATGATAATACAGATGAGATTGGGGACATTCAGGAGTCTCTGGGAGACGCTGACATGCCATTGACCTCGCTCTCAAAAGACCGCTTGTGCTCTACTTGTCTTCTTGCTCTGATTAAGCAAATGCAGGATACAGCCTACTCCAACTACGATGCGAAACTTGCCGTTGATTGGGCTGAGATTCAGAAGACTTGTGGCACAGGCGCACTGCCCACTGAGGTGCAACCCCCAGCGACCAACATGACATCTATTCCCGGTGTTGATCACTCCAATCCGGACAATGCTACTTGTTTATCAGACAACTACTACACTGTGAAGTCGGGCGACAATGCCCAAGCCATTGCCGAGGCCCAAGGAGTCTCCACTGGAATGTTGAAGATCCTGAACGACATATTTCCAGACGGGACGAACCTGCTCGTGGACCAGGTCTTGTATGTAATAACTGAGAAATATAGTCCCATGTGCTGACAAGAGCCTCGCTTAGGTGTCTTCCCAGGAAATGTAATGTCTACAAAGTACAGGATGGTGACACCTGCTCCTCCATTGCATCCTCCCAGCGAATCTCAGTGACAGACCTGCTCAAATACAATCCCACACTGAACAGCGCATGCTCGAACCTCATCATTAGCAGCAATATTTGTATTGGTCCCTCTGGGACGCAGTACACACCCACAACCATTGCAGGGGCGACTGCTACCAAGACAAACCAATACGCCACAGCGACAGTCTCTCCTGACAGTACTACTGCCGGCGGGACCACTGACAAGTGTGGAAAATACCACAAGGTCTCTGCTGGAGACACCTGTGAGCAGATCTCGCTCAAGTACTCAATCAGTGTTGATCTCTTTTTGGCCATCAATCCATCAGCCGGTAAGGGGTGCTCCTTTTTGTCGCCTGGTATTGAGTACTGTGTCTTTCCCATGCAGAATTGGAATGCTACAACAGGTTCGAACATGACCACATCGACCTACATCACAGCACCGGGTCCAACTCCCACTGGATCGACTTCCAAATGCTACTCCTGGTGCGTTTTGGATCCAACAAACCATGATTTCAGTTATTACTAACACAGATCCTTTAGGCATACCGTTGAAGAAGGCGACAATTGCGCAAAACTCGAGGCCATCTATGGAGTCTCCTTCGGCGAATTGCAAGCTTGGAACCCTCAGATTAACTCAATCTGCTCTAATCTTCTGCTTGACGCCGCGTAAGTAGAGTGCACCAGTCCTCTTCTCAGCTCATTGTTTACATCTTCTTCTCTAGTTACTGCGTCAAAGGGGGCTCTATGACAGCACCTAGCTCCACACCCGCCTCGTCAACACCCACATCGAGCGGTGCTCCCCCAGGCCCTACTCAATCCGGCATTGCGGGAAATTGCAACAGTTGGGTAATGCAGAAAGATGGTAAGCATCCTCTTAGTACCCGACTCATCCACTCATAGCTGATACTTCTTTTTCTCGCCTCCAGGCATCTACTGCGCCGACATGGCTGACAATGCTGGAATCACAATCGACGAACTTTACAAGTGGAATCCTGCCCTAAATGGCGACTGCTCTGGGCTCTGGCCGAACTACGCATACTGTGTGGGCGTCTCTACATAGAAATTGAGTAGCTCTACAGAGCTGCAAACCCAGTGAGTCTAAGATGCGGAGGACGATGAATGTCATTCCAATTGTGGCTTAAGGCTTTCTTACTGCATTGCACTTATTGGATTTATCTTTTATTACAGCGCTATAACCGAGGATTGATTGGTAATGCGAGAGCACCTTGGCAAGGGCGGACAAAGTAAAACTGGGCATGGACAAGGCAAATGTGCGAATTAGCAGAAGGATTAGCATCCACTGATTTGCCGATGAAGTAGACCGATGTGATGAAATCGATTGGTTTAGTGTTTCTGTACAAATATTCCGCAGGATCTATTAGACCTCGCCCAGACCCTCAAGAGGGTCCCTACTTTGGACCCTCAACCCTCTCCGAGTCTCGTGCGGGTGACCCTCACAGACCCTTATAGACCCTTATTTTCACAAAATTTCACAAAATTTCATAAAATTCCCACGCTTTACCTGATTTGTATGCATAAAAATGGTGATCTAACCTAATATAGTAATGTTTGATTTGTTTGATGACCCGCGGGTTACCCGCGGGTGAGGGCGAGGTCTAGGATCTATGCACTGATCTCAGAGTCATTTGCCTTGAGTTGATTGTTGTAATGGCATTTTATCCGAGCTCTACAGTGATTGCGGCACAGTGTACTTACCCCAGAGATAGTGACTACAAGCTTTAGGCTATCCAAAATCGGGTGATGTTATCGGTTGCAATGTATGTCATGTTTTTCATTGTTGCAAATCCCGTGCAGAGCACGAGATGCCCCTGGCCTTGATTCGTCTGATTCATATTTGCCTAGTGAGGGCCAGGGCATTTCATGGGAAAATTTAAGATGGACTTGCAGAGATACAAGGAAGTAATGGTATTGGGTACTCATCAATCGTATCTAGACACAAACAGAACCAAACCAACTGAAATGATCCAGGAAAGGATCTAATGACCACCGGTTGTCGGGAGACCAAGGAAGACCTTGAACGAATCATAGCTGTGCTGTGTTAGCGTATTACTTGCCAGGCAGAATCAGGGCAACTTACATCAACCACTGGAAGCCGGTCAAAGTTCCCAGCATCAGGATACGGACTGTCAGACCATTCCACAGACCAGGGAACCCGATGCTTCCGTAAATTCGCGAAACCGCAGTCATTGCAGATTCGCCAGCTTATCAGATTAGCCATCATTCAGCATAAAAACAAAGAGGAGAATTGCTCACCCTTCCGATCCGCATTCAACTTGCTGACCATCACATCGGCCGGATGACTGATAACGGCACAGAAGATACCAGCGATATAACCACCTGCGAAACTAATACCCGTCTGCTGCAGTCCACTGCAGTTCTCCTTCTCCTTACCCAATGACTTATAGATCCGATTCACCGTCTCCTCAAATGTCGCAAACTTGGTCATGGTGTAGGGGATCTGTCGCGCCCACAGCGGATATAATCCCTTGTACAACCCACCCATTCCTTCCTTAGCGACCAGCTTGCTCCATCCCTCGCGCAGGTTCTGGGCGTACGGTGGTAACGTGGTCTGCATGCGCACTTTTATCGCCTCCCAGGGACAAAGAGCCATATCGGCGAAGAACTCGGCCGAGGCACTGGCGCCCAGGTGTACGAGGGTGCGGTTCGTGTTGGGGAAGAGGTTGTCTCCGTACAGGTACTTGAAGTATTCATAGAATCCGTATTTGCCGGCACCTTGGAAGGAATATCCGACGAATGTCGGGGACCAACCGAAGATGACACCGCGCAATCCTTCTTTGGCGTAGATTGTACGCCATGCGGAGATGTTGGATTTGTAGATACTGGCATCAACCTGGCGACGACATTTTACCAGATCGAGCGGAGTGACGGCCGTGTGAGTCGGTCCTATACATCACGGGTTTAATATAAACGATACGATAACAATCGACGGGCGCAACCTACCACAAGCTTATCGCGAACATCCGTTAGCCTTGGGTTAATCCACTTGGGGGAGAGAATACTTACCAACCACCCCTCCTAATGCGCAACTCCAAAAGTATTTAGCCGAGTTGGGCTCAATTTTTCCAAAAGGAAGCTTCCGGTCTTGCTGTGTTGCCATGGTTCTTCTCTGAAATATGTGCGATGGAATGCAAATCGCAGCGCTGACTTCTTATATACGCAAGCTGAAGAAAGGAACCGGATTCGGATGTCGTCAGAGATGCAATGCGCTCCACTGTGCAACGACACGATAGTACTTGATAAGGTAATATCCCTGTATCGGGGTCCGATCAAAGGCGCTCAATTGGAGTTATGCACACTGCTGATTATTTGTATGTGTTATTGTTTGTCTCATCAATGCCGGGATTATCGTTATCTCGAGAAGCTTGTTTTGTTGCGCGAGAGAGTATCTATATCCATGACGTCATTATATCCGACATGCCGGAGTACTCCTAAAGGACGGATAGAAGGTGCCGAGGGATCTTTTTGTGCTTGATTTATGATTCTGTCTTAGTCAATCAGCCGGTATCCGGTCCTGTGGGTGCCGGCATATCTGCCGTGAGAGGATCGGTTCTTAGAACAACTTGGGATAAATGAAGAGAAACGAAATGATAATCTCTCATTAAAGTTGTATCTGTTACTCAGACAGACATAAATCGGCATAACTTTTGTGTCTTTTACTCTCCGCTCCATCCCGTTTCAACCACCTCCAGTCAACATCTCAAGACTGGAGATAAGAGAGATACTTCTGCATCAGCTCGCCATCCAAGATTGGAAACTGAAGCTCTCCAGGGTAACTCTTCAGAGCTCTATTCGTGTTGCTGGTCTCATATAATGGCATATTCTCGTAGAGCTCCCACCGCGTGAGTCCCTGATGCACCTTCTCGGTCAGCATGGGCTGCAAAGGGCGCAGTCGCTCTGGAGACTTCTCCATCAAAATCTCAATCCATTCTCGATAAGGAATGCCTTTCCCACCAGCGTCAGCGGAATTCGATGAACTGGCAAGCTCCATCGAGTCATTCATGTCGATTGAAGCGGCGCGATTCGGAGGAACAATGTGATACGCATGGCACAAGCCAGAATCGGCAGGTAGCGAGGCTATATGCAAGATGACGGCGTTGACATAGTCAACAGGGACGAATTCTTTGCGCTGATTTGGAAGCAATGGATAGCTTCCTAATTCGGCACACGCATGGACCAGACGACTGAAGAAGTCATCTGGGTTGCAGGCGCCGGTCTGAGTGTGTCCGGTGATGAACCCTGGTCGGTAGACGGCGATGGGATAGTTACGCTTGATGAGTCTCTGCAGCATGTTCTCCACAACCCATTGACTTTGCGCGTATCCATGGTCATATGGGAGGGCATTGAGGTGCTTTAACAACGATTCGTCTTCCGTGACACTTTGGACTCCATTTATGAACCCCGTCGGCCCGAAGCAGGATATACTGGAGACATAGTGCAATGCCTTTGTTCGGCCAGTAAATGCGAGACGAAGTATATTCGCTGTTCCCACCACATTGGCCGGGCGATGGAGAGAATATGGCTGCGTGTAATTGACTCGTGCTCCCAGATGGAAGATAACGCTGGTCCAGTTTGCAAACTTCTCGAAGCATTCCAGCGATCCCAGACCCAAGTTCTCGTCCTCGAGGGTACCGCATATTGGCAGCAACTTGTGCACAAACCAATCCTCCCACAAATTATACTTGGTTAGCGCGCGTTGAAGACGCTTCAAGCCAGTTGTTGGGTCTGCAGCCCGTACCAGACAGCCAATCTGGCGCACATTTTGCAAATGCAAAAGGTCAGCCAGAAAGAATGCACCAACGAAACCCGTGCCACCTGTCAAAAAGACACGTCCTTCAGTCTTGTGTTGCCAGTCGACCACAGGGCCTGGTAGCGGGCCAAATCCGTCTGCCATATTGCTATCCTCCAGCCATACATCCTGCTCAAAGGATACTGTTCGAGTGGTACCACCCTGGCTTTCTTCAATGGCAGCAATCAGCTTCGCAAGGCTGGAATTATCGTACAAGGTCAAAAGCGAAACTTCCGCATCGAAAGTGCGGCGTATCTGGTTGATAAGGAAGGCCGCCTGTAGTGAGGTGGCTCCGAGAAGGAAAAAGTCTGCATCATAATCTTTGGCAGACACTGGAAGACCAAGGATATATGACCATAAGCGAGCGAGTCGCTGATAGTTGTCCCCAGATTTCTCATCTTTGCCGTTGATGTGTCGCTCGGTCCAACGATCTTGATACAACTGCGGGAGACGTTTTCGGGCTACCTTAGCATGGTTGTCGAGAGGAATTTGTGGAATAATTTCAATACTGGGAATCATGTAGTCTGGCAAAACGGCTTTCAACGAATCGACAGCATTAAACACTGCGTGATGTTTGGACCCTGGGGCCAGCGTTGCAAAGGCAATCAATACCGACCCTGCTGCTTCGCCGGGTACTGCATCGACCTTTAACGCGACAACCTGTGAAAATTGACCCGTCTTCAACATTGCCGCTTCAACTGCATCAAGTTCAATCCGGAAACCACGAATTTTAACTTGATGATCACGGCGCCCTACGTAGTCAATCTGGTCGTCTGTCACCCTTCGCCGGACAATATCACCTGTTCGGTACAACCGTCCATGTTTATTACTGACAAAGGAGGCTGCATTCTTGTCTGGTTGGTTTATGTATCCCGGCGACACTCCCGCGCCACCAATCAACAATTCACCTTCCTCCCCAACTGGGACCAACTCGCCAGATTCATCACAGATGTATGCGAGAGTGCGGCCAATTGGTTTTCCGATACTGACCTTTCCTGCCTGGGCGTCATCCATGGTGACTCGATGAGCCAAGCAGAAAATGCAACATTCTGTCGGACCGTATGCGTTGATGAGGTTAGCCGGCGGGCCCTCGGCCAGAATCGTCTTGATTGCAGTCGCGTTGGCCGCTTCTCCACCAATGAAGCAAATTCGCAGTTTTGAGAAAGCTTTGGGGTATGTTGATGCTGCTAGGTTCAGAATTGCAGTGGTTGTGGCCATGACGGTGATATTGAAGCGATCAATGTGGGCCGCCATGACCGGTAAATCTAGCAAAACATTCTTTTTCAGAACCACAATGCTAGCTCCACGCAACAGTGGTGCCCAGATATCAAAGAGGGAGACGTCGAAACTGGAGTTGTTGACATGGGCGACTGTATCTGTCGGTAGGACAGGCTCGAAGGGTGCGTGGAATACCACCTGTAGGATGGAACGGGCCGCTATTTGAACTGCCTTTGGCTCGCTTGTCGTACCGGAAGTATGAATTATGTGAGTCCTGTGTTCGAGGTCGGTCGTGACGAGAAGATCTGTATTCCAAACCGACAATGTTTTGTCTGGCAGCGTGAACCAGTCGTCAATGACTAGCTGTTGAAACGGGAGGCTTCGCTGGGCATTGGCCTTGTCGACTAATATGTATCTCGTTTGCAGTTTCTGCAATCGAATTTGAATTTGGAGATCCGGTAACGTTGGATCCATAGGGACACAACTCCCACCGGCATAGAGGATGGCAATCTGGGCCACGATGTCTGCAAATCCATGCTGCACAATAATTCCCACCGGCTCTTCCAATGTGGACGTTCTATATCGAAGCTCCCGAGCGAGCGTGGCGGCTCTTGAATGCAACTCTTCATAAGTTAGGGTGATCTCTCCGTCGACGACTGCCACTGACGAAGGACTCTGAAGGACTTGGGAACGGAAGATCTGAGCGAGCCCTTCGTCCCGGCTCACGGCCGAATCATACTCCTCCGCGTTGGGTAACGCTTCAGACGTCATTCGTCTGGAGATCGAAGTATTGAAGGCGGATAGTGACATGGTTTCAAAAGGTGCAGGAAGAAGATGATCTGGTCAATGTACGCGACAATCCCACTTGGATAGATCGCGGTATAATATGAAGCTCTATTGCTTACAGCCTCTTGTAAATGCCGGTAAGTCTGGGGAAAGAGGCCGACTATTGCGCAATCCAGCAGGTAGGGCTTATTTGAAATCAGCCCGGAATCCAAGCTATCTTCCGAATTTAATACGTGGGTGATGCATGGAAATGCCAAACCAGGAAAGCCCAACAGCCCGATCCTTCTCGGGCTATTCGGATGTAACCGAGACGAAGCCCTCTTTTGAATTTACCCATTCCATGCTGTACTTCTGACAAGGGCTCTCGAACTGTTACATGTCTGCGTTTCACTGCGCTATCATATGATTGACAGCTGCAAGGCCTGGAAGGGCTCAAAATGGGGTGAATGGCGGGGCTTTAGGGCACTTGCTTCTATCGAAGCGTTAATGCTGGACATTATCTTCTATTTAACTGGGCTGGATCTTGCTCGGTTGAGTTGTCGACTTTACAGTCTAGAAACATACAATTCCAACTACAACCGTCGCAATGAGTGCTGCAAAGATTATCACTGTTATCGGAGCTACCGGCAACCAAGGAGGATCGGTTGCTCGATCTCTACTCCAGAACGCGGAGTTTAAAGTCCGTGCAATCACTCGAAACCCTAACTCCGAGGCTAGTCAGAAATTGACCACCTTGGGAGCTGAGGTGGTCCGAGCCGACGGCTTCAACAGCGATGAGATTCTAGCTGCGCTCCAAGGGTCATGGGGGGCGTTTGTGAACCTTAACTCGGATGACAAGGTATGCTATTTATTACCTTATGCGTTATCTTCATTGATAAGGCGAGAAATGACGACTGGAAAAAGGGTTTGACAAACCCAGACGGACCTAACGAGTTCGATCTGGGCAAGTCGATTATCGATGCGGCTGCTGCGGCTGGTGTTCAGCATCTTGTCTTCAGCTCTGGGCCTAACTGCACGGAGTTGACTAATGGAAAGGTGAACATGAAGGCTATGAACTGTAAGTTTTTTTCTTAATCAACAGAAGCCTTTTAATATATACTAAACCTAGTATAGCGAAGTATCAAATTGAGCAATATGCCAAGCAGCTGGGCTCCTTCCAGAGCGTCGTTCCCATCGGCGCAGGATGGTTCCTCGAGAACTTCCTAGCCAAGGAAGTCGCCCCTGTCTTCGGCGGATTCCCTCATTTCCCCAATAGCGAGGGCATCCTAGCCTTCCGCACCCCCAAATGGGGCGGCGAAGAAAACGTCCCCTGGCTTAGCGTCACCGAAGACTTCGGCGATATTATTCACGGCATCTTCCTCGCCCCGGAGAAATGGAACAACCGCTTCGTCCACGGAGTCAGCGACCCAGGAAGCTTCCAATACCTCGTTGAAAGCTTCGAGGCCGCCACGGGACGCAAGTCACGTTTCGAGCCAGTCCTTCCGACGTGGGAGGCGTTTGACACGCACGACATTCCGGAGCTGGAGGACGTCAAGCTCATGTTTGGTTTCGCGCAGGAGACCGGTGGTTGGTATTTCTCGGAACCTACCGAGAAGGAGACGGCGAGGGAGCTGAAACGTGCCACGGCGGTGGCGTTGGGACGACCTGCGGAGCAGCAGGAGTTGGTTTCGGTGAAGGAGTGGTTTGCGACGAGATTTGCGCTGGTGTGATTGTGCTGGTAGTAGTGGAACAGAGTAACTCTGTACTATGTTGTGTTCTGTACTTCGTGGAACATAGTGAAGCAGGCTGAAGCTGTTGATCAACGTTAGACAATACAGTCGTTACCGTCGCCATTCCAATCCACGCTTTATGTAACTACATATGCATGCCTATACACACCGGATTGGCGGATTCAATTCCCCATCTGAATAGTCACATGTGCAGGTCAGGCTATGGCTGTGAGAAACATGCTAGTCGATACTGTTGTATTCATAGCTGTGTATGCGATGATGATGGTGATAGAGGTCAGAGGAGAGGTCTCACTCTATTGGCATAATCAGTGTGGGCTTGCTAGCACCGCCAATCAGAGCAGGACATCTTGGAGCCTGAGGTTCTCCAACACCCTCCCTCCCAATGCACTGTAACTAGTAGTTAAAACAAGCTATCTATTATAGTTACATGGTTGTAGTCATACAAGTAATGTGTGCTTTCATCCCTTTCTTGTTTTTCTCTGTGCCTGCTTCCTTCCCAATCAGTTCTTATTCATCTGGTTTCTTCAAGCTGAGGTGTTCAATAAATGTCAACTACGATGCTCGGTGGGATGCCATAGGCACTATTCGGAGGGAATAGAGGAAGAACTTTAATTGAGAAAACTGTTGATTGTAAGGCCTATTTATAAACAATCTGGCGGCCATCATCTGTAACGGCATGAACCACCTAACTATATAAGTGAGCGCAGTACTAAGCCTGTCGGCTTAGTATCCTAGTCTTTTGCTCCTGACGCAGCGGTTATCTCTCTGGAATGCACCCTAGATGAGTGGCCGTGACATCATCTAGCTAACTACTAACTAAAGGAAAGTCATTATGAAAAAAAGTTCAAAGAGACAAAGAGAATATAAAGTGCATAATGCATATATGCATTGGCCATAGTAAAAGGATGCTGGCTGCATAGCCATAGTCCTTGTGACGGTTCAACGCCAGACAAACAGCACCAACATGTCAAACGACGCCATACAAGCAATATGGGCAAACAAGGGCTTAAGCCGCAGCACACACAAATGCCTATAAAGACCGTTCATCGCCCAGATTGATTTCCTTTTCTTCTTCTTCCCCAGATTCGATATTCTCGTCGTTGGCTACAATAGTTTAGATAGGAATTCAGATCGTTAATATCTACTATTCCGAGCCCATGACAGTCCCCTGATCCTATCTGCCAGGAGAACTGGACTTTTAACTGACTTTTTATCACATAGAACCTGTACCTAGCATTATCCTCATTCAACTTGTTGGCAGAAAAGGAGTATATCTTGATACTGTCATGGGCTCGGACTAGTAGATATTGACGAAATGATATTCCTATCTAAACTAGTACAGCCATCAACGAGAATATCAAATCTGGAGAGAAAAAGAAGAAGAAAGGAAGCCGTCTGGCAAGACAAAGGAAAACTATCTACCCATCGTGCGATCACGTGTGATGGAGCTATCGCTTGTCGTTTGCTCATATTGCCCTGTTGGCAGCGTTTGCCATTACCAGCAGTTGGTCGTTAGTCGTTGACCATCACAGTCATTTTCTGGATTCACTTCTAAGTTTAGTTCACAGAGATGGTAACACAGGGTACCTGGGTCCTTATAGGGGACTTACAAAAGGACCAATGTAAACCCATTGATCACATATGAATACTCTAATCCTTCTTGTATCATCACATGGTACTACTGGGTGATCACAGAGCCTGTGAGCCTTTTTGAATTCTCCTTCTCAGTACTCAGTAGTGGGGACATTACGGATCTTGGCCACCTTTTCCCAGAAATCTATAGACTTTAGTCTGTCGCAAAGACTCTCAACAGGTGGCTTGTGGGGTGGCTTGTACTTGACTGTGGTGAGAAGAGTGCTAGTGCTGTTGTTAATGCGGTGTATGTAAAACTGACCAGGCCTGGAAGAGTTGGATCTTGATGGTTGGTTTGTTTGTGAATCAAGGCTGTTGGTATGGTTGTCAAACTGGACTCCATCACCCAAGTGGAATTTGTCTCAAGCAGCAGGTATCTTGCAAAGCTCTGTGATTATGTCCTGTACATGATCTTCCACAGCAGATGGCTCAGATTTCTCCTTTTCGCTGCTTATCGGTCTCTTTTCGGTAGCGGTGGATCACTGAAAGACAATACGCTAACTTTGTGTTTAAGGTAATATTTAAGCGCCTTTAGGGTAAGTTAGAGGGTGAGTGAGATCCTTCTATCTTGAAGGATAAATGGGGAGTGCAAGAACTGGTATAGGGAGGAATTTGGATTTATTGATAGTGCTAATACAATGTTTTAATTGTCTATAAACATTACACATCCATGTCAATGCTGTAATCCCTACACTTCTTGCTGTATAGCGCCGCCATAGCCTAACCAATCCATGTAATGTCTTGACTGAGCTTCAAAAAGAACATGCCCAGGTGTCACGGGCTCGGAATAGCAGATAATATTGAATCAAAGTTCCTATCTAAACTATTGTAGCCATCGACGAGAATCTCGAATCTGGAGAACGGAATCTATCTAGAGGAAGGAGAGGGTATTTATCTGGGCGCGGAGTTGATCTATCACATAGGTGTTGGGCCGTCACACCAGGCACTCCAGACACACACACACACACACACACACACACACACGAGATAGAACCTTATGGGCATTGCATTAGAGTACTAATCGCTGATGTTCGAAATCCGAATTACGTACATGAATGCATAGGTAATGCATAAGTCCGCTATGCTCAGAAATAGATGAATAGATGATCCAGGGAGAACGCCAAGGTACCCGAATACATGCCATTTATGCCAATGTTTTTCTTCATAATCTACAGAGTATCCTTCTCAGATCATTAGAAGTAATGCGGGGTTTTTTTTTTCTTTTTTTTTTTCTTTTTTTTTTTCTTTTTCTTTTTCTTTTTCTTTTTCTTTTTGGGGGTGAGATCACTAGCCTTGTCAATCAACCTAAAAATTGTGCAAAATTGTGCAACCCTTAGCTGGCATACACTCAACCCCATGCATAAGTCGGCATCAAGATCAGTTTTGTGCGCCGCTTTTTCCGGTGTTATAGTCATTATGAACATTGTTCAGGCTCCATGGCAGGTCTATCAGGAGTATATATAGATGCTCACATACCACCAGTAGTAGCTTTCTGGTTATAGAACGTTCTCTTTCGTTGAAAATACCCCTTGGACAGCAGATTCTTATTGACTATTTGTCTCTTAAAAGACCTTCTTCTTTCCCAAAGCAACTTTTCCTCTCATCTTTATATCACCGGCACGATGGGCTCCTCAGGCTTGCGTAAGCAGCTCTTGTGCCAGATCCTCGATGAGACGGCAGACCGAAAACCGGACCAGTTATTCTGCATTCATCCCATCTCCTCCAACATATCACAGGGATGGCGCAGGGTGACAATGGCAGATTTGGCTGGCGCTGTGAACTATACCGCATGGTGGATTGAGAGAACCATCGGCCGGGGCAACCCATCCGAGCCGTTGGCGTATATGGGCGCAAGAGATCTCCGTTACGCCACTTTTGCTTTCGCATGCATGAAGACCGGGCATTCAGTAAGTGGTTGTCTGTATCCTGTGTACTGTCGCCTCGGATCTTCTGATCAAATCACAGGTGCTCTTCCCCTCTCCCAGAAATTCCGAGACGGCGTTTCTGCATGTCCTCAATGCAACAAAATCTTCCAAGTTTTTCTTCAGCGCAGACCAGCGGAAAGTCGTTGAAGAAATTCAGCAGGCCAATAAAAACTTGCAGTCGTGGGAGGTTCCCGGTCTGTGGGAAATGTTCGACAAGAAGGTCGATTGCTATCCTTCTGTCAAACAATACGCGGATGTCGAGGACGAGGCACCAATCATCATCCATAGCTCGGGCACAACCGGTCAGTCCAATATCTTTCTAGGAAACCCAACGCTCTTGGCTAATTTTGCGTAGGATTTCCCAAGCCAGTTTACTTGACTAACGGATTCTGGTCTGTTATGGATAATAACTCGGAGCTACCTATTCCTGAAGGAAGGAAAGGATCTCCGGTGAGCACTGTGAAGCCAGGAGGGCTCTTATTTATGATGGCCCCTTTCTTCCATTTGATGGGTCTTGTTTGTTTTGTTGAATCCATCTGCCACAACACCCCCTTTGTCTTGAGCCCAGAGAAGCCGATGACGGTCGAGTTGCTCGCTCGGATCATTGATGAAACCCACCCTGTAACCAGCCTGCTTACACCCTCTGTCATAGAGGACATTGGATCATCCTCAAAGGGCATGGACCTGTTGAGAAGATTTGAGGTGATTTTCTTCGGCGGTGCACCACTGTCTCCGAAGATTGGTGATATATTGTGTCAGGATGTTATGTTGCAGACCATTCTTGGCACCAGCGAAGCTGGATTTGTTGCAAGCCTGGCGCCCGCGGACATGAATGATTGGGCATGGTTTGAGTGGAATCCGTATGTTGGCATCAATATGCAATATGCTGTAGATGGAGCATACGAGTTGGTGCTCCGCAGGACTGAAACCCGCGATTATAATGCCATTTTCCACACGTACCCTGAGCTCAAGGAGTATCGGACCAAAGACCTTTTTGTTCCACACCCGACGAAGGCTGGTCTGTGGCGGTACCAGGGACGATTTGATGATGTGATCGTGCTCAGCAATGGTGAGAAATTCAACCCCATTGAAATGGAACAAGTCATCGAGGGACACCCGCTGGTGTCCAAAGCGCTCATCGTCGGCCAAGGAAGATTTCAATCAGCACTTCTTGTCGAGCCAAACTGGCACAAATGGGCTGAGACTCAGGCCGAAGGCTTGCTCATCGACAAGATCTGGTCAAGTGTGCAGGAGGCGAATATCATTGCGCCGGGTCATGGTCAGGTGCTGAAAACGAAGATTGGCGTAGCCTCCAAGGACAAGCCGTTCAAGAAAACCCCGAAAGGCTCGACTCAACGCCGACTCGTGATCAATGACTACACGGAGGAGATCGATGCGATATATGACCGCCCAGATGAAGAGTACATAGATGAGGTTCCCCAAGACGCTACTCTTGAGGACATCACCAAGTATGTCCAGCAAGCGGTATCCCGCTTGCTCTCAGTCGAGCAAGTACCGGAGAAGAGCGATATTTTCTCCATGGGCCTTGACTCGCTCCAGACACTTCAGCTGTCTAAGATCCTGCAAGGGGCCATTCGTTTTCTTCGACCGGAGGATGCTTTGCTGTCGATCCCTACCCAGAAGCTGTACTCGTATCCATCCGTTGACCAGCTCTCGAACTACGTCTACAGCCTCGTAAACGACGGGAGTGCTGGCACCGACCTGGACGCCGAGGACGATTCAGCAAGATCCGAAAGAATTGCCGCCCTCATTGAGAAATACACCAAGGATCTGCCAGAAAATCAGGCCAGCAAATTCAACCGGGACCGCAAACACGTAGCCATTTTAACTGGCTCAACCGGCTCTCTGGGCAACTACATCCTCAGCGAACTGACCTTCGACCCGACCGTCTCCAAGATCTACTGTCTGAACCGGTCCGAAGATGCTGAAGCCCGGCAAGTCCGCAGTTTCAAGGAAAAGGGCCTCGCGATCCCGTCCGATTTTTCCTCGCGGGTTGAATTCCTGCAGGCCCGATTTGGCGCGGAGAAGTTCGGACTTTCCGGCTCCAAATACAAGGAACTCACGGAGTCGGTTGACACCATTATCCACAATGCCTGGAAAGTCAACTTCAACCACAAGGTTGAGGCGTTCGAGGACACGCACATCAAGGGTGTCCGACGGCTGGTCGACTTCAGTCTGGAGAGCACGCACTCAGCACACATCCACTTCATCTCATCTGTGTCGACCGTTGGTGGCTGGACCTGGAAGCACGGCCCGTCGGTGCCTGAGTTCCCACTGGAGGATCCTGACGTCGCGTTGCGACAAGGATACGGAGAGTCTAAATTCGTTTCCGAACGGATCTGTGCGATCGCTTCAGCTCATTCCGGTGTGCCCACGAGCTTGTACCGTGTTGGACAGATTGCTGGGGTGACCACGGAGAAGGGCGTCTGGAACAAACAAGAGTGGCTGCCTTCGATTGTAGCCACCTCCAAGACCCTCAAGAAGATCCCCAAGGATCTCGGCTCGATGCCGGTGGACTGGATACCAGTAGTATGTGTCTATCCTCTATCACCCCCTTCCCATATCCCGACCTCTTTGTCGTATAGTATAGAATATAGGCTGACCGGATGTACAGGACTCTCTCGCTAGAATCATTGTCGATGTCACGCGATCTCGACGAGAGACTGACATCGCCAGCCGCACTGCAGCCTACAACCTGGTCAACCCATCGTCATCGTCTTGGAGCTTACTGATCCCCCCGGCCCAGGCCCGGTACGCGGTCGAGCCGGTCGAGTTCGGTCAGTGGCTGGCCACCCTTGAGGCCTTCACCAACCCCACCGAGACCGATTTTCAAGACAAGCCGGCGCTCAAGATCCTGGACTTCTACCGTGGCTTGCATGGCGGGCACGGCGAGGGCCTGGGTGCGCCCCTGCAGACGGCACAGACGCAGGCCGCCAGCGAGACGATGCGGACCTTGAGCCCGGTGAATGCGGCCCTGATGGAAAACTGGCTGAAGCAGTGGAACTTTTGAATGTAGACCATACCAATATAGATTTAGCATATAGACCAAGTCTTTAGTAGTATGATGAGCGCAATGCGTGGGGTACTACCCATCCAATCAAGCATACTTGCCTACTCAAAGGTGATGAGCCCTTCAACAACCAACCACCCTGGCTCCCGGTTTGACTTTCTACAAACCCACGCAACGGGAAATGGCGAATGAGATACCGTAGATCCATCAAAACCTGTCTATATAGAGCTTGAGAACCGTGTAAATCATTGTCAATCGGGTCCCGTAGCATAACTGGTAGTGTAGTGTGCTCATATCGCTGTGACCTATGGTTTAGTGACACAACCTTCGAGGTTCGAAGCCTCGCGGGTCCGACTTTTTTTTTTTTTTTTTTTTTTTTTTTTTTTTTTTGATATTTTTGTCTGGGATAGGGTATGGTCGGTTATAAGCCTGCGTGTTCAGTGAGCCAGACAGAAGCCAGATACAGATCCTAACATAAAAATATGGTGCTGCACAAACCTTCTCATTAACTCTCCTCTGCTCTAGTAAAAAATAACATATATCTTGGATTGCGGTGACATGCTCTTGAGTACTCCCCATAGTAAATCAACACCATTACATCTACAGAATAGGCTAGCTACCCCATAAACTGAAACTCCAAAATACTCAACGAACTCCCATCCGGCGTAACACACCCCCTAAACACCAACCTCTCCTCAATCTCCCCAAACAACCTCTCAAAATCCCCCACCGACCTCTCCCTCCCCCCCAACAACCCAAACATAGTAACATCCATCTGCCGGATAATCTGCTCCATATACCTGTTTATCTTCTGCTCACCGGCACCAACGCTAGGAACGACGTGGTCAACGATGAGGATCCGTGCACCGGGTTTCAGCGCAGGGAGGAGATTACGGATGATGTCGCGGGCTTTGTCGTCGGGCCAGTCGTGCAGGATGAAGCGGAGAATGTAGACGTCTGCGATTGTCGGCTGGGGGTGGAAGAAGTCATGTTCTTTGAAGGTTATGGAGGGGTTGTACTTTGGTGGGAGGAGGGGGGCGGAGGTTGCGACGACGCGCGACTGGTCTTGGATTGTGGCGGTTATGTGCGGGTAGGTGTTTATTATTGTCATGCAGAGGTGGCCTTCGTTTCCGCCGACCTGCGTTTTGCATTAGAATTTGCGTTGATTGTCGGAGATGTAGGGAGCGGGGAGGGGCTTACATCGACAACAGTCTTGACCTTGGACCAATCAAACCCCCTAACCACATGCTCGCACGCATGGACAGAAACCGTCTCCGTACTCGCCATGGCATTATTAAACCGCATCTCGTCCTCCGGATGTAACGCATGATAATCCCACATCGTCCCGCGCGGCTCCCCGCGCTCTTCCATAGCAACGCTAAGCCCCGTCTTCGTATTATTCCTCCCCGTAGGATCCAATTGCAGCGCCTCGTACATCTTGATCCCGCCGGGAGCTCCCACGATTACATTCCAGAGGGCGCTGTCGCGCATGTTGTGGTCGCGCGCGGTGGCTGCTGAGAGGGCATTGTGGCGGATAAGGCCTGGTTCTGGTTCGGTGAGGAAGCCGGTTGAGATGGCGTAGCGGATTAGGCGGGTTAGGAGGTCGATGTCGATGAAGGTTAGTTGTGAGAGGGTTTGCAGGGAGACGGCGCTACCGATGGGGATGTGCTCCGGGATGCGAAGGCGGAGGAGGGTTGCGATTGTGCCTAGTTCGAAGCCCTGTTTGTCCATGATTAACACACTGTGCTATATACCGGGGGGGTTGAATGGCATACCTTCATGGTGACATGGTCCAAAGTCTCGGACGGCCCGCTCGCGAGCCGGAAAAGAGTCAATGCTGCGGAGAGCAGCTCAAACCGAGCACGAGAGCCCTCTGGACTCAGTAGGGGAAATGAACTCGGAAAGGTCTCATCATCTAGTGGTGGGAGTTCTTTGCTTCCAAGTTCCTCGTCAACCACAGTGGCATTGGACGCAATGATGCTGGCGAGATCTGACAGCGTGTGCTGCTCGGACGGAGACGGAGCGGCCATGATTGATTTTCCTAATTGCTGGATATTCGATAGATCGATGGAGAGAAACAGAATTGAGATGTTATTTGACCGTACTCAACGAGACTATCTGAAACCCCGCCGAGGCTCAAGATGGGCTGTGTCACCGTCGACATGTTGTAGTACGAGGTACATATGGCGTATCAAGGACAAGGAATATGCGAGTGTTACTTTACCCCGAGAGGTAAATCCCTCAAGCAGTTGGAAAGCAAAATGGTGTATGGATTGCCGTAGGAAGTTCCAGACTTGTGCAACTGCCCGGAACAGATCGGAATAGAACGTAGCCCAGACGTGGTTCTCTTTAAAGCTTCGACAAGACTTGTACGTGACTTCCTGACGGGAGAATGTTGGGCGATGGGTGTTTAGAGAGCGCACTATCACATGGCTGTACCATAATCGGCTCTTATTGGTTTAATGGGCGCTGCCGGACTCCGAGAAACGTTGTAGCTTATCCTATAGCTGTCTTTGAAGGGCGTTGATGTCGGCATGGGAGTTGGGTCAATAAAGCACCAAAGCACTTCGAGGTGGCGCTGAAGACACCGTAGACCAAGGCGAATTCCGAATCAACAAAAACGTCTTCTTTCATGTGCCCAACTCATAAAAACGACTCCAAGGGCGACTCAAACTGAAATCCCAGGTCTCCCGGGGTATAATCCGCCAACTTAAACGCCATCTTAATCCCCAACACAGACCCAACCCTCATTAGTGCGTCCCGAATCAGCTGCGCCTGCTCCAGCGTCGCCAATCCACACGCCAGCACATACCACAGCGGCCACAACAGACTATACCCATGAAACGCGCGAATCCTCGGTTTACCCCCATCCAATGGAGTTGGCGCATTCCCTAATGTGTCGATGTCGCCGAGAGAGAAGGGGATGCTGCGACAGACGTCCGCAATCATGTCTTGGATTACTTCGAGGACTGCGTCGTCGTCCGGGAAGGGACCGAGAAAGTGCGCGCGGATGCGGCGCAGTTCGAGCATGAGGCGTTGCAGGACGATGCGGATGGCGCGGTAGAAGTTCCAGATGACTGAAAGAAATAAAATTTGGTAGGTGATTAGTGGTTCGCCGGTAGGACCGTGGACGACAAGCGGGAGCCAATCGTTGGGTAGAGTCTGGCTCCATTCAGAGAGCTCTGAGTCCAGGGCGGTTCCGGTATCAATCCAGGTAAACAATTGCACGGCGTCCACGTTCTCGGGCGTTGCTTGTGCTGAGGTGGCTTCCATGAAGATCTGGCTGACTTTTGACGCTGCTGAAATCAGTCGATGTACGGGGTCTGAGGTATCCAGTCCCTCAACGATCCAATCGGTGCTAAAACGGGGTTTTTCTCCCAGTGCTAGGATCTCAGAGTGTGTATGTGTATAGGCAAAATTAAACAAGTCCCTCCCGCGTTGATACCCAAACTGGCTCGCCCCTCTCAACTTCATCAGTAGTTCAAACCCCGCCCGATGCGAGCTAGAAAGCCCATTCCGCTCTCCAGCAATATCCTCAAACAACGATAAAAGCGCCAGTGTTGCAAGGGATTCGTCTTTGACGGCTTGGGTCCGCGACTCAAGTGCCTGTCGAAGTCCCCGAAGTGCCTTTCCGTAATTGCTTCTTGCCTTCACGGTCAACCAAGGCACTTTGGATTCATTTCCAAGCGCCATACAAGCAGTTGCGTCGACCGCTTGTCGTAGACATAACGACGCAGAGCCTTCGTGTGTTTCTTGTTCGCGACAGTACGCGTACAGGGAGGGGAGAAAGCCTAGATGGCTTACTCCAATCGTTAACCCGCTATTCGTCCCATCGTATGTCGTGTATTGATCGAAAAAATAGCAAATTGCGCGCTCTTCCCATGTGGAATCGGCAATTTTATACAACGAGAGTGATGGTTCCCGTTGGCTGCCCATATCAATGCTGCCGGTGCGAGCAGCCTTTACACTCTGAGACGTCTCCGGAATCTTCCAGGTAATGACTTGGCCCCCAGGCTGAGGCTGAATTTCAGAAGGCGGAGAAGAAGAATTTTTCCTCACCAGTTTCTCAACCTTGTGCGTCTCATTCCGGAAAATTGTGTCTGACCGATATCCCGGACAGGGTTTCCCATACACCGAGCAGTTGCGGCATCCCGGTTGGCCTTCGTCGCACTATGTATCGGTCAGCAAGTCACACAAAATCCAGGGAAGGAACATAATTAGATCTATATAAGCTCTGGCTGTTGCCTTGCATTAAAGCAATGGATCTTACCTTGATCTTCCGTTTGCGACACAAGTGGCATCCCGTGCTCGGCTTTCCCCCATATACCATGTTTCAAACGAATTCTTTATAAATCTCTTCAAGTCTGTGTCTGCCTGCTAGGTTCTATTCCCGATTCCCCGGTCTCATAAACTCAGAACCGTCGACGGGTTCTTAAACGTTGCTCTCTGCTGTATGTCGAGGCGAAAAGCACATCGACATGGTGGACGCAACAGCAGTGGTATGCAGTTGATACCTCCTGGTATTCGCCTTCTGCTTGATGCGATAAAGGCTCTATCAGGAATGTAGCAGATCGACCGCGGCTCATGAGGAACTCCTCGGGATTCGCCCCTAAATCGTGCGGAGATTCGATAGAGTGCTTACTAAGCATTATGGCATCCTTTTTGGGAAAATACAAAATTTATGCCATCACATTCGATTATACGGGGTGCAGTGATGGCTCTATATTCAGTCTATCTGTCTGCTAAATATGGGCGACTAGCCAAGGCTGAACACGACGGCCTGTCTATAATTCTGCTGCTCTTGCAATGCTTGTTCCAGGGTCAACAAGACGCGAGTGGTACGGACATGCAATTCTGGACGAGACTCGTAGTTAGCTTCAACCGGAAAACAACAAGACGGGGGAGAAATACCCTCAATATCCACATCATAACTGACCGGCGCCTCATCGCGATGAATGAGAATCGCAGCCTGTCCCGGTCGTCTCTTTTCCCTCACGCGCATCCTTAGCCCGACATTCTCACCCTGGTCTACCCATAGGATATCAGGATCCGTTCTCTGTGACTGCTCTCTCAGCCATTTTCTAAACAACCAGGCCACACTTTCCTTCACTGTCACCGCACTCAGCAGGCGGTTGCTACCCGGCATGACCTTAACCAGATTTACCATGACACACAGTTGTGAGAAATCCTCTGCGTCTTCGATATGCACTGCTCGCTTGACGGTAAGATCGTCAGGATCGAGGCCGTTCTCGAACGGGACTAATCGAGACCCATTCGTTCTTTCCTCGACCGTGACCTCAGGCCGGAACCGGGAATACAGCGACGTGAGTCTTCCCAGCTTTTGTGCTTCCTCGACATTCTCATATAACGAGCCCTCTCCTTCATGTTTATCGCTCAGACCATCGGTGCCCAGGTATTTGCAGAAGACGTGCGGTTCGGTGAGTTTGGAGGCGGGATGGAAGCACTCGAGGATGAGCTTGTATTCTTTCAGCGAGGCAGCCACTAGCAGTCGGTAATGGAGGATACGGAGGACTAGAGCGCGAAAGCGATGCGAGACTTTTGCCAACGGAAGAACATCGCGGGTGCAAAACGGGGTGAGGATTTGCACAAAGACCTGGACTGTCAATATCTCTTTTTTGGCCAAGAAATATAGAGCATAAATACCTCATTTGGAAGTGAGTAGAGATGAAGCGGCATATTGCTTTGTTATGGATTCCTTCTGTTGAGCGTTGAAACCATATCGACCCCGCGAACTGACGTCAAGCGGGGAGCGGAGTATAGTACAAAATGAGCATTCAAGGAGTAGACTCTCCATTCTCAACATTGAATCGAATTGTTTAACGGGTGGCCATGATCGTATATTTTGGAGACTTTGCACCAAGTTTTCTAACAGCCAGGCCTCGATTATATTTCTCGTGCATCCATCTCGCTGACTGCACAGAGCTCTTATCTCATACATGGATCTATGAAATCCACTACCTACTACACATCATCACAATCCGTCGTCGCTACCAAATCCTTCCACAAATCAAACTCCTCGCGATTCCTCTCAAGAGCCGCACCTATAGCATGCACGGCATCATTCCCCAGCGCCAATCGAGGAGGAAGGCTCCGGCCCTGGCAACGCCCAGTCCCCGTCAATGCCTCAATAATAACTTGCGCCCCCTTAACCGGGTCGCCAGGCTGTCGCTGATTATACTCCTTCAGCACCTCACCAGCCCGCTTCGTCACACTCTCCAACTCTTCAATATGCCCCTCAGCCGGCACCTTATTCCCACCATCACCAACTAAAACATTGGTACGGAAATACCCCGGCTCAATGCATGTCGTCTGGATACCGAACTCAGCCAATTCCCCGCGCAACGCCTCGGTGTAGATGGCGATTGCGGCCTTGCTAGCGCAGTATAGACCTCCGGTTGGAGCGCCGGACCAGCCACCTACTGAGCCTAGGTTTGCGATGACGCCGGATTTTTGGGCGCGCATGCTGGGGAGGACTGCGCGGAGGACACGGAATTGGCTGAAGACGTTGACGTCGAAGTGAGCTTTTACTTCTTCGTCGCTGTTTCTTATTAGCCTCGCATATAGGTGAAAGGGCAAGGGCGATGAATACCTGCACTCCTCAATAGCACCCTCGAGGATATATCCAGCATTGTTGACCAGTATATCAATCCGTCCAACTACGGAAAGGATCTCCTGGACACAAGCCTGAATCTCTTGGTCGCTGGAACTGACTTCTAGTTGTCAGGGGATGATTTTGCCGTTGTCCGTCTCTTTGAGGTCCTCTAACTTGGATGGATTGCGGGTCCCAGCAACCACCGTGTCACCGAAATTCGCAGCGGCTATAGCGATTTGTTTGCCAAAGCCAGAGGAGCAGCCGGTGATGAGCCATACGCGTGCTATGGTGTCTTTCCAACTATATATGAGATAAATAAAGTCAAAAGAGGTGTATCAAACGAGATACAAGAAGAGAGTAAATTGGTTTATATAGCCGCAAGCCCGCATACAACAGACCATTTTCTACCTCTGCATGGTATAGCTCTTTGTACGCACATGCACGGGGATTACCGGATTCAAGCCTAACCCCGTCATATACGAGGTGATCTACCCCATCCTTGGCTTGAAAAAGAAAACATATGAACCTTTTGGTATTCCAAAGAGCAGGTATGTTTCCTCATCTCCTCGAATGTGACGCCCCGGGACCAACGCCGGTAGACGCAATGAAGAGAAGTAAGTATTCATGTTTTTCATAAATATGCCAAGTCAATGAGAAATATATCGACTTCACGTGGTGGTAGTGTAGCGGGGTATTCCGACCCTGACACTGGAGAAATCCCCGCGGCTTGCCGTCTTCACTCGGCTCTATCTCCGGACCCCACTATTATTCCCCGGAGCTCCAGAGTCGCTTCTTTAAAAGCGCTGCCCGTCAAAAATTTCTCCCTCTCTACAATACAAGACAGCATATCACTTTGCCATGGCTGAAAACGTGCTGGACGACATCTCCCACCGCAGATACAACCCTCTGCGGGGTTCCTACATCTTGGTGTCTCCCCACCGAACCAAGAGACCCTGGCAGTAAGCCTACCATTAATCCCCGCGCAACGAGAGAAAACAACTAACACAACGCAGAGGACAGCAGGAGAGCCCCTCCAAGAACACCCTCCCCAACTACGATCCTAGCTGCTACCTGTGCCCCGGCAACAAGCGCGCCCAGGGCGACTCCAACCCCAAGTACGAGAGCACCTTTATCTTCGTGAACGACTACAGCGCCGTCAAGGAGGAGCAGGCACCTTACAACCCGGATGATGCCGGTGGTACGCTAGCCCTCTTTTGCGTCTTTTACTTGATAGCTAACTTGGCAGACCTCGAGTCCATGTTCCTAAGAGCAGAACCGGTTACCGGAAAATGTTACGTCCTTACCTTCTCCGCAGCGCATAACCTCACCCTGGCCGATCTGTCGCCCGCGGAAATCGCCCCCGTCATCGAAGCCTGGACCGAGCTCTACACGTCGCACCTCTCGCCCAAGTCGCCGCTGGCTGCCATCGCCCCGGCCACCACGCTGCCTCCCAACTCGCCTACAACCAACTTGACCAAACCCAAGGAACAATACCGGTATATGCAGATATTTGAGAACAAAGGCGCTGCGATGGGCTGCTCGAACCCACACCCGCACGGACAAGTCTGGACAACCAGCTCGCTGCCGGAAGAACCCGCGATGGAACTGGAGCAGTTGCAGAAGTACCGGCGCGAGCGCGGCGGTAAGCACATGTTGGAGGACTATGCGGCGCTGGAGAGCAAGAAGCAGGAGCGTGTGGTTTTCGAGAACGAAGCGTTCCTGGTGGTGTGTCCGTGGTGGGCGACATGGCCGTTTGAGACTATGATTGTGAGCAAGAAGCATAAGCGTGCGCTGGTGGATCTGGACGTGAACGAGAAAGGCCAGTTGGCTGAGGCTATTGCTGAGATTACCCGGCGGTACGATAACCTGTTCGAGACGAGCTTCCCGTACAGTATGGGTATTCACCAGGCGCCGCTTGATGGTACGGAAGAGGAGGTTGAGGCGTCGTATTTGCATTTGCACTTTTATCCGCCATTGCTGCGGAGTGCTACCGTGCGGAAGTTCTTGGTCGGGTAAGTTCCTTTCACCGTTTGCTGAAACCTTTTGTGGGATATATGCTGACTGTGCAGATATGAAATGATGGGCGAGCCGCAACGGGATATTACTCCCGAGCAAGCCGCTGCCAGGTTACGGAATTGCGGAGGAGAGCTGTACAGGAGGAAGCTGGATAGTTGAACTCGATAGGATAAACAAATATCAGTTAACACCAATGGGTATTATATCCTCCTCTTCTCAGTCATCGTGGACCACGATTAAGCAGCAAGATACCCCTCCCTCTGCGTCAACATCCACACCAAACTCGAACTGGCCACAATCAACGGCGCAACAAACCTCCCCCTAAGCTCCGCACTCCCAAACCCCAACCACTCCCCCACAAAATGCATCAGCGCAATCCCAAAGCTCCACGCCGCCAGATCGTAAGCCACCGGCGTCGTAATGTTGTACGCCGCGTATCCGCGGACAATCGAGGAGAGGAAGGTCCAGGTGCCGAAGGTGCGGGAGGCGAGGGCGTTGGTGTGGGATTGGCCAGAGGGGGTTTTGGCGTTGTAGAGCTGGGCTGCGTAGGAGGGGGAGCGGTAGGCTTGGAGGCTGTTTGCGGTTGAGATTACGGAGACCTGGTTTCGTTAGTGGTGAGGTGGTTGTTTATGGCCGGGTCGTGGTGGAATAGCGTACGAGGAATAGCCACTTGGGCAGGAGGCCCTCGAAGGGGGGGAGGTAAGAGAGGAGGTCGGCCATGTTGGTTGAGAAGTGTTTCAGTTGAATGAGTACAGAGTACCCTGAGAACACAGTATGGTTAGTGCAGCACCTTGAGGACAAGCTCCCCGTAAGCCGAGGTGACATGGCACGTGCGCCAATCCCCCAACATTTTGGCGTCGGCTCAACTTTTCTGCCACGACTCCTCTCTGTCTACTAAACATCCCCCATCTCAATTGTTCACAAACAGACAATGGAGTTCCTGTCCAAATACTCGGACTGTCTGTCCAACTGGCAGTTCAGTGTGGCCCCTGGCCCGCAGGCTGTGGCTGCGCTTGGGCTGCTGTCTACCGGTGCTTTCTACATTGTCTGGAAGGCGTTGACGTTTATTCGCGTTATTCTTAGTCTTTTTGTGCTTCCTGGAAAGCCGGTATGTTATTCACCGCCAATTGGATATTTAAAGGCATCGTGACTGATGGTTAACTCGACTGCAGCTCCGCTCGTTCGGTCCCCAAGGCAGCTGGGCCGTGATCACCGGAGCATCCGATGGCCTAGGAAAAGAATTCGCACTCCAACTCGCCCGTTCCGGCTTCAACATCCTCCTCGTCTCCCGCACTGCCTCGAAACTAGCCACCCTGGAAGATGAAATCAAAGCCAAGAACCCCTCCGTACAAACCAAGAGCGTGTCAATGGACTACGCCCGGAACAACGACGCCGACTTCGAGAACCTCAAGGCCGCCATCGACGAACTCGACGTCGCTGTCCTGATCAACAATGTCGGAAAGTCCCACAGTATCCCCGTCCCCTTCGCTCTCACCCCGGAGGATGAAATGAACGACATCATCACCATCAACTGCACAGGCACCCTGCGCACCACGCAACTCGTCGTCCCGGGAATGGCCCAGCGCAAGCGCGGCTTGGTCCTGACCATGGGCTCCTTCGGCGGTCTCCTCCCCACCCCTCTCCTGGCAACGTACTCTGGCAGCAAGGCCTTCCTGCAGCAGTGGTCGACCGCTCTGGGCGCGGAACTGGAACAGCACGGTATCACGGTGGAACTCGTGCAGGCGTATCTGATCACATCGGCCATGTCGAAGGTGCGCAAGACCAGCGCGACGATCCCGGACCCCCGTGCGTTTGTCAAGTCTGTCCTGGGTAAGATTGGACGGAATGGTGGATCGCCGGGGTATGCGTATAGCTCGTCGCCGTACTGGAGTCATGGGTTGATGGCGTGGTTTTTGACCTGCGTTGCAGGCGTTATGAATAAGACTGTGCTTGGGCAGAATAAGGGCATGCATGAGTCGATTCGGACGCGGGCGTTGCGCAAGGCGGAGCGCGAGAAGGGGAAGAAGGCTACTTAGGTGTGGGCAGGTGCAGGTGCCATATGGTACTAGTACATGTGATGAGTGGAAGTTACGACAATGACCGATTAATAGGTTAGAATGGTTGAATGTATTCTAGCTAATATGTGACGTTACTCTACCAATAAATGCCAGACATTGATGAAGCAACAATTCAACCACAGTAATTGGAAAGAGATGGATCCATGACACTCAGTGATTGACCATGAGATGATGGTACTACAAATCCCCCACCCAACAAGCCAAGTAAGACGGGTATACATATATAAGAGGAATCAAGAGGAGTCAAGGACATCACACTAAGTGAATACCATCCATAAAATGCTTCCTGTCATTGGAGTGGTTCCGTGTCTGCCACATAGCTAGAGTGAATACACTGCTGTAGTAAGGAAATCTCTCATCTCTCACAGGGAGTCCACCCATCCAGTGCTATTTCATCCATGAGAGGTTATAAGCCCTCGTCTCTGCCATAAGAACATCATAAGAACCAAATCCTTACGTTTACAACATTTTCAACATGTTCTACAAAGCATTCTACAATTTACAGTGCTTCTTTCCATATTATCTCCACAGAGATTCAGGTGGAAGTACTCGGTAGAATAGCATACTGCAGAAACCACGGTCACGCGCGGACCCAATGTTAAATGGCAACCTGACGCATTTAAAGAGATGCACTGCGCGCCAACAAGTTTTCTGAATTGACATTGTTGTTGCTTGTGTCGTTGTCCGTTGAGGGATAGTCGAGTGGTGGGTTGGTTGTATGTAAGTATATACATTCCAGCCCCGCTTGCATTAACTGAACGAAATCAGAAGTTTGAGACTGCAAAGTTGCAGGGACCATTGCTGTTGTCAGGGAGCTGTCAAACATGTTCACCTCTTCTCCTTCGGGTATCATGTTTGTACCTTGAACCGGGGTTGCCTGAGGTGTGCTGGAAATCTCTACCTGCGCCGAGGCTGCTCCTGCTTGGTCTCTGTAATCTGCATGTGATGGAGGATTGGTTCCTGTCATGTCTGTGTCTTCGCAAAAATCAGGGAAAAAAGCGAGAAACATATCTCTCTTCACAGCGAAACTTGTTAGACTATGCCGTCGAGAGTCATTTGGGAAACAGTATACATTGTGAAAGAACAGATACTTCTGATCTGAGAAGAATGTCTCAATGTCTGTCATCCCGCACCGCTTTTGGAGTGACCAATCGTCCTCTATGTCGAGGGAAAGGGAAGGAACTGGTGCCTCAACTCTATGCTCCTTGATTTGTGAAAGCACATTTGCGACATAGCTGCTACACTCAGCCGGGATGGACGGGTTATACTCAAAGAGTCCAGGGGGGCGAAGGCGAGTTAGGAAGGTATGGACAGCTGTGAATTCTGGCGGGTGATGTGTTGGCCTGGAGAGATTATGGCCCGGCAGAACAAAGCCAAGCGAAAGGGCGAATTTCTTGAAGCGGTTCCACAGTTCCTGGGGGTCATGCGGTTTTCTTGGCTTGGTGTAGCGGCTGTGGCCAAGGGGTCGTGCCTCTGATACGCCATAAAAATGGCGCATGGCAAAGAGGAATATCTGACGATAAGCAGACCAAAATCCGTACTTCTGATTTCCGTGCTCGCGCTCTTCAAAGCTATTTTCAGAAATCTGAATTGGAAACCTTTGGTCTCGAGGAGTCACATAGTATCGTCGCATTGTTTGTCTGATAGTTCCCTTGAAATTACACGACAATAAATTTTTCACCACATGTACCATGGGTCGGAGATATTTTGTATTCTCCAGGAAGAGCTTTAAGGAAGATATGACTGTTGGATAATCCAATGCAGCCCGTTGTAGCTGTAAACGAACGTGAGGGTCCGTCGTACGGGAGAATGCTAGGTTCTGATCGAAAATGTAATTGATATGCCAGCGGTCTGCTTCTGATAAATAAGGGCATCGTCCTTCCATAAGCTCAACAGTCTCAGGGTCCAGCAAATCAGACTGCTGGCACGTAAGGAGGGTCCATGCGGAATAGACGTGACTGAGGTATTCCGCGAGTTCCTAGGTCCGTTAGTACTATGGAGACTTCTATGGGGGCTATGAGTATTCAAACCTCAGGACATTGCAGACTTAGGAGATGGGTTCCCATAAGCCAGGGGGGGCATAATGCTGGAAATAGAAGGAGCGCATCCAAATTTTCACGGAAACTGCGGTGGTTGTCCACCTTGGGTTGATAGATCTGCTTAAAGTCGCGACATTTTGTTGGTGTCCATCTTGCTAGCCATTCGCCCGCAGGGTCGGTCTCCCCCCGTTTCTGGTAATATCGAACATTACGATATATATCTCCGTCACTGAACTCCTGGGAAATGCATTCCGCTTCACGCAGTTTTCTGCGGGCATCAGTAGTCAACTTTGTGGAGTCATATAGGATGAGATTCCACCACAGCTCATCTGGGCTGAGCCATATTGTTGCTGCTGCAAGCCGATGCTGCCCCTGGAAACAGCGCACTGTGCAGCCCGACTGCAACTTCAATTCTGTTGGGTTTTCTCTGGTCAAACGTTCCACTGAACTTATGGTCATCAATTGCTGAAGTTCGGACGGCGACACCTCTGCAGTTATCCAAGTCAACGGGTCAGAGCGACGGCATCCCTCATTGTTGAAGCGATGGAGAAGGCGTCGAATATTTCCTTGATTAAGGGATCGAGCTCCGCACACATCTAAACTTTCGAAAAGTAACTGGTCAAGTTGGTAAACTTTTACAGTGCCAATCAGGGCCGCATCCAACTGCTGCGCAATTTCAAGGTCCTTAGCCGCCATGACGAAAAGTTTGAAGATAACTGAATGTTCTAACTTGAGAGCATAGGAAAACCATTGCCCTTTGTACCCGCTTATGCGCACCCTGCGTTGGGCCATGATAAAGACTCATGCAGAAATTGTGGCCCTTACTCTTGGAAGGTGAGGTAGATTTCCTCAGTAGAGATGGTTTTCTTTGCCTTTTTTTTGGCTCCTTATGGGCTACAGTGTGCCTTACTATTGGTGTGAGTACATAATTTGGGGAGGATTGTTCAGACCAAACACACCCCCCCCCCCCCCCCAAAAAAAAAAGATACCTTTAACAAACATGATTAGCCACTCGAAGTCATAGCCTGCGAAGTCGCTTTTGACCCCAGATATCATTACTGGACACATCACATGGCGGCTGCATCATAAGTCTTCGAGCGCCACGACCATGGTTTTCGGGTAATTGCTACAAATTCCAATAGCCACCAGTCTGCGAATTATAGCTCTGGTGACTATAAATAAAAGTCAGCGTCTACTAAAACATATGATAGAGAACACTTTAGCTGAATGGGGAAAGGAGATACTTTATCTTGTAAAGACCAAAGCTTAGTGCCTTCGGCTTCGTAGTATCTACCATTAAAATCCAAGGATTCTGAACTTAAATCACCGGCGGCAATACCCTGAGTCCTTTTAAAAAATGTGGCTTGGCATGAATATATGTACTCGTTGATTGCTAAGGGCACCAAAGCGATATCTGCCTGGGAGTCCATTTCTATATCACCTTTACAACCTGCAGAACCAACAAAAAATGGCCACTCTTATGCGAGGAAATGCCGGGCCTTATGAGATAATTGACTGGGTTGAACAGTCAAAAGTAGCTATTGGTAAGGATTGTCATCTCCCAATTTCACAACATTGCTACTTATTGACGGAATAGCCTGCCATACTCTCACCCGTGAAGAAGTCTGTCTTAAGATCAAAGATTCGTCCTCGGAATTGGTCATCGAGGCCTGCACTTTGAGAGGCCTTGCAGGAGGGGTTGGATTTCCTTCACTGCACTGGTTTGGAATGGTCAATGACCATGATATACTTGCCATCGATCGCTGTGGTCCAAGCCTTGAGCATGTTTTCAACCAGCTGGGACGTCAATTTTCCTCAAGGTACCTCTATTTATTGGCGGACCAGCTCCTCTCACGCTTAGAGTTCGCCTACTCCAGGTTCATTGTACATGGAGACCTGAATCCACACTCTGTTACTCTTAGTTATTTTCCTTGGCAGTTCCAGCAGATCGTCCCGAGTTGCCCAATATCTGCTGCAAGACCAGGATACTCGGCTCATGACGACCTCCTAGCATTGGGTGATTTAATCTACTATTTTTCTAGTGGTACGGCTTCTTGGGGCGAGTTTCACCGAGATCAGTATAATGGGAAGTTTGCAAAGAAGCCAGCCATTTTTGATGGATATACAGATGCTGTTTTCTCAGCAGACCCTCCGAACTATTCAGCTCTTCGAAGAATATTCTGCGATGCTCACCAATACATGGATTGTTCAATACCAATTTCTTACTCTGGCGAGGCACTAGAATTGGAATCAGAAACAAGCGCAATTTTGAGGTCAAGTACAGAGCGACTTTTCGAAGTTCTGGGGTCCAAGATCTCTGAAGTTGGACGCAAAACCGGGGATCCATCTGCTGCTTGGTCACAAAACCGAGGAATAAGCCTGCTTCAAACCCTCCCTAACATCCTGCAAATATATACGGAGCTTTTATTTCGACATTGCCCATCTCATTTGAGGGAATGCTCTCTTTTTCGCCCATATCATCTACCAAATCGCCTTTGGTTAGACCTCCTTTGGTATGTGGGCAACGTGCGCAGCGCACCTGCTCCCTTCCAAAAAGCTGTTGTTGGCACCATCTATAGATATATATACCATCCTACTGGAAGTAATTCCTTTTGAGAAAATATACTGGGTGGGATATCTTGCTGTTTTAGCACGTTTATCCAAGGAGATGGAGGTTGGCTTTCAAAGGAGAATTTGGGAACAGACAAAACTATATTGGGAAAACCAGGTCAAGCAAGTTAAAGCAGAAGGTATCACAAATATGGCCAACCCTCATTGAATATAGGGATCATTAGCATTTTTGTTTTTGTTGGTGCGATTTATATTTCTGCCTTCATTAGTTGTTCTTCTGGTGTCTCAAGGACTTCCTTAAACCCTTAAAGCTATAATTTGAACAAAATAGTTAGATGAATTGGAAGTAAATTAGTTAAGTATTACTCTTACTACCAAAGCATGCTATTCTCTGGTCGACTGGTACCAGGTAGCTGGTTGAGAACTTTACACCGCCAGGTTCAGTCATACTTGTACTTGGTGTGACATGAAACTATTATCTGAATTGTACAGTCATTGGCTCCATAACTAGCCAAAAATATGACCATAATATGGAACATTTGGTGCAGTTTTGAATTGAATAACACTAAAAAACCAAAAGTGTGGCCCATTGCCCTTGCCACAGTTTCAGATGGCCATAAAAATTGCAGGGGGTCACAGTTATAAAAAGCCCATCACCTTGCTGCTTGCCATGATTAATTTATAATTAACTAAAATATTTCTGAAATCTTGCAACCATGCTCGTAAAAACACTTTTACTGTTTTGCTACGTGCTTCAGGCACAGTCGGGTACCGTTAGGTGAGAACTATCTTTTAATACCGGAAATGTTGAAGGGCTAAATCAAGAAAAGTTTTGATAGCACGGTCTCCCTGGACCTCTACAAACCCGATCGTCAGTTTACCCACCATGTCGCCGTGGGTAGTCAGGGCTCACCTACATTTGTGCCTCAACGATTGAATGCCAACATCGGTGATCAGATTGTTTTCGAGTTCCACGGGTTGAACCATACTTTTAACACAATCTACCCTGGAAAGGCCGTGTGCCCCACTTCAGCAGTTTGACACCGGTTTTAATCAGTTCAACCCACACAGCCGGGATAAACTTGTCACTATTATTACAGTTAATTCACTTGAGCCTCAGTGGTTTTTCTGTCGGCAGAATATACCCGCCTCTCATTGTCATATGGGCATGGTGTTCGCTATTAACCCAGGAGATCAAATGGATATGTTCATCCGGAACGTGCGAAGAGAAAGCACTGGTGATACAAGCAGTATCGCCAGTATGGGCTCTAGGAATGTCAGGTCCTCCAAGCCTGTCCTTCGCAGCACCAGCAGCAGTCAATCCAGATTGATCAGTCCTATGATTTCCCCGACGGATACCAGATTCACTAGTGTCTCAGGATCCATTCCAAACAGGCCTGTTGCTTCTACTGATGTTGTATCTGCCAATCCTACAAGTTTGTTTAGTCCAGTCCAGCATTCCAGCTTCAGCAAAAGTGCGCAAAACCTTCATTTTGTCACCCCCATTAGTTTACCCTCCATGGATCATGTCACTGTGACTCAAACAGAGACGCAGAACTGTCCACTTCCTTCTGTTGTGGAAAGGTTCAGTGCGGGTCACAGTCCAATGCCCTCAAAAAACTATGCATCTTTCCGGCGTACCGTCTCCAGATCCAGCATGACATCAGAAGGAACTAGTTCTGCAATTGTTCCAAACTTCATTGCTCCGGCTTTTTGCATCTTGTTGATTGCAGCTTTCCTCTGATTCTATTTCCTTTCTTTTCTCGTTTCTTGAAGGATATTTCATATGAATTGTATCTACGATTAGCTGGCTAATCAATTATTTAAGGCTCACTCGCCGTAAAGTTCAATATAATCTACAATCCCTTGTAATGGTAATTCCATGTTTCGTAGAGTGTGTCTGGAGATGTTAAACGCCACAAAAGGAAACATATTACATGGTCTTAGGTCGCGGCTTTAGAGAAGCGCAAAAGAAATATATATAAGTGTTCTTAAGAGGATGGCGTCGAGACTAAAAAGGGTGCGGGGTTAAGCGCTAGGCCGTACTATAAAGGCGTAGATTAATGCTGAAGCTAGAGTATTTCAGGTGGTATATGAGGCACCTTAAGTAAGGGCGAACATCTACTCTACTAGAAAATGCATAAACTTAGATATCATTGGCACCTCTTAGTTTATGTCACCACCATCACCCTCGCTGTATATGCTTAGAACCCTTCAAAACATATAGCACAATATAGATAGGTAAAATAGCTGCATGGGACTCTCTAATTGACAATTCGAACCAAGGAATAATGACCAATTCCCCTCTCCTAGGGCTTCAAATCCCAAGCCCAAAGTCGCAGTCGCTCCTCACCCTTAAGCAGGGAAACACTCAAACTGAACCATACAAGCATTTTGGAACCCAGTTCCAATACCATACCATTCAGTATCAACGTCGTCGGGGTCCTCGCCCTCAATATGAGTAGCTGCTCCAGAAGCGCCATGGCATTCTCTAAATTACATATTGTGTTAGCACAGGTGACCAACTCTAGAAATCTATCAAAGGGCGAAAGGTAGTTTTTTAAATTCACATACTTAATCTTGCCGGGAGCCGCGCAGCTAGCGCCCCATGAGAAATCATCTTTCATGCCCATAGCTCCGGCAGTCGCAGTATACAGATCAGTGCAGAGACCTGTACCCCACTCTGGAGTCTCGACCAGGTAGATCTCGTCTCCATTTTCATTGTAGATTTGGAGACTGTCGAATGTACTTCCGGGGCTCGGTCTTGGGCCGCCGCCTACATTCACGAAGTGCGATCCGACCGCGAGACACCATTCGGCCATGGCGGCTGGGAGGGAGGCTGCGAGGAAAGAAGCAGGGACGAGCTTGGAGAAGTGCATATTGTATTGATAGGTTGATGGAAGTAAATTGAATGAGTTGAATAAATTGGATGGTGATGATAAAAAAATCAACAGGAAGGGAAGGCCTTTAAATAGGTTTCTGTCAACCCTTCAAGGCTCACGTCAGTGTACTCGAGTTTCCTTACTTAGTATATGTATACAAGTGTCGCCAAGCGAAGAGCGGCCATGATGCCTTCTTGGCCTTTATCCACCGACACCGGAGGGCTTGGCAGTATCCATGCCTCAGTGATTGTTCCTGAGCATATTATTTGATATAGGGTCTTGGGGAAGTATTCTTTAGGAAATATCTCTTTCAGCTTCCTTCTGCGAAGTGGGCCCTTGAAGGATTTCTCTGGGGCTGAAGGCTCGGCACTGACGACTGAGGCTACAAAGCTCAGGCATGAGAGGGGCTTAAGCAGGCAGAATCGAAGTGTCAATCTCTCTAAAACTGCTTCCATCGACTAAAAGTAGAATGATAACCGCAACTCTAATCCTATATAAGGAACTCGCATCGCCACGCTCGACCAACATCCTGTGCCAAGTTGGCCCCCAACATTGGTGTCGATTGCACATCATTACCAGTCAAGTAGCCGAGCAGTAGTCGGCGGGTGTTTTTCCCGCAGATTTAGCCTCCATATCCAACTGTCAACGCACTGGACAATATGTACAATAAGTCAGAGTCCACATGGTGAAGGCCCAGCGGTCGAACAAACTGAAGATAATCATTCCCCAGAACAGAGTGAGCAACGCCCCTTTATTCCTGCTACAGATACATCCTTCGAGGATTGGACTGGTTCGCAGACTCCCGGATTGGCTTTAGATTCTTCCAGTTCTATCGAATCCGAGACCGAAACGCTGCCAACAGCAAGTGAGTCCGCTGGTCCTCGCGCACACGTGATGCCAAGACAGGGTTTGGTTAGAAAGACGCCCAAAACGGCAGCAGAAGTAGCCCTTTTCGGCCGCCTGCTAACCGTCACATCGTGAAATGGGGTATGAAGAAAGAAGCAAGAGTCAACAGTCTATTAAATGAGTTAGATTTCTATAAATTTTAGTAATCTAATCATGGGCTTTAAGTTAATTAGAAAAGAGATACTACTCGGACTGTTTATAGTAAGATATCCCTTTATTGGTCATCCTATATACAAATTCTCTGGTTTCAAACTTGTTTCTCCTTCAATCAACTCATTGGTTGTTTCTTATCTCACTTATGGCGAAGAACCTGTAGTGCTTCCACTGCTTCCAGTGTTGGAAGCCAAGGTTAACAGTGGCGGCTGGGAGATGGTAAATAAGCGGCGGCAAGGGGAGATAGTATCCAACAAGTCCATGGATCCCCGTGGCCATGGGAACAGCGGCACGAAAACCAGCAGCACGGGATATACAACATGCGGAATGAGATATCAGGATATGTGTATAAAGGCGACGATGTACATAGCGACTACCATTACGGCGGCTTACCCGGCTGCCCCGCAGGACCTGCCGCCACTCGGCCTATAGGGCTGACAGATGCGTGTATGAATAATAATAATAATAATAATAATAATAATTCGGATCGAACTGAATCGGCTTGCCTTGGTAGTTTTGCTTGATAATGACGTTTCCAACAGCCCCAAAAAACTCTTTACGCTGCGCGTCTTCTGCGGATCTCAGTAGCTTCTTCTTGTGCGCCCTGACTCTGTTCCCCGCCTTTATAAACTCCCCGTAGAGATTCGTGCGTTTCCCTTTCTGAAGTTGGTGGTGTATCGCAATCAGTTGGGCGCGAAGCTTATCATGATGAGCAATCAGGTTATTAAGCTCTTTGTCTTTTTCAACCTCTTGCTTTCTGGCATCGCTTAGTTCTTGTGGGGCAGATGGGTCTCAAGTTAGACCTTTGTTGGTAGCTAGTTTCATCAGGGCGTCTCTTGTCGGTGTCCCCATGAAAGCTGACTGAGTATCATCCTGAATTTGGATGTAGTGGGAGAAGGTATCACTCCTCTTGTGACCCATAATAAGTTTTCAGGAATGTTCATCAAGATGTCCTGCAATCAAGGATTAGAATACGCTGATGACCTGGGATGGCCTTTCTTACTGATATTAGCAGCTGCTCCTTTCTGATACTTGTACAAGGACCCTGGATTTTCATCCCCTGCTGACTTAGCAGCAGCAAGCTCATATTCTCGTAAATCCTCGTATGTCCAAGCTTCGGTTGGTGAAGTTACCCAGTTGCCTTTGGAGTCTTTCACAGCCTTTCGGAAAATGGGTATCTCTTTAACATTATCTGCGATGTGTAGTGGAGTGCTGAGCCGATGATCTGGAACCTTAGTGTACTTCCAAATGTCTTGAGGCTTTTTGATATGTTCACTAGCGAATGCACCATCGACAATGGCATATTCTATGATGTCTTGGATAGCGCAGAAGGCGAGATTATCATCTCGCTCAGTGTATACATAAACAGGCCTTAACAATTAGCTGGTTTCAAGAAAGGAACAACGCATGACTTACGCAACACCTCAGTTTCTTTTGCCCTTATTTAGCCTATGCCTAACTCTCATGAGAAGAGTCTGACAGCTCGGCTCTTCCGGGTGTTTGACCATGAAGAGTTCAATATCTTTCCATTTGAGAGCATCCTTCCCTTTTCTCATGTACCCAGAGGACACTACCAATGTCCCAGGACGCGCCGTGGTTGAGGTCATCATCTTCCTCAAAGTACTCAGCTGTTGGCGGCAACGAGCAGTGGGAAATCAGATCCTAGTGACAGCGATGAGATGATAGGTAGAGGAAAGCAGATCATCAATGTTGATTGGTGGCTGTGTTTTTGCACCCAGGTCGAGTTCATAGTCGATGGTAAGAGTTGTGCAAACCAGCTAATTTAGTTAGCCCCGGTCCCTTCTACTAGCATTGGTTTACCTTACCTTGGTCATTCGACGTCTCAGGTCATAGTTGAAAAGCCTGTCCATTTCCTCACACCAGAATATCCTCCAAAATCGAGCAAAGACCAAGAATACTGATTGATACTCAACATTGTGGGTATCGAGATACCACCGGAGGAAACCCTCTATGACTCTTAGCATGATGTTCCGAAGCCAATATTTATAGTCTCCTGGCTGAAGATGCGACGTAAATCTAACTCTCTATAAGTGAGCAGAAGGTCTCAACATGCTAAGGCAACATACTTCTGGAAACTGGTCTTCACAAGCCCAATCTGTGTTCTTGTTGCTTCTGTATAACCAGAGTTAACCTCAGGGTCACTTTCATGTAAAAAAGCATTCCAGTCAACAGTATCTGCTTGTTTTGCTACACCCCGAGGCATTGCGAAACAGGATAAGTCTGAGAAGGATTATGGTTTTGATGGAGACTTACTCAGGATGCTCAGCTTGGAGATTGGATGGCTATTTATTGTCTTTCTAAAACTCATGATGTACGCGCTGTCTGAGTTCTTAGTTTAGGTGTAGACCATGAGCCCTCGGACGCTAGAGCCAAATCAGGTATAGCCAACTTTTTCCAATCTACTCTGCGAAAAGACCACAATTTTTGCACCAAAAGCCACGCACAATCGTGTCCTTTTCATCGTCACCCACATTTACTCCGTACTCTTGGGTGACGCTGAATTACTAGAAGTGGTATAGCGTGCCTATTTAGGTTTAGCGTCCCATTGTCGCTTGGCATCACGGTAATATCGAATCTGGGGAGGAAAAAAGGAGAGGAAATCTATCTGGCGAGTACAGTCTCTATAAACCTTTGTGCGATGCGGCTTGAGCCCTTGTTTGTCCATATTGCTTGTATCGCATCTTTTGGCATGTTGGCACTGTTTGCCTGGTCGTTGAGCCGTCACAGAGACCAGTCATTATCTTGCTGGACTCCCAAGCCGCCATTGCGAGGCTGCAACATACCCAGCCAGGACCAGGCCAAGCATTAGCAATTCAAGCACATGCTATATCCAAGAGATTACACACCCAAGATCGTCAACTCACCATCCAATGGGTTCCAGGACACGCAGGGGTAGAAGGAAACGAAAGAGCTGACCAGGCAGCAAAACTGGCAGCTGGTAAGCCTCCAGGAAGAGGCCCAAGAGAGATCTCTCTAGCCTTTACCTGTAGAGCCCAAACAGAAGCCATCACAACGCAGAAGCAGAGATGGCTTGCTAAGGAGCTCAGCCAACGATCCCAACAAGGTCAATGAATATACAGGCCACAGAAGAACTGGCGGCTCAACCCAACAGCTGCAACAGCTCCCAAGCACCTAGCAAGCTGCTATTTTCAACTGAAGTCAGGACATGCAGCCATTGGAGAACACCTACACCGGATCCAGGCCCAGGAAGATGCAACCTGTAAAGGTTGTGGCTTATCAAGAGAGACAATACATCATCTTCTCTTTGAATGCCGGCAATGGAGACACCAACAGGATAGGCTCTACAAGGACCTGGAGATAGACAGAGTTACAAGACCCACTGCTGCAGAAGAATATCCACAAGGACGACTTTTAGGAGAGCCCAGAGTTACCAGGGCACTACTACAATTCCTAGCCAGCACCAGCATAGCTCTACCCCGAGAACACCTACAGCGAACAGCGGAGAGGGCCCGAAGAGATGATGAATGGGGACTGGAAGCATTGGAGGAGGCAATTAGAACAGGAGAAGGGTAGCAGGGAGGGTAGCCCAAGCTGAGAATCAGCCTAGGCCGCACCCATCCTGCTCCGAAACACAAGGAGAGCACTGTGCTCGAAAGCCCTGCGCATACAGGCGATTTGGGGCGAGGAAAAGGATCAGAGAGATTATAGAAGGGGGCGAGTGCCTCAGGAACTAATGGGGACAAGAGACTGTAGTATAGCAGCTAACCTCGGGTCCATGAATCATGGTCTGTCATAGCTCTAGGGCTCGGTATGGACAATAAACTTGATTCAATAATAATAATAATATTGATAAGACCGTCTCGGTCAATTTTGTTGGTTTGTGTCCATCCACATGTGGGGCGCTGTCGGTCATTATGTTACGGAACAATGGGCCGGAATGATGTCTGGATCGATTTCGAGTTTGATAAGACTAATCCTGGGCCATAGAGAGCATCTCGAGATCACACGCAACACATGCTATACCTGGACCCGCGTATAATTTGCCACTGTTTATGCAAACCTGTTGAGAAGTAGTCCAAGCTGGTATAAGCCATCGGTACGCGGGTCCTGTTCAGAAGGATTCGTGCCGGTTTACTAATGACACCAACTAGTGGTTAGTTATGGAATGGCCGACCACCATCAAGAGACAAGCATTGCCTTTATAAAGAAGACCAGGGCTCAGCTTATGCTTGTCACAAACCAATCTGTATCTCAAAGAATAGCCATAATGTCTCCTATCGCCAGCGTTAGATCTGTCCATTACACCAATAGGCCATTCCGTCGACCGGCATTCCGGTATCACGGGATTTTCCAACCGACTCCGTTGATGCCACTACCATCCCGGATTTAATCCACTTCAACTGTCAATATAACCCTGATCATCTTTTCGTCTTGCAAGAAGTGAGTCATCGGGAAAATCTTATCCGCATAAATTTCGGAGATCTCAAGGATGCCACGGTTGCTTGTGCACAACGACTCGCCAAGTCACTTAACACAACTCGACCCGGTAATAGAGACGCGGATGCGAGAAGACCGGCTGCTTTGTTTTTTGGAAAGCGACGTGGTGCTCTTTATCCATCTCACCGCACTGTTATACCTCGAGATTCCGGGATGTCCCCATGTTCAGTTGGAGCTGAAAAAATATGCTAATTGTGGGTTCAGGTTGTACTCGTGTCCATTCGACTAAGTCCTGTTGCCATCACGCATTTACTCCGTTCCTGCTCAACGTAGGCCATCGTGCTTTCGCCGGGAACCCAAAGTGTAGCTGAGAAAGCTATGGAGCATGTAGAGCAGAAATTGAGCTTGCTTATCAGGACGCCATACCAGACCCTAATGGAACTCGCGAGGGCCGAGCCGGTCAAGGATTTCACACCGCCAATGGTTTGTAGTGATCAAGTTGGGACGTTGATCCTGCACTCGTCAGGGACAACCGGCTTGCCCAGGCCGATCCTGCTGTCAATTTGAACCTCGTAGCTTTCCATCGCTTCTTGGATGGCAGCACTTACGTCGCTGATCCGGACATCAACACCGGCATTCTAACGAGCATTAGCGATACTAAAAATGCAGACTTGCCACGAAAGTATGGTCACCTTGATACCAGTGTTTGTAGCGTCCTTCACTGCAGCGAACAGATTGTCATATACTGGATCAAATGGCATGGTGAACGCACTGTCAACTATCCAACCGTTGATATGGACACCAAAATCGACCTTCATGACGTCGCTCTCCTGTAGGAAGTTTTCCTTCTGACCAGGATTTGGCGTGTAATGCGCAACGCAATTATTCAGCACCAACCCGATGGGAAATCCCATTCCAGACTCAAGGCCCTGTCCAGCTTCGAGGCCGGCATTATCGAGCAGCGCTCTAACGCTATCCTCAATGCCTACTGCGATGTCTGTGAGAGCCTGGCCGGGCCGAACACTGTCCTGCACCAAGCCCCGGACCTGGCGATGGACCTCTGCTACTTTGCGATAGTTGTTGAGAAAGCTGTCATCGTGAATGTGCGGGCGGGCCAAATAGCGGTCCTCAGCTGTCGTGCGCGCCGTATTCTCGACCACGGATCCAAAGCTCTGAATCTCGCCGCTTGGATACTGACCACTAGGGAAGAGATTCTTCAAAGGAACTTGTGGTGGGAATGACTGCTTCACGGATGGAGTTTTCTTCTTGGGTTTCTCTTTGCGTTTCTTCTTAGAAGAAGTTGACGGTGTAGCTTGGGATATCAGCGACAGGGTAGCAGAGCTGGCCTTGTCCCCGTCGTCGTCGTCGTCTTCTCCGCCACCGTCGCCCAGGGTAACATCGCCGTCCCGGGAAAGATGTGTGCCTTGTGGTTCACCGCCGGCAGCAATGGCATTGCCAGTGTCGGACGGATGACCTGGTGAGGTTAGCACCATATAAATTCAAAAATGAGGTAGATACATATCACCATTTGGCTGATTATCATGATCTGGAGACTCAGAACCCATTTCGACATCAAGAGATAATTGGTTCAGGAATCCGTGGTGGATGAGAAGGAAAATACGAGGCCGCAAAATTGAAACTCGAAGAGAAATGAGGCGAAGGCGGGGTGACACCTTTCCTTTTCGGGCGATCACTGGTGCTAACTTTGAAGTATGTTTACTGTCTACTTCTACTGCTCATTCCTCTTCTCTCTCTCCATCAACTTGCACTTGCAACCAACTAACTCAGCATCTTCGAATCTCCCGACACCAACATGAAAACAACCAGCAGCCCATTATCCGCGCAGCAAGGCATCATTACCTATTTATATATAAAGCGTTAGGTTCATGGCGAGCAGCTGGATAGCCGTCGGGAATATAAATATATTCTCGCTACCAATTGATTTCTTACAATTTAAAGGCTAAGATACAAACGTGGAATTGACGATCCCACTTTAGACCCCAGAAAACCATGTCCCAAATAGGGCATTGAAATAGTAGAATAGTACTATGCAGAACTATATCTCAATATATAGAACAAATCCATGAACCACCACGAGAGATGGCACAGATACGTGCTGGACTACTTCGCCATGTCCCCAGACCGAGATACCGCCCATTGACGACATGATACGTCCCAACCAGGTGCATCTTCCTGCTCTCCTCACTATCCCTCGAGTAAACATCATATATTGCTTGAGGAATCTTCCGCTGGACGATATAGCTGATCTGACCAGGGAATATCGTTGCCTGCTGACAACTTTCTAGCTTGGTCTGCCAATCTTCCGGCGAGAGTTCGTCACCAAAGAGGATGCCCGCGCCTTTCCCACTCCGAATCGGTTTCAGGATGAAGTTGTCTTTGAGATTCGGGTTGTGGTGACAGTCCTTCTTGAGCTGGGAGATTTCAGAAGATCCTGGGATGAAGGTCGTTGAGATACCCTCTCGAAGAATCTCAGCCTGTTTTGGAGTCAGAACCCCGTGGCGATGGACGAGAGCATCGAGTTCCTGAAGAATAATTCCTAGCATACGCTTGTCATGCACGAGTAAAATGACACGCAGATCATTGAAGCAGCGCAGGGACAAGTGGCGGAGGACCTTAATGGGCATTGCCCGCAGCTCCCGTTGATGAAGTTCTAGGTTGACTTGATGAACATCCTCAAGTCGTTCGCCCTCTAATTCAAAGACGGTCGATTCCGGCGATGTTATTGCATCTGAAGGGATGACACAGCACAGCTTCTGACCCAGAGGTGCCTTGTCACATGGGACTAAGCGTAGATCTTCAGGAGTGATGAATCGAGGGCGGATCCCAGTCCGCTGTTCAGCCGCCCAAGCCAATAGCCAGATGTCAATTCCATGCTCTTCCCCTTTGAGAAGATGCAGGGGCTTGGATGTGTCGACAAGAGTCAGTAGCTCATTGATTGTCTAAACGTCATCAGTCTCATATCATCACTGCGAACCATTTGCGTCTATAACTCACCTCCTCACAATCTGCTGCTCCCCGGAAACCCTTTTCCCGTGCACCCAAATCATCCAAGGCACGCTGGCCATACGCTCCATGAAAAAAACCATTCCAGCAGAATCGAGCATTGATCTCACAAATGCGGAACTGCTCGCGAGTCCCGCCGGGCTTGGACGCATCTACAACATCCTCAATCAGAAAGTCAGGTCGCCAGGATCCCAGACATTCATCGAATGGGCGGGTTGTCCCGGCTGGCAAGGCTTCCATCCACTGCAAACTTTGATCAGATTTATTAAGGTGTTTTCATTCAGAAGATGATCTCTTACCCGCAAAAGACTCTCTTCATAAGGCTCAATTGGCATACGCGCAGGGAAATTGGCCTTGGTATCCGACCACCACCGATTAACAATGTTCACAATTGCTGCCCTGAGAGCTTCATGAATAGCACTGATATGATCAATGTGGTCTTCGACTGTGACCAGCATCGGATGTGAATGCGCCGTGGCAGACCCCTCGGGCCATACTGATGCCGGACATGACCGGAGTAGGCTTGCTGTGCATCTCTCCCGGTCTTTTTTCCGGTCAGAAGGGTTAACCTCAGCAGGAGAGCTCAGTTGCTTGTGAGTGCTAACTCCGAGACATATTTGTTGGACGCGCATTTTGGGCTCGTTATGTATGGGATTGTTATTAAAGTAGTGTTCGCAGTGAAGACAGCAGGCTCCAGTCGTACCTTATAAACCTGGGACCCATTGTCAGCTACGGAGCAATCACATACTGGAGAAGCTACTACTGGATCGCATATTTTGCATGATAAAACACGGTAAAGATGTTCATCCCACCTGTTTTTGTGCTCCGTACTTGTATGGTAAGCTGAACTGTGGATCCATCTATGTATCTACGCTAGTAAATTATACGGCAAGATACATCCCGCAAAAAGAAAGCTAGATTCAGCTGAGATGAATTTGGAAAAGATAAGCCTAACATAATCCCAGCTGAGTGTCCGGGTTTGTTTTACTATCTCCATTTGTAAATCATAGGTCTAGACAGCAATCATGTTCTTCTTACCCCAGAAACATACAGCCGTATATTCGGCCACTGATCCAGAAGGGTCACTGAAAGATGCCAGCAAAGGCAAAGTAGTTATTGTCGCCGGGGCGGGTAGGGGAATAGGCAAGGTATGTATACTCAACTCGTAATTGTACGTGATATGTGCTAACCAAGGAGTCCAGGCTATGGCCCATACCTTTGCCGCCACTGGGGTCCGCGGCCTGGTCCTGATATCACGAACAAAAGCCCAATTAGAACAGACCGGTTCAGAGATCCGGACTGCTTATCCAGAATGCGTGGTCAGGGCATTCGCTCTCAACATCAGTCAGCCAGACGCTGTCCGAGAAGTTTTCGAGCAGAGCGCTTCTACCTTTGGCCAGGCTGACGTCCTCTTGGCAAATGCAGGTACAGCTGGAATTGTATTTGCATGTATTACTAGTGTTACTAGATGTGTTTTTTCAGTCAAACACGGAAGAAGCTCTGATCAATAGTTCGACAAGTCACATTTCAATACGCCAAAAAGCAACGCATAGCTGTACACCAAAACCAAAGTTGCTAGAAATAAAAAGAATTATCAAATGGTCGAGCATCCCATCGGACTCGTCGCAAATGTCGATTAGGATCCTTGACTTGATTTCGCGCATGTAACCACCGTCTGTTATCCATGAGGATGATCGATCCGCGCGGCAAATCTTGTGCCGTGAGATCCAGGATGTGCACGGTCGAAGTGGGTCTGAGCAGAACAAGTTTTAGCTCCTCCAGCGCCTCTGCCGCCTGCGGGTTCAAGGGAGTGACGATGTCTTCACGAAAGCGAAGCTGAGTGGACTTGCCGTCGGGACTCGTCGTTAGGAGACTCCCAACAATGTATTCGTCATAGGGGCTCTTTTTGAACTCGGGAGGGACGGAAATTCGATAATTCGGGCTGAATAACCACTCCTTGGCGAAGGGGGAGAGAAGGGCGAGGAATTGGTCGACTTTGAGCACGGATAGAGTACCGCCACCACGAGTATCCGGTTGCAAGATATGCAAGGCAAAGAATCGGGGCGGGTAAGCTTCGTAGCTGCAGTCTGTATGCCACGGGAATTCTTCCATCGTTTCGGATCGAGCCTGGCAGTTTTGGAGACTTTCGGGTGTTGGACGGATGTCCCACATCCATCCACGATTGGCGCTGTGGGTGATTGGTAGGCCATGGTCATGGTTCTTGTGGAGGTTCAGGATGAGAGATTGGATGTAGTTGCTGTCATTGTCGGCAAAGGAAAGCTGGATACGTAGGATGGCATCGTGTTGAAGGATGCGGTTGACGGTGGTATGGTGAGAGGGGAGAGAGGCAACATCTGGATCGGGGACAGTAAGGTATGGAATGGAGGATATTCGACCTGATCTTTTAGCTGCTGATAACCAAGTATGTGGGAGGAATTAGCTTACAGGTTGAGGTATGTCTTAACCTACTTGCTGCTTGTAGAGGCCGTACTAATCGCTGCATCTTGGAGAATAATCATATGGCAATTGATCAGATAACATATGTATGATATATACTCCGGAGCACAGACAGTACGTACCAGCAGCTGAACCGCATGGCGATTCATGACTGTTATATGTACTTTGTACAGCAGTAGCTTTTGTTCTTTACCAGTATTCCATGCAATGCTGATCTACTGTATTGCCCGGTAAAAGTGGACCGCACCTTTCACTAGTAATATTATGAGTACATAGCAATATTACAATACTCAGCCAGCCTCAACATCTGTTGAGCCTTTTATTTTTTTTATTTGTAATAATATATATTTTTTATTTTTCTCTCTGGACTTCTATCAATAACTCGTACACCCATCGCACACTATCATGGATCTCTTCTCAATACCGAAATATACTCTCCAAGATATCCTGGCCGTGGCTGCTATCCATCCTTTCTATAACTCCCATGTCCGATTTCCACCAACAGACCCTCAAATCAAAGAGGCCATCCGCAATGTACGAGAGAAGGGATGCCCAGCTTTGACCAGCTTGCCTCTAACTCATAAGGACAATCTGTAAGCTACATGTTTCAACATTGAATCATAATTTACTAAATCATATAGATATCAGACCATCCAAAGATTAATAGCAGACAATGACCCGGACAATGTTTTCCGCCACGCTTGCTATATCAGCACCACCGGCGGTGGCTCAGGAGGGCTTCCAATGTTTTATCTCACTGATACATGGGAGAATCGCATCCAGAGAATGTCAATGGGCAAGTTAATCCGACAAGGTGGTCTTATCGTACCGGGTGACTGTGTCTTAACTGTGCATACATCAGGGAACTTATACAGGTGTGTTTCGCAGAACCTTCAGATGAGTTCCGACTAACAATCTTCAGATCCCTAGACTTGACAGCGGAAATACTAGAGAACGCCGGCGGAACAGTCTACTGTGCTGGCCATCTCATGCCACATGCAGAAGTAATGCGGTTAGTCTCTGGCTTCCGCATTAATGTCATCAGCGGCGATTCGAGTCAGATCCTACAATTTGCCTTGCATGTGTCCACACTACCTGACTCGGAGCGCAAATCAATTCATATCAACAAGATCTTCTACACATCTGAGCCGCTGGTGCGATCGCAACGGGCGTTCATCAATTCGGTGTTCGGTGGTGATGTATTGATCTACTCAATGTTCGGAAGTGCCGAAAGTGGTCCTTGGGCTGTGATGAACCCTGCTGTGACGGGGTATAGGGAAGATGATGACGCGGCTGACTTCATATTCGATACTCGCGATACCATCGTCGAGGTTTTGCCTCGAACAGTGGGTGAAGGCTCTGCTGGGGATGGCATAGAACCTCTTCGGGACGGTGAACTTGGTGTTCTTGCAACAACTTCACTCCAACGTCTCCGGAATCCTCTAATTCGGTACCTAACAGGAGACGTCGGTTCATTGCATCCACTGCCAAAGACAAATCTCATTGATCCGGAAGAAGCTCAACACTTCAAAGTCCTTCGAATGCAAGGACGCGATAAACGGTTCAGCTTTGAGTGGCAAGGGGAATATTACGACTTCAAGGTTATCCGTGATTTGATACAATCGGATGAATTCTCCGTTTTGCAGTGGCAGATTATTCGCAGTGAAACGTCGATCCATACGCATAATCTTCAAATCCGACTTCTCCAGGGCCAATATAATGATCGGAGACTGTCTGATGATGTTCTGGTTTGGAAACTGAAGAAGTTCTTCAATGTCGTCCCAGATATAGAAGGATACTTCCAAGTTACTTTTGTTTCGGGCTTACAAGAGTTTGAGCGCAGCAAGACCGGCAATAAAGTGATGCATTACTTGGATTTCAAGAGCTGAAAGAAATGTATATATATATATTACTAGCAGTCTCACGCATGTCAACTTCATTGTTATCGAGTTCCATTCGATCATTTGTTTATATCGTCAGAATGGTATAGCTGCAAGAAGGGCATTTTGTTTGAGTGCACAGAAAACAGAGATATATAAACCCGAATGCCAATCGATTTCTTACCATATATAGTAGTTCTTTCCATTCCCAAAAAGGGTCTTGACGCAAGAGAAATAATCGTGACATGGTTCCCGACAATCTCAATCTAGACCTCAGTTTCCCGAAATAGGAAATTTAGCCGCAATCTATATAGAAGCGCAGTCCTCAATCATCCACAAAGAAATCTCTTTCACCGTCTAGAAGCTCCTTTTAATTCGATCAAAATTGGGTAACCAACATGTGAGCATATTCCGCAGGAACAATTCGGAGAGAATCGATATACAAAGCACATGACTGAAAGCGATATCTGATGAAAGTCAAGAAGGATTAATAGTCGGCCCGTTTACCGAGTCCGGCAGATTCCTGATATAGGACAGCGTGTGCGCACCTTTAGATAGACAAGCACTCACTCTATTATCTACGGTATCTATTCATCCTGCATACGGGTTGCATTCCACGTGCCCCATAATAGATTTCCTGCAGGTGAGACATGTGTTCGGCATCTCCGGATTTTCTATCCACTTGTCTATGCACTTCTTGCAAAACAGGTGCCCGCATAGAAGGATAACCCATCGATCCGGCTGCTGGACACAGATTGTGCACTCGAAAATATGCCTTTGAGTTTCTTGGCCAAGCTCCTCTTTTACTTTCCAATGCCTCTCCTGCTCCTGTTGAAGTTTCCTGGAGCTTTTGGTTTTTGTGGTGAGAATCACACAGCTTCTCTTGCAGCTGTTGAACTTAGCGCTCAAGTGTCTTTTGGAGCTTCTTATAGGCAGACTCTCACTAATTTGTTAGCCAAGGAAGAAGATCATGCCAGAGGCTCATACCAGAATTGACGTGATAGACTTCCCATCCGTCGTGTTTCTTTTGCGTTTGCGTGCAGGGGATGTTGTCACATCATCAGTCGCATCATCCATCGTGTCTGCCCATCCTTGGTAACTGTAATCAGGCTGAGAAGCCCTCTGAGGTCGTGAGCAACCTTGCTCGAGACCTGGTGCTTCTTCATCATCGGGTATAGTAATTGCATTTGGATGGTACTTCATCGTGCTGTCAGTGTTGCGGAGGTCGCAGAAAGAAATGACGCGGCCGGGCAAGGGGAGAAAGAGGAAAATGAAAGAGTGCCACCAGCCAGGGGAAAGACGCCCTTTATGTAACCAAGGACCAACAGTCATGGAGTCAGCCCTGGGAGGTAACTGGACATGATTTTGGCGCGTGATATCCCAAGCGATATATTATGATTGGACCTCAGATGGTGACGAGGCTGTAGCGTTTCATGCGCTGCACGCATGGATGTCCAAGCATAAATATCAGCCTTGGAACGGTCGACGGTCTCTCCGCGCTGTCTCGTCCACGAGCTCAGATCAAGGGGTTGCCAGTCGAACCCCGTCTGGCTGATCTGGCGAGGCAGACAGTGCAAGTGCGGCCCTGGTGGACAGGTCTCTTGCAATCAGGGCTTGCTACTAGTCCTCGTCACCGGAACGTCACGTCGGCATTTCAACGTGATGCATATCCATCGCCCCCCTGGCTGGCGGGGAGAAGACAAATTAAAACGCACTATTCGAAATTCATTCGCATGAGGTTTGAGCTAACTCTTGTGGGTTCTGCACAGTCTCTTTCTATCTTTTTAAGGGGCCCTCGAACAAGATCGTTCCAGAATTCAGGCGACCTATTGGTCTGATGTTTGGACTTGAAATTGCATTTGGTACAGTTTCTAGGTTTCGTGATAGTCATTTTGATTGAGCGGAAGAAAGAGAAGAGGAAGACCTTTAGAAACTGTGAAAGGAAAAATGGAATGTACATTGAAATCAGTCTTCTGGGTATTTAAAGAGCTATTTGACTTGTATTCAAAGCCATGATGGAAGCGCTTCCCAGTATGAAACTATAGATAAATTAGGTGTAAACGTTGCTGGTGAGCGTATTTGTGCTCTACCTGTTCAGGAAATTTAACAGTGGCCGTTTTAAAGCGGCGACGCCAGGACGGAAATGCCACGAAAATGTACCTTAACGCCACGACGTTTTATGGCCTTTCCGGCGTCACCCTGAGTTACTCCGTAGTATGGTGAAGATATCACCTCTCACCGCCTTATGATAACCACCCGGCAGAACGACAAAAGCCGCGATCACGGCGCCTCGAGATCTTCAACCATCCTCCTTTTTTCCGGCCCTGAGAAAGCAATCTTGCGGCAGGACCTTTTTGATTAATTTGCCTATATCTAGCCGCATTGAATGCGCTACTTACTTGCTCTACGTGATCTTCGCTCGAATCGAGAGTCAGACATTACAGCTCCATCCGAGCGTGCTGAGAAAGGGATTGATCGATCTTTCTTCGTGATAGTGAAGGAGCGGAAGAACAAGGGACACCTCTCCCTTCCATACGACCTCTCCGCACATTGAATCTATCCCGGTAACCGACTTCCCTTGACTGTCTCCATCGTCCTCGACTTCACTCCTACCATCTCGCTTCGACGAACCACCGACAAACTTCTCACCATGGAAGCACCCACAAAACCACCCTCCACCTCCCTCCCCTCCACAAACCCCCCGAGCGTCGAAGTCGCCTACAAACGCAAATGCATCGCCCTCAAGAAACGCCTCAACGAAATCGAGTCCGAAAACGAGCTCATGCGCGTCCGCAACAGACGAGGCTGGAAGTATATCCAGAAAATGCGTCTAGAATCATGCATCCTGCTCGACCGGCTCGCGAAAGTCACGGGGATGGCCGAGGAGGCGCAGGCCGCTGGTGGTGTCACTCCGGAGTTGCGCGCAAAGGCCGCGGCTATGATGTCTAATGCGCCGACTCTGGAGGATGAGAGTAAACCCGGGGCTGGGGCGTCTGCTGTTGCGGGGAATGGGGCGCCATATTTGGACGATGAGACGGAGGGGAGTTCAGAGGAAGCGCCGCCTACAGTATGTTTTTTGACAACTTAATCTCCGTGGACTATTACCCTGATTGATTCATGTCTAACTCAGCATAGCCACAAGACCGGCCGCTCCGCACCAAACGACGAAACAGGATAGCAACGTGCAAGGAAGACGAAGGCTGGGACGAGGATGGGATGGGTCCCGGCCATCCGACAGTCTGGAGATCTCCGAAATGGCGTTCGCCGATGCCACCCGCGCCTAAGCAGGAGGAATTGACATCCTCGTTCCGCATTCAAACAGGAAGCAACGGCGGTCCGGCATCTAGTCGTCGTCCAAGTGCCCAAGATACCCAGAACGGTAATGGAAATGGAAATGGTATTGCGGACGTTCCAGCCGCGCCAGCGGATGCTCCGACGACACCGATGGATATGGATATGGATACCAAGGAGCCGAAGGTTGAAGGGCAGGGTTGATTTGCGCCGTGCGTGGTGTTATTTCTCGATTTTTTTTTTTTTTTTTTTTTTCTCTTCTATTTGTGTTTTGCTACGATTACTTCATTACGTTCTTGGTTTTTGTCTTCTTTCCTAGATATGGGGTCCTAATCTTTTATATAATATATTATCGAGACGCCATTTGTCTCTGAAATGGAACTACCCATCATCAATACGTCTTTTCTGTTCATATATACGATAGCAGAAAAGAACTTGATTACAACTGATCTGTGTGTCTATTCAATGATAAGAACTAATACCTACAAAGCAAGGACCTATAAATGTTGCTCAATGTGGTGGCTCATGTATTGTACAGTACATCCTAGACTTTCCACACCATAACTCCAGTCATCCTAGCTCAATGACACCTTGCTCAATGAGAAACGTAACGTCGAATCACGCAATGAAAACAGACAGTAAAGTACCATGCAAGCATATAGCAATGTCAAAGTGAACGCAATGAATAAACGCAGATAAAAGATAATGAAAAACACAGTCAACTACAATACAACCCTTAATCAACTCCAGCGTACAAATCGACCACGATGTTGATGGCTGCGACGAGAATCTCCGCGGCAATGAGAACGATGACTGCAACCCCGATGTTAGCATTGTCTTACTGTATCACGGAAAGGGAAGAAACCTACCGATCCATTCCAAATACTCGCCATGACGATGCGTCAATTGATCTTTCAACACCGCAAGAAGATCCGCAATAACGTCCAATCGCTCAGTTAATAAACTCACACGCTGGTCCATTTCGAGATAGCTCCGGACAGCCTGATATACAGGTTCTAACTGCGGCTCTGCCCACATTAGCTCGGGGCTGTCCAGGACAGAACCTTGTAGATGGATATTGATTCGTAATATGAATAGTTCTCCGATTTGCATATTGATTTGTCGTCGGGTGAGATTGACGCTGCCGGTTTGGGCGATTTGGGCGGGATAGGGTGCGGTGCTGGAGATGGTTTCCGAGACGATGTCTTCGAATAGGGATGTTTTCACGGATTGGGACAAGGCGTGCGAGATGGCGAGTTTGATCATATGATTCCGTGGGTCGCGGAGGGAGATGAAGTCGTTGTATATCCGGGCTTGGTATTCGCGGGCGTAGTAGAAATTGAAATTCTCGACTTGGGTATCTTCCGGACTCAGGATCGAGGTCGCGAATTTGGAGATGTCAGAAAGGAATCGTGATTCGTGTGCCGGGGACATTCCCCATAGGACAACCGTGCCGTAGTCGAACAGGTATACTTCAGGAGTGTGAATGGTCGTATCGAAATCTTGTATCTCATCCGTCCGTCCTGTAGATTCAACAACCTCAGCGCCATGATCACCATCACGATGCGAATCCGGGCCTTGAAGATTGATCAAATCTCCTCTTCGAATATTATTACTATCGGGAACTTCGACAGCACTATCCGAATACCTGCGTTCTCCAGACGGCCGATTCCCTTCCATACCAAATCCATTATCCCCAAATATCCGGGTCCCCTTCTGCTTATTTTCATGTTCGTAATCATACGGCGAGTAAACACATTCATCGTACAGCTTCGGATTTGCACCACGGGTATTCGACCGCGACTTGAGAAACCTAATCACCCCATCCAACCGATACGAATTCGCCGTACAATAAGCCGTAACCCGCGGCAAGCGATCCCTATCTGCCTTTCCTAGTCTTGCTGCATGACTCCTAGCCGTAGGTTCCTTAATCCGCGTAATCTGCGAATAGACATCTCGCGGAAAATCACCCTCCACAACCTCCTCTTCAGCAGCCGTCTCCGGGTCCGGAAGAAGCTTCAATTTCTGCGCCTTTTTCGTCGTTCGCTGCGGACCGATTTTGGACGCTGAGGAGGGACTCGAGGGTGCATTGAATGGAGTAGCTCCTTGGCTGTTACGCCGGCGGAGCTTGCTGTTCAGAGCTGATAGACCGGTTGTTCTGGGCCGGCCGCCATGGACGGGGGGTGAGGCGGAATGGAGCGGTTGGAGCGCTGGATTTGAGGGAGCGGCATCGCCGTATGTGCTGATTGTGGCTAGGGGATTGAAGGTCACTGTTCGCGGTGGACGATTTGCACGCGGTGACGTATTGGAGGATTCCGACTGTTGATATTGGGGAAGCAGAGGCGTTGTTTCGGCTTTGGATGACATCTTGGATTGGAGAGAGTGAATTGGTTTAATATATAGAGTCCATTGATGGATAGAGAAGGGTTTGCGACGCGAAAGAGGCGTGGGGAGAAGGGATTGATGAGTGTTGGACGACAGCGGACGGTTTGGAGCTTTGAAGCTTTGCACGTGCTTCCGCCCAGCGTCCGGGCCAATCCAGATTACACAACAATGTCTATACAACCAAAAGAAATACAACGATGATAACAGTCAATTGTTCTCTACTAGGGTATACAATGGATTTAAATGTATTTGCTGGTCCTAAGAGATAAGAATGAAACCCGATTTTCCAGCGCCTTAACACCAATCAAAGACATGCTCTGTACATCAAACCTCCCACATTTTTATGCAGCACGACAAGTACGATAAAGGGAATTGAATCCTCAAATAGGGAGCTGAACATTAAGTCTGTAGCCCATGAATCTAGGCCCGGCAGTCATGAGACCCGAAAGCCTAAATGGTTGTTCGCAATGAACCTAAGCCGTTGATCCATTGCGACATGCTCAATACGTATGTGGATGACTGCCCGGGTATTAAGAGCATGGTCGAATTGCAATCACCCAATGTGAAGACGAACTGGTGAGTTCGTCCGATCATCACAGCCATCACATAGACGGAACAGAATCCAGATAAACTCTATCTGCGCACAAAGCCAGACGAACCACCTGCGGCCCTTCTTAAACCGTTAACACTTGCGGTACTGTGGCTCTTGTTAAGCCAAGTATCTTTCACGTTGCGACCAGACTTCGAAGCCTTTGGTGCCAGTGCGGTTTTCACCTTCTTCCGAGAAGGACCCTCGTCGAGTACCCGAATCGAAGTGTCACCCATTTTTACATCCTTGGGACGCTTCTCCTTCTTATCGAGGAACTTCAATTTGTTGGGTTTTTTCTGTGCCGGTTCGAAGTCATCGATTGGAGGTGTCGGGGGTCTTGTGGCAGGCGCGGCATTGAGGATTTCATCAGGAAGCAAAGCGGGAAGAGCGGTTCGTCGTGTGTCTTGAGTTGTTGAGCCTTGGAGAGTTCCAGAGCTTTCCGATTGTGCATCCTCTGTCTCTTTCTTTTTCGCAGCCAACTTCGCCTGGGCTTTGCGTTGCTCATCCAGTTGTTTCCGCCTTTGCTTCTTCAATTGCTCTTCCCTGTAACAGTTAGAATAGGATAAAAGGAAATGAGGGGAAAAAGCAACTGACCTCTGTCTAATTTTTTCTTGTTTCTGGGCCTCCAGCTTAATCTTTGACAATTGCGCAGAGTTATCGATAGCCTCCGGGGCATCGTCGTCGCTGCTCTCATCATCGTCTTCTTGGTTGTCGGCTGAGGCTTCTTCTGTTGGTATCTCCTCCGGCAGTTCAGGCTCTTCGCTACCGAATTTGATGTGACCCTTCTTCTCAGGAGCTGTCTGTTCTTGCTTCGATTCCGACCCCTCTACCTCCGACTCATCTTGCGCATCTTCCGAACCTTCAGTTTCGCTTCTCCGGCGCTTATTACTCTGACCATCCTTTTTCCCAGTGTTCACCTTCCCATTCGCAACCGTTGTGCCATTGGGTTGAGCTTCCGCAGCAGCCTTGTTCCCCCGTCTTGTTGTGACCATCTTTGGTTCGTTATCAGTGGTTGCGGTAGGTTTGGTCAGGTCGTCGGGATTGTGTCGCGTCAAAAGACCCTTTGCAGCGGTGACAAGGTGAGAAAACATAGAGGATCAAAGAGGTCCACTATGTATTCTGACCAGACTGGTTAACTGGATAAATATTATTGCGTGTGAATTTATTGGGTAGAGATGCTCTTCTGGATGTAGAAAAAAAAAAAAAAAAAAGGCCGTCCGGTGCGATGTTGACCCGAAGGCGGTGAGATTATCGCATCAGTAATATGAGACTATGTATAGCGGATTGGCCTTCAAGACTGAATAAAGAGGGTGAGAGATAGGAATGACAAGAAGATTGTGTGGTATCTCATATATGCACAACCCGATATATAACGCCATCCGATTATAGAAACCAATCAAAACCCTCATATTTTAGACGCCCAAGAACTCCATGTATACCAATATATCTCACGCAACGCCCTGTAGAAGTCGCATTGGAAGGTCGAGGTTGCGTTTTATCTGGCAATCGCCATTTGCTTTCGCTCCATATGCTCCTCGTTCGCATTCACAAAATCATCCTCCCCAACATCACTCAGTTCATCCCAGAACCTCCCGTGCTCTTCTCCATCGTCTCCGCTCACAGTCCACATACTCTCCCTCAGACGCTTATTCCGCTCACGGTCCTCCTCAATCCTCTGCTCAATCTGCCTCTTATCGACGCGCATCCCATTGGGCCTAGAACCCCGCGGTGTCCCTGTCTTCGGCTTCCCACTACCTTCACCCCCTTCCTCATGTTCAAGATCAAGGGTATCGCGTTCTTTTAGAGCGGCGTCGATCTCAGCTACCGACTCGGCGGAGAGGATCTGCTTGGTTTGGAGACCGCTGAGGACTCGACGGACGTGCTTCACGTTTGCTGCGCCTGAGCCGTCTGGTGGGACGACAGAATCGACTACCCGTAGGATATCGCGCTGCATCATTCGAACGTAGGGGAGGTGGTCTTCTTTGGTGGCCATTTCGCAGAAGTGTTCGACGAAGTACATGATATTGGCTCTGTTATTCATATTATTCTAGATCGCGTTAGTACCTGTGTTCAATATCTCAGAAAGATATATACGAACCCTTTCAAGTTGTTCCAAAATGCACGAGTGAAGGTCCTCGTCCAAGTCGCGGTATTTGAGGGCATAATGCGCGGCTTTCTGTGACGATGTGATAGAAGCACTTAGATGCTGCAGCTGCGCTGTAAAGCGCATGCGCACCTCAAACGGATCTGCCATCATCTTGCCGGTGTGTTTTTTTCACAGAAATATAAGATGGAAGTATGTAGTTGTCTGTTGTTCCTGGGGGCGCTGATAAAACGGCCGAGGAAGGCGGTGACGTTTTGGACGGGCAGAATATGTGGGGTTGTTGGAGACGATGCAGCAGGTTTCCTCCAGGATTGAGTCACGCTTTGATAAATTTTTATTATTCCTATAAGAAGGACTTCGAGTGACAGCCTTTCATTGAACATAAATACTACCTTCGGAATTGAATATGGCTGCATCGAACGACATGACCCTCGCGTTCCTGGGCTGCGGTATGAATACCAGCAATGCCCATCGAGATAAGCAACTGACTGGCATCACAAGGAAACCTGGGAATCGCAATCCTCTCCGGTGTTCTCGCATCCATAACTGAAGCCAGAGACGACGCATCATATGCTGCCTCCGGAGACGTCCCGCAATTGATCCCTACAAAGTTCATCGCCTGTGTCCGCAAATCCGCCCAGCGTATCCAGGATGCCGTTAGCAAATACCCCTCGATTCCAGTTCAGATCTTCCAAAACGACAACATCAGTGGAGTAACGGAGGCAGACGCTATCATCCTTGGCTGCAAACCCTGGATGTTAAAAGAAGTCCTGGACGTTCCCGGCATGCGCAAAGCCCTGAAAGGAAAGCTGCTTATCAGTATCTTGGCTGGTTGTCCCGTTGAGCAGATCGAGGGTGTCTTGTACCCGGACGACTCCATCTCGACCGAAGACAGATGTCGCGTCGTCCGCGCTATGCCCAATACAGCCGCTATGGTCCGCGAATCAATGACAGTTATTGAGACCTCGTCTCCTTCGCTCCCGGATAAGTGGGATAAGCTGTTGACTTGGATTTTCACGCGCGTTGGCCAGGTGTCCCGTCTTCCTCCTGATAACATGGACGCCTGTACTTCGCTGGCAGGCTCTGGGCCTGGGTTTATGGCGTTGGTTCTTGAGGGTCTTGCTGATGGCGGCGTGGCGATGGGTCTGCCTCGTGCGGAAGCACAGCTTATGGCTGCTCAGGTCATGCGGGGGACGTCTGCTATGGTGCTTGATGGTGAGCACCCGTCTTTGCTTAGGGAGCAGATTTGCACACCTGGTGGGTGCACTGTGGGAGGGTTGATGGTGCTTGAGGAGAATGCTGTTAGAGGGAGCATTGCTCGTTCGGTACGGGAGGCTACTGTTATTGCTAGCCAGCTTGGGCAGGGTGTCAAGAATGTCAATGGGACGCGGCACTAGATGTGGTTGAATGCTTTAAAAGTGTTCATCGTGTAAAATAAATATAGACGGTAAATAGTCATGGCATAGAAAACAGCAACGACAAGTTACGACTGATATATATTTGTTAATGGAGACAGACAAGACTTAAACCAGTTCTATCATCATTATCCAAAGCAATCACATTCGAAACCAAGGATCAAAATGCCTTGATATCATGTCTAGCATCTATTAATATACATCAGCAAAAAGCAAACATGAGCAAGAAACCATTTCGGAGATCAGCCCTATAATGACGGCCGCCTCTCCAAAGAACTAGCAAGGCTATTCCCATCATCACTCCCAAGTAAACCAACCTCTTCAGCGGTGGTCGGCTGGATTTCTGCGTAACCCTTGTCCTGGTGGGATTCCGCTCCGTTAAGGACAGCCCAGACATCTTTCTTCGTAAGCAAGCCCTGTAGTATACCCTTGTTGGAGAACAGAACATAGCGCAGGCCGAGTCTCTGGAACATCTGCAGGACAATCAAGAAGGTCGTATGACTATTGAGCGTGATTGGTGTTTGGTCCATCCATGGTCGCAGGTCAAGAGTCTCTGCTGGGTCTGCGAAGGGTTGGTGTGCGAAGAAGACTTGTGTTTCACCGGATAAGCTGCGGTTAGTCTTTTTTGAGTGTTTCAGAGCGAATGAGAGCTCGTTCCTTGAGATATAACCCAGCAGAACAGGATTCGATGTATCTGTAACGACAGGGAACCCGCGGTATTGTGTTGTCGCGAGAACGTTACGGAGGGTATCAATTGTGTGACCGATGGCCACAATGACTGTGATATCATCAACGATAGTCATGACCTTATGGGCGGGTACATCTGGAGGAGTCGTGTCATCACGATGGTCGAGGAAGGGGTATTCATTCAGATGAATCCACGACTCATAGATCCCACGCTTCCCGAAGATATCGCCGCACCACTTGGAGAGCATGACCGCAATCATGATTGGGATCACATAGGTCAAGGCACCCGTCAGTTCGAACATGATGACAACTATGGATATGGTCATTCTCGTGGCACCACCCAAGGCAGCGGCTGCACCAATAATTGCATAAATCCCTGGTGTCACGCATGGGACATCTGGTTCACAGTTGCCGAACAGGAAGAAATCTGGATATGACTCTTGCCACATCTTGAAAGCTGTCCCCAAAGCACGTCCGTAAAGGGAACCAATCGCAAAAGAAGGTAGAATGATACCCGCGGGCACATCCAATCCGAAAGTCATCGTCGCAAGGAAAAACCCGAGAACCGCTGCCATTAGCAAGAAGGCTATCGTGGCCATTGACACCGCGCCAGGTGCGCAGAGACCAAACGGATCTTCCGTGTCCGTGCCGCATTCTGCAAATAATGATTGAACGAGCTCAGAGTTTTGAGCCCGCATGAAGAGATTGGGGAAGTTGATAAGAGCAGTCAGAAGAGTGACTATGATGACTTCTAAAACGGGACGAGCAGTGCTCCGAGATCTTCGCCATTTCGCGATTTTCAAGTTAAGCCGGATAAGAAAGGCTCCATATAGACCACCGACGATGCCCAAAATAACGAACGGGATGATCTCGAAACGATGCCATCCTCGCGTGTAAGTGACCTGGTAAAGGACGATATTTCCAGTTCGGAACGGGTTGAGTGCTTGTAAAGTTACTGCGGCTACCATTGCACAGACAAAACTCTGCCACATGGTCTTGTCTGGGAAATAATAAGACAATTGCTGGCTATGGTCAATCTGGGAATTTCATATTATTCATTTTGATAGACATACCTCCAGACTGAAGAGCACACCACCAATAGGAGCACCAAAAGCAACGGATATGCCTGCGGCCGCTGCGGCCGAAAGGACTTCGCGTTTTCTCGCTTCATTGTTGCTCAGGTTTTCGAATGGTCGCATGATAATGTTGGCACAGCAGCATGCAACATGGACAAGCGGGCCTTCTTTTCCCAGCCAGAGACCGGATGCGACAGAAAGACACTTCAGAGTCATTAATATTCAACTGCCCAAGTAGAATTGGCAGTAATGCTTACCAGTCCTAGAGACTTGATTGCCAGCGTCCAAGGGCCCATGAACTGTTTCATCACAAAACCACCGAGCACTGTCTTAATTTCCGGAATTCCACTGTGTCTTGCATAGATGGCATAACATCGCACCAGAACGGTGGCGCAAATTGCAAAGATGATCTGTTGCTGTTAGTGAGCATGATACTCAAGCGTATATGCGAACGGACTTCGTTACCGAATAGAAGATATAGAAAATGTATTCAACTGTGAAACCGCCGCCTTTAGAGTTGACATTTAAAGCTTTGCTCCAAGGTGTCCAATCTAGACATTTGGATATGTCTGCCAAAGCCATTCGTCAGTAACATAGCACAAGGGATTGGCATTAGACCAGAACCACTCACCATCGTGACCCCAGCAACAGAATGCGCGGTTGAGATAAAACTTCCCGCCTCCTGGTCCATTCTTGCAATATCCTGTTTTGATGTCGGCTAACCAGTCGCCTGCGACATCAATGAATGCTGCAATGATTCCCACTGCGACACCCGTGGCTATCAACACGAGCCAGACATTTCCAGCATCAAGCAACCTGCGCGCATACCCCACAATCCCTTGTCCACCAGAGTATAGCAGCCTTTTCCTTTGGCGTTCTTTCGTATACTCGAAGATCCAGTCGATCGCGGTAAGGTCATCGTAGCCAACACGTCGTCCTGGACCTTCCACATACCAGTCCATCGGAGCCCCTTCTTTGTGTGTGTTCAAATTCCCACCGGTAATAGTATGCGCGTTTGATGCTTCCTCTGGTGGTTGTCCATTGCGGCCAAATGCGCTGCCTCCAGGGGTCGATTCGGATGCGTCGTTGGAGAATAGATTCGACAAGCTGAATTTCGAACGCTGCTTTTTCTGTTTACGCTTAAATGAGATTCTAGAGATAACCAGGCTTTGTCAGTGACATGCGCTATATGAGAAGACGACTTCAGCATACGGTTCATGCGCCCGCTCGCTCAATGGCCCATTTCCTCCATCTTGCGGCAGCCCCGACAGGTTGTCATAGTCCGAGCCGAACGTCTCTGTGGATTGGCGACGGCTGTGAATATCCGGCCCTGACTGCGAAGACAACATGGCTTGTCATGAGGGTGTAGCTGTCAGTAGCGACATATCTCAATAGCCCAGAGTAGTTTCGCGATGCTGAAACAAAGCGATGCCAATACACTCTACTGTATGATCGTCTCCGGAGATGAGGCGCAAGCTCCGCGCTTACATAAGAGCGGTGAGTGTGACATTGTGGGGCTGCGCCACATATAGCGGCAGAAAAGAAAAAAAAAAGTTGCGGCGGCCAAGAAAGGAAATTCTCGACCAACACCAATTCAGCACGGAAGAGTTGCTCACTGGCAGGTATTCAATATGGACGGTAGACCTGCCTATGAGGGGGCTCTCGATGAGCCCCGACTCTTTCAACAGCTCCCTAATGAAATCGTGGAGCTCATTCGCGCGGCTTCGGGGACTCAGTACCTGAACGCGCTTGCGGTTGGCGCATTAAAGCCGCAATGTACAGAAGGATTCTTTGCCCTATACAAACCGATCTTTGTCGACATCGCAGCACGGTGGCTGCAATCCGATATTCCTGTTAACCAAGTCGACGTCCTTTCTGCATTCGCGCGTATCCTACCTTTTGCGCCATACCTCCGATCATTTGCCAGCCAATACACATTGTCTCGAGCTGGCCCTCTATCGAAAGAACTAACGTCTTTGCAGCTGGACGATACCACCATCCGTACATTACTCCTTGCAATTTTCCGACTTCTTTCATTCGACCTCGAAGTATTCTCAAAGGCCGTGTCGCCGTCGCAAATCCAGTCTCTCTTCCGTCATTCAGACCGTTCGATAAGATACCTCGCCGTACGATGCTTTGCTCTATACATGCATGCAGCGGATGCTGCGACGGAGAAGATGGTTCAGAGACACGTTGGGGATGAGCCAATTAAAGGGGAGTGGGAAGGCATTCCGATTGACTACCGCTGTTTGGGGTTGTGGGAGGAACGGCGATGGGAAATGCTGGAAAAGCAGGTCCAACATGCCAGGTTAACCCGGCCAGACGCAGAATGTCTGTCGCAGGCAGAGATGCTACGGGAGTTTTTCACTGCACGGACTGGGGAAGTCTCTGGCGTTTTGATCCCGAAGCTTAACGAGGTACCAGTCCCTCCATCGGCCATTGTGAGAACACCGACAGCCGTGGGGAACCTACGCAAGATTGCAAAGGCCTTACTCGACCCTCAACCACTCTTATTAGTTGGTTTACCGAACTCCGGGAAGACGTCTTTGATCAACGACATTGCTGCAATCATGGGCCAGTCCGAATCCATGGTCACATTACATTTGAACGAGCAGACTGACGCTAAGAGTCTCCTGGGAATGTACTCGACGTCGCCTGCAACGGGCTCGTTTGCTTGGCAACCGGGTGTGCTAACCAAGGCCGCGAGAGAGGGCCGATGGATCTTGATTGAGGACCTAAACCGCGCTCCATCTGAAGTCATCGGTCTCATTCTCCCAATTATTGAAAAGGGAGAGCTCACCATTGCCAGTAGAAAAGAACGCATAAAGTGCGCTGATGGATTTAAGATCATTGCGACGATGAAGTCTTCCTACAACATTGCTGGTGAAGAAATCGCTCCGGCTACCACCATCCTTGGGAGCAGGCTGTGGCAGCGAGTACAAGTCGATTCTCTTTCCGTTGACGAGATCCGCGTTGTTATTATGCAGAAGTTCCCTCTGCTTGAGTCTCGTGTACCTGTCATTATGGACGTCTATCAACGACTTTGCTCGGCGTTCCATGGGAACCTCGCCGTCCGGAGCTCGCAGGGACGGACACCAGGCTTCCGCGATCTCATCAAACTATGCAGTCGATTGCATAGACGGTTAGAGCGTTTGGGTGCCAAGACAGGCTACGAACCCACCCCCGAAGGCACTGAGGACGAAATATTCTTAGACACCGTTGATATCTTTCTCAGATACATTCCCGAGAAGTCCATGGAAAGTGCCCTGGCCGCAGTTGTGGCCGAAGCGCTTCAGATGTCTCCTCAGCGAGCAAGATTTGCCCTCCAAGAACGGACCCCCGTGTACTCGGATCAAGGTAGCAATTTGATACTTGGGAGAGAAAACTGCCGAAAGATGAAGGTTCCGAGTACATCGGCATCCAAGCTTGCGGCCGCATCGTCACGATTCGCTTCCACTCGGTCCGCTTTGAAGCTTATGGAACAAGTTGCTGCTTCAGTGCAGATGGCTGAACCTACTCTCCTCGTCGGTGAGACGGGCATCGGAAAGACGACAGTTGTTCAGCAGCTCGCGACATTGATGCGACAGAAGCTCACCGTTGTCAACTTGTCGCAGCAGAGTGAAAGCTCTGATTTGCTGGGTGGTTTCAAACCTGTCAACATCCGTACAATGGCGGTCCCGATGTTGGACGAGTTCACCACACTGTTTGAGTTGACATTTTCGGCAAAGAAGAATCAAAAGTTCTTAATGTCAGTATCTAAGAGCGTCGCGAACGGAAATTGGGCACGTTTGGTGAACCTCTGGCATGAGGCCGTTCGCTTAGCCGAAGGCGTGTTCAATGTAAACCGTGCTCCAGGTGGTGACGAGCAACCAAGCAAGAAGCGCAAGCTGGATTCGCCCAAGTACCAGCTCCTACGACAGAGGTGGCAACGGTTTACAACTCAGCTGAGTGACTTCGAAGCCCAGGTGTCCCAAGGAGATGCCAAGTTTGCCTTTGCTTTCGTCCAAGGAAAGATTGTCCGGGCACTACGGAATGGAGAATGGGTCCTCCTCGATGAAGTCAACTTGGCTTCGCCAGATACTCTTGAGAATATTGCCAGTCTTCTCCATCACGGCAGCGAAGGATCGCCTTCTGTTCTACTTTCCGAAGCTGGTGATGTTGAGAGGGTGTTTGGGCATCCCGACTTCCGCATTTTCGGCGCCATGAACCCTGCAACGGATGCAGGGAAGCGTGATCTCCCTCCCGGCCTCCGCTCTCGTTTTACCGAATTCTACGTACACTCGCCCGATAACGACCTTGATGATCTGTTCGCCCTTATCCAGAAGTATCTCGGAGACTTGACAATAGGTGATTCGCGGACTGTGCCGGATCTCGCGCAGCTGTATATGGAGACAAAGAAATTGAGCACCGACAACAAACTCACCGATGGAGCTGGTCAACGTCCACACTTCAGTATCCGTACCCTTGTTCGCGCCCTTATCTATGCCGTCGACCATTCACACATCTACGGGTTGCGCCGCGCAATCTTCGAGGGGTTCTGCATGAGTTTCCTGACCGTTTTGAGCCAAGAATCTGAGCGACTCTTGACGCCTCTTCTTGAGAAATACATTTTCAGCAATACCAAAAACGCAAGAGCCCTTCTTGGACAGACGCCTCGCCCCCCGAACGATGGCAACAACTATGTGCAATTCAAACATTATTGGATGCGACAAGGACATCTGCAACCGGAGCAGCAGCCCCATTACATTATCACCCCCTTCATTGAGAAGAACCTGAAGAACTTGGTCCGAGCCAGTTCGACTCGCCGATTCCCTGTTTTGCTGCAGGGTCCAACGTCCGCCGGTAAAACAAGTATGATTGAGTATCTCGCCAAGGTTTCAGGGAACAAGTTCGTCCGTATCAATAACCACGAACACACGGATCTGCAAGAGTATCTTGGATCGTATGTGTCTGGCGATGATGGGACCCTTCATTACCAAGAAGGTATCCTGGTAGAAGCGCTCAGACATGGTTACTGGATCGTCCTCGATGAACTCAACCTTGCGCCGTCAGATGTTTTGGAGGCAATGAACCGGCTTCTCGATGACAACCGTGAACTCTTCATACCCGAGACCCAGGAGGTCATCCACCCCCACCCTAACTTCATGCTGTTCGCTACTCAAAACCCCGCTGGTCTTTACGGGGGTCGAAAGGTGTTGTCTCGTGCTTTCCGGAACCGTTTCCTCGAGTTGCACTTTGATGATATCCCGGAGAATGAACTGGAATTCATTCTCAAGGAACGGTCCCAAATCGCCCCTTCGTTTTGCGCCAGGATTGTGGCTGTTTATCGGAAGCTTTCCTTACTGCGCCAGACAAACCGCCTTTTCGAACAGAAGAACAGTTTCGCGACCCTGCGTGATCTTTTCCGGTGGGCTCTTCGACCAGCAGACGACCGTGACCAGCTTGCTGTCAACGGTTTTATGTTGCTCGCTGAACGTGTCCGGAACCCGCAGGAGAGAGCAGCCGTTAAGAGTGTGATCGAGGAGGTCATGAGAGTGAAGATCGACGAGGATATCATCTATAGCTCGCGGTATCTGGAGAAATGCGCTCAAGGTGTGACGCAGCTCGCGCCGGGCATTGTGTGGACCAAGGCTATGAGGCGACTTTTCGTACTGGTTTCCAAGGCAATTCAGAACAACGAGCCCGTTCTTCTCGTTGGTGAAACTGGATGCGGAAAGACTCAGCTTTGCCAGGCCGTTGCAGAAATTTATGGAAAAGAGCTATTCGTTGTCAACGCACATGTCAACCTGGAGACGGGAGATCTCATCGGAGCTCAGAGGCCTGTGCGGAACAGGTCAGCGATTGAGAAGCAGTTATCCAGTGATCTTCGAACAGTGCTTGGGGAGAGCCCGCCAGAATTGGCCTCGCTTGACGAGTTGAAGCACGGTTTTGCGGCATTGAATGCGGACCAATTGACAACTTGCGACCAGGAATTGGTCCGGCGAGTCCAGCACAACATTGTTCGGTCCAACGCCCTGTTCGAATGGACAGACGGAAGTCTCATCTCCGCGATGAAATCTGGGCAATTCTTCCTTCTGGATGAAATTTCCCTCGCGGATGACTCGGTGCTGGAACGGCTTAACAGTGTCCTGGAGCCTCAACGCTCGATCCTCCTTGCCGAAAAGGGACCTATCGATTCTATGGTGGTGGCCGATGGCGGGTTCCAGTTCCTCTCGACAATGAACCCTGGTGGTGACTACGGTAAGCGTGAGCTTTCCGCCGCTCTTCGTAACCGTATGACCGAAATTTGGGCGCCTCAGTTGTCCGAAGACGAGGATATCTTGCCCATTCTCCAGCAGAAACTTAGTCTGGGACGCGAAGATGTTTCCAAGGCGATGTTGCAGTTTGCGAAATGGTTCAAGTGGATATTCCAGAGCTCCTCGACAAATTCTCTTTCGATCCGTGATCTCCTTGCCTGGGTCGACTTCGTGAACAAATGCCAGACTTCGGATCCGTTGTTCGCAATTGTGCAAGGTGCTGCGATGGTCTTCATCGATACTCTGGGTGCAAATCCTGCCGCGATGCTCGCAATGTCGCTGCACGATCTGGAGGGCAACCGTCAGCGGTGCCTCAACAAGCTACAGGATCTGTTCGCCGTTGACGCATCTGGCATCTACTGGCAGAAATCAACCGTCACTGGGAAGGATGGGTATTTACACATTGGTCCTTTCGATCTCCCTGTCAATCGTGACGCGACGCCGGACCCTGATTTCATCATGGATGCCCCAACCACTATTGCCAACTCGGTCAGGATTGCTCGCGGTCTGCAGTCGTCCAAGCCGATCCTTCTCGAAGGTAGCCCAGGTGTCGGTAAAACCACACTCGTCGCCGCTCTGGCCAAGGCCCTCGGAAAGCCTCTCACTAGAATTAACCTTTCGGAGCAGACTGACCTTACAGACCTGTTTGGTTCCGATGTTCCTGTTGAGGGAGGCGATGTTGGCCAATTCACCTGGCGCGACGCGCCCTTCTTGCAGGCAATGCAGCGCGGAGATTGGGTTCTTCTCGATGAAATGAACTTGGCTTCGCAGTCAGTGCTCGAAGGTCTCAACTCTTGCTTGGATCACCGTCAATTGGTCTACGTTGCAGAGCTTGACCAGACTTTCAAGAGACACCCCAACTTCGTTCTGTTTGCTGCGCAAAACCCCCATCACCAAGGTGGTGGACGGAAGGGTCTTCCTGCGTCGTTTGTCAACCGTTTTACTGTTGTGTATGCGGACAGCTTCACCGACACCGATTTGAAGAGAATTAGCGCAAGACTCTTCCCCGGAAGTCCTCAAGTGCAAACCGATAGGCTGGTTGATTTCGTCTCGCTGCTGAACATTGCCATTACTCAGGAGCGCCGGCTTGGAGCTGTTGGTGGTCCATGGGAAGTCAACCTCCGTGATATCCAAAGATGGCTTCAGCTGGCAGACCGTGGCGATCTGCAGATCCCAACCAACAACTTCCTCGATGTCATAATCGCTCAGAGATTCCGGAGTCCCGAAGATCGGGAGTTGGTATCGAAGCTGTACAAGCGGACTTTCACTGATGCGCCGACGAATGCCAAAAGCTACTACCACAACCTGACTCCCGAATACATGCAAGTCGGCCTCGGTACTATGCGGAGAGATCAACTTGTGCAGCGAACGCCCGAGCCCCAGATGAAGGTCCTTCCCAGAGACTTGTCCATCCTTGAGTCGTTGATGCTTTGCATAGAGCAGTCATGGCCGAGTATTCTGGTTGGATCCACTGGTTGCGGTAAAACGACACTGATCAGGAAGATTGCTGCTGTCAATGGTGCTCAGTTGGTTGAACTGGCGTTGAGCGCTGACACTGATACGATGGATTTGATCGGAGGGTTTGAGCAGATTGACCACAACCGGGAGGTGTCTTCCCTTGTGCAAGAGATTTCGCGGTTCATTCAGCAGAACACAATCTTGTCCTATTCATCAGACGGAGTTTCAGACTCAATCCTGCCTTTCCTTGAGCTTCATGAGATGATCCAAGGCTCTGATGTCTCTTTGGAGGCGCTATGCGCCGCCCTTTCAACGTTGCTCCAATCCTACCAGGATCCGACACTCGAACAATTCCTTTCCCGCGCCCAGTATTTGTTCAATCTTTCGAGGCATTCGGACAAGATGAAGGTCGGTTTCGAATGGACAGAGGGTGTCTTGACGCAGGCTGTTCAGCATGGACACTGGGTTGTTCTCGACAATGCCAACCTGTGCAACCCGTCCGTCCTCGACAGGCTGAACTCTCTTACTGAATCAAACGGAACCCTCATTCTCAATGAGCAGCGTACGGAGGATGGATCCGCCCGCACCATCACACCGCATCCAAACTTCAGACTCTTCTTGACAATGGACCCTCGTCACGGCGAGCTGTCTCGCGCCATGCGGAACCGATGTGTTGAGATCTGCTTCTTGCATCAAGAGACCGACGACTACAGGGCCACACTGGGACCGGCTTACACCTGTGAGTCTTTCTTGTACCGTCTCCGGACTGCCTGGAACTTCGAGTCCCAGCCGGATGACGAGCAGCTGGCCGGAAAGTCGTACGAAGTACGTCTTAACCATCTCTCCGCTCGGGACCTGCTCTACCTCCAAAGCTCGCTGGGCTCTTGGAATTCGGAGCCTTTCACGTCGATACTCCGTCGTTATCTGTCGCTGGTACACGACAATGCTGCTTGGAAGCCACTGGAGCAACTTAAGGCTCAGGTGGTCCTGGGAGGTGCTCCTCTCGCCATCCAAGGAGAGTCACAACCCTTGCACCCTCTTGTCAATGAACCACTCGCTTTGATTTCGGGATCAAATGCGCCTCTTCCTTGGCTCAATTTGTTAGCCCGCCTTCAAGAGTGCAAACTTGACCTTTATTACTTGAAGCAGGGTTTGCAACGGGCAGACGAGTCTGGGAAGCTTCTTAAGCCAAGTGAAATGACTCGATTGGAACGTTCCCTCGCATCAGGACGGATACCCGCGTTGATGAAGGATGCAACGCAGCCTGTTGGATTTTTCCTTTCCGACTGCGGTCAAGGGTTGTATGACTTTATCCAGCAGCTGGATCACCAAGTTTTCGACGTTCCAGCCGTAGCATCTGCTCTCCGTGCCGTTGTCGATTTCTGCGCCGACATTTTCAAGGTCAGCGAAGCCAAGCAAGTGGATGAGGGAGAGTTCCAGATCTATCTTCAAATTGGAAGAGAGCTGTGTGCCGCTCTCTTCAACTCTTCGCCCTTCTTCCAGCCTCTGGCAGTTGCTTTGTCGCAATACCTTGGTCGTTTCCAGGCCGAGTGGGCTTTGACGATGGGTCTCAGCATGCAGAAAATTTGGGACACCTGGAGGCCTGCAACTCCGGCAACCCAGGGTCAGTTGGACTTGGTGATGCAACTCGAGGCTGTGGCCCACGAATTTGGGAACCTCGCCACTAAGACTCGCCTTGAATTGTCTCAGTTGGGTCGCGTGCGGAACTCGCTCATCGACGCACAACGGGCTATCCTTATAGATGGTGCTGATGGAGAGCTGCTTGTCGAGGTAAGTTAAATTCTCTTTGATCCTGGAAAAGTGTCAGGCCTTCGAGAAGCTAACAATATGCAGAGTCTTAAGCAGACGGTCACGGAACTGACAAGCGCCGTGCGCCACACCGATTCGTCCCAGTATCCTTACTTTGCTGGCGACTTCGAGGCCTTGTGTCAATACCATGATGTTTCCATGGGTAACAAAGAGGCGGACACTGCTGTCGGGACTATTATGCCCCTTCTCGCCGGCCGCCCCGCGAGACCGGTTGATGCCTCAAACCTTCAAAGCCAAATCCCAGGTGTTCTGCATAAGTTGGCTCAACTATCCGGATCTAGTGACTCGACAACCCACGCACCTGCAATGGGCGGCACCGCTTCCCTGTCTCTGCTTGAAAAGATTATGTTCGTTGACACTACCAGCTTGGGTCAAATGGAGTTCCTCGAGGCCGAAAAGCAGGCACTATCCAAGGCTGTTGCATTGACTAGTCACGAAATCGCCATGGATCAGGCGAAGGTTCTCAGGCAGGCACTGGCAAGAATAGCTCTCGAATCCGTCAACCTTCACAAGGAGTTGTTCGAGCCACAGTCCTTGGAATATATGCTTACGGTTTTGCGGACTATTGAGAAGCAGGGCTCGTACAATGACTGGCAACCATCGAGCTGTCGCCTGGAGAAGAGCCTGCAGGATGACCATTACTTCAAGGCATTCGCAGAGAAAGCGCTTCCTGGTCTCGTATCGACCCTTGTGGCTGGTGCGCAGAACCAAGAGGAGGATGTTCGGAATGCTGGAGTGGCAACTATTGAACTGGCAACCATCCTCCTGCGTCTTTACGTGCCCGACAAACCTTTCGATCCCTCGCTCGGCCTGGTCGTCCAACGCAAGCGACATGCTCAGCGTGTATCCGAACTCACTACCAAGTCCGAGGCTATCTCTGCATTTGAAGTCGGATTCACCGGACAGAGCTCGAATATGCGCCATGAGATCTTACAAGGCGAACTACGGGATCTAGGAGCAGCTCCGCCGCCTTCATCTGTCACTCGGCCACAGAATTCTTCGATCAGCCTCTTGCAAGGCGAATTCTCCAACCTCATCACCTCCGTGCTCGACAGACATCCAGAGGCTATGGTCACGAACGGAGATGCTATGAAGGTCCAAGAAGCCAAGCTACTCCGCGACAATGTTCAGCAGTTGAGCCGTCGTCTAAGCACCCACTACCGGTCTTACGATGACATCACAACGCCTGTTGTTCGTTTGCTCCAGGTCTTGGATCTTGGAATGTACTTGGCTTCTAGCCAGTCAGGCGAGGTCCAGATTCTGAAGGCAGTCAGTGAGATCACGCCGTTCCTCGGTGGTGTTATCCACCCGGAGTCTACCTTGGATGGCGCAAGACCGTCACCAGCCTCAAACCGTGTCCTCGACATCAGGTTCCATGAGCTCTCATCCCTGGGAGTAGCGGCGAACGCAGACTCCATGGTTCTTCAAAGCCAGAAAGGCAGGGACGCTCTGCGCCGGATATTCGAGCAGTTCCACTACTTGTGGAAGACAAAGCTTCGCGAAGACCAAGAGGAGCAAGCACAAAAGAGCAATTTGTACCAATACCGTGGTTCTTGGGAGGACGAAGAGCAAGTGGACGAAACCGAATTGCGTGAGATGTTCCCTACGTACGACACCGACGTTGTGGAAGAAGGCAAGGAGCCGAACCGCTTCGACCCCAAGGCTATCTCTCGCCGGCTCGCTTCGCTCCATGCGAAGCTGTTCGAGTCTGACGACACGGAACGAACTCTGTCAGCCTTCGTCAAGGAATCCGCCCGCCTGTTGGGAACTCTTTGGTCAGAGAGCAAGACTGCCATATCGCCGATCCATCCGAAGGAACATCTCCCCGGTGTGCTGTTACTGCTTGACGATATGATTAGCGGAGAAGCACCAAAGTACAACTTCTACACGGATTCGAACCTCACAGAGGCTCGTAAACTCATTGCCTTGACGGTTTCCGTGCAGTCGCGCTTTATCCAGCTTCAAACAGCATGGCCTGATCATGCAGTGATTCAGGACGTCATTCTGTACTGCAAGGATATCTTCCAGTTCAAGCACTCGGAGCCCGTTGCCAAGTTCCTTACGAAGGTCGAGAAGCTTCACGGACTTGTTTATGAATGGCAGCTTGTAGCCAGCCGAGAATATTCCGCCGCTTCGCTCTATGATGAACTGACGAGTACGATCATCAACTGGCGGCGCCTCGAGCTATCAACATGGGCTAAGCTTCTGGACATTGAGAAGGAGAAGTGCGATCAAGACGTGAGCTCGTGGTGGTTCGTCGCGTACGAAGCGATCATCGCAGCTCCACTGCAAATGGCGGAATCTGGCGAGGCGGACATGGGTGCTCACATCCAGGAGGTCATCGCAACTCTCGAACAGTTCTTCCTTTCGACAACCCTGGGACAATACAGCGAGCGTCTACGTCTCGTTGCCAACTTCCGCTCTTTGCTTCTGCTCTACGTTCAAGACTATCCCTCCCTGGGCCAGCTTGTTTCCGGTCTGCAGAACTTCCTCGAACACTACAAACCGTTTGAACCTCTCGTTAACAAACTCCTGGTTGAGAAACGCGCTGGTCTCGAGAAGGACATCAAGGAACAAATCCAACTGGCCAGCTGGAAGGACACCAACATTGTTGCCCTCAGGGAGAGTGCCAAGCGCTCCCACCACAAACTGTTCAAGCTTGTTCGGAAATACCGCGAAGTCCTTGCGGGACCTGTCCAACCTACTCTGGAACAGGGAATGTCTGACTACAGCGAAGAGCCTAGTCTTGCTGCTTCTCGTGCTGACTTCCTGCCCACGGCTGTTATTCCTGAAGCGTTGGACATGTGCCAGAAGGACAGCGCACTGTGGCTTAACCGGGCACCCCGGTTCAAGAACACGGATACCACAGTCAACAACATGACGCAGCTGTACTCGTCCATGCCTTCCGACTTCGACATCGCTGAGGATATCGGCAGCTTCGTCAGCTACGTCATTGAAGGCATCAATGACTTCAAGTCCCAGACGCCGAAAATACTGACCGAAGACAACAAGGAGGATGTTCAGCATCTCAAGGTTCAGAAGCGTCGTTTCTTTGCTGATACTCTGCGACAAATGCTGGAGATGGGCATTAAGCGCAATGCGAGCACCAGCTTGCTCGAAACCCAGGCGTCTTCTGCTCAGGTCCTTGCTACGATTGCCACCCTCGACATCAGCCCCGTGTCCTCGCATCTGATCCAGAATGCCAACTCCTACTTCCACAGGTTCTTGGATCTATTGCCTCGCACTCGCCAGGCATCGCACCACTACTCTGAGGAGTTAAGCAATGTCGAAGCGTCTAGGGGTATGGGTTCTATCGAGCACCTGCTCTTCACGCTCAGGAAGCAGAGAGGCGTCATCTCTCCTGCCCTTTCGAACTTGAGCTCCTTCAAGTCTACGATCGCTAAGATGTCTAATCTGTGGCAATCTGGTCTCAACTCTCTCTCTGCTTCTCCACGATCTCCGGCTGATGGCCAAGATCTGTCGAAGATTGTCGCATGGCTGACTCCTATTCTTGGAATGGCCGCAGAAATTGTAGACGTGCATTCCAGGTTCTCTAGAATTGACGCAACGGCCATCTCCAAGGACCTGCGAGCATGGAAAGCCACGTCTGACCGCCTACACAAGTCTCTGGTCAACCTTCCTACGCTGCCATCCAGTGTTTCTTCGCAGCAACATCAAGCCCTTGTCGATGAGTCATGGTCCTCCCTCAACCAATTGACCATCGACCTTGCGAAGTGGACTTCCGAACGCCCTGACTTATCTTTCGCATTGGACCAAATCACACCCTGGATCAAGACGAAGACCGATTCGACCATGCAGCAGAACGGAACGATGGCGTTTACCGTCCAAGACTTCGATGCAAGTCTCCTCAATGCTGTTGATAAGATACTCGTCGGTCTGCAGAAGTTGAAGGAAGTGCCGGCTGCACTCACCTCTGAAGGTACCTTGGCACGCAGTGACGAGTTCTTCAGTCGTACTATCAAGTCTGTCCGCTTGTCTGAAATCACCTCATCTCTGGAGTCTGTCTTGGACACACTGCACTCCGGTGCCGATATCCCCTACGCTTCCGCATTGATCGCAAGCGTCCTGCCGATTACGAACAAGTACTACCTCATCTGCGAAGACCTCACCGACCGCTTCATCTCCGTCCACCGCGAAACATGTAAGATGTCCTACGTGCTCGCCAAGTCCTTTATGACGATTGCGTCTGAAGGATTCTGTCAACCTGCCGAGGCGTCTACGGGTGAAGAGAGCAAATCCGGCCAGCTAGAAAGCGGTACGGGTCTTGGTGATGGTGAAGGTGCGGAAGATATTAGCAAGGATGTTGCTGATGATGAGGACCTGTCGGAGCTTGCGCAGCAACAGAACGAGGAAGCTAAGGAGGATCAGGAGGACTCTGGGGATGCAGTGAATATGGATCAAGAGGAAATGCAGGGAGAATCTGGCGAGCGTAAGGAAGGAGAGGAGGATGAAGAGAACGAGAGTGGTGAGGAAGGAGAAGATGATATTGATGAGGAGGTTGGCAGTGTCAACGATCTTGACACCGATGCACTTGATGAGAAGATGTGGGATGGTGAGCGTGATGAGCAGCAAAAGGAAACTGAAACGCAAGAAGGCAAGGGTGCCACGGAATCGGAAGAGCAGACCGCAGGGGAGAAGGAGCAGGAGCAGAAGGATCAAGAAAAGGGTGAGAAGAGTAAGGAAGGGGAGGAAGAAGAAGAGGAGGAAGACGAAGAGGAAGAAGATCCGGATGATGAGGGCGAGGCTGTTGGACGTGAAGATATGGATGTGACAGATCCGCACGCCAAGGAGGAAGAAGCGCTTGACCTCCCCGAGGAGATGCAGCTCGATGGAGAAGAGCAGGGAGATAAAGACGAGGGTGACGACGATGATGGAATGGATGAGCTTTCCGACATGGGTGCAGCACCTGAAGAGGAACAAGCTGAGCAGCAAGGAGAAAACGCCGAGGAAGACGCCGCCGATATGGACCAGACAGCAGAGGAGCAAGGAGAAGGAGAAGGAGAAGGCGAGAACGAAGAAGAGAAGCCCGAGGATGCCGAAGCCAACGAAGCTGAAGGCGATGACGAAGCCAATGCTCCGGGCGAGGACGAAGAGCAACCGGAAGAAACCGATTTCCTCGCTCAGCGCGACGAGAACGAAGCCGCGGGTGAGGAGGTTGCCCCTAGTGAAGCTGTCAACGGAGGTCTCGGCGCCGATCAAGATCAGAACCAAGACAAAGGTGCATCCGGCGACGCACAGCAAGAAGATGGCGCGGCGGATCCTGCAAACACCGAGCAGCAGACTGGCGCTGCTCAGGACGGCGAAGACAGCAAGCGAAGCCGCGACGCGGGTGGTGCGGACGATAACACGAAATCCGAGAAGCCTGAGATGCAGGCGTTCAAGAAAATGGGCGACATCCTGGAGCAATGGCACCGTCGTCAGAAGGAGATAATGGAATCGTCGAAGCAGGAAGACGAAGCTGAACAACAGCTGCCTGAAGACACCGACATGGCAGATGCTGACTTCGAACACCTCGCGGATCAAGACGATGTCGCTGACACGCAAGCCCTTGGCCAAGCCAGCGAAGAGCAAGCAAAGGCTCTGGATCAGAATAAGGGTGTTGAGTCTGATATCAAGCCCAACGACGAGGCTTTGCCCGATGTGTCGAACGACCAACAAGAGGATCTCCCTGAGAACAATCAGGATGAGATGCAGGTAGACAACGACGCAGCTCCCACGGAACGAGAAGGGGCGGGGGCCATGATTCCTGGTAACGCTCAGACCCAGGAACGGACAACCGAGTCCCTTGGCCAGCAAGATCTCAACGAGGAACTAGACGAGGTGGACTCCCATCTCGCAGCCATCCACCTGTCCTCCACCCTCCCACCGCTCACACCCCGTGATGAAGCCCAACGCCTCTGGTCGCAATACGAATCCGCCACCAACGACCTCTCCCTCTCGCTCACAGAACAACTCCGCCTCATCCTCGCCCCAACTCTAGCCACAAAACTCCGCGGCGACTTCCGCACCGGAAAACGTCTCAACATCAAACGCATCATCCCCTACATCGCCTCGCAGTACAAGCGCGACAAGATCTGGATGCGCCGCTCCATCCCCTCCAAGCGCAACTACCAAATCATGCTCGCCGTCGACGACAGCAAGTCCATGTTAGAAAGCGGCAGCGGCCAACTCGCCTTCGAAACCCTCGCCCTCGTCGCAAAGTCTCTCAGCATGCTTGAAGCAGGTGATCTGTGTGTCTTGGGCTTCGGTAACGAGGATCATGTCCGCGTTGCGCATGAGTTCGGTAAACCTTTCTCCTCGGATGCGGGCACGGAGGTCTTCCAGCACTTCAGCTACCAGCAAACCGGCACGAACGTGCGCAAGTTGATCGCTGATTCCATCGCTCTCTTCCGCGAGGCGCGCTTCAAGCGCTCTCCTGGCTCCGGCAGCGCTGACCTATGGCAACTGGAGCTGATCATTTCGGACGGTATCTGTGAAGACCACGATACCATCCGCCGCCTCGTGCGCCAGGCTCTTGAAGAGCGAATCATGGTTGTCTTCATCATCGTGGATGCTGTCAAGGGAAGCTCGATCTTGGATCTCAGCCAGGCGAGCTTCGAGCCGGATGTTGAGAGTGGGACAGGAGAGATGAAGTTGAAGATGAAGAGGTATTTGGAGGATTTCCCGTTCCCTTACTACTTAGTTGTGCGTGATGTGAGAGAGTTGCCTGCTGTTTTGGCTACGGCGTTGAAACAGTGGTTTGCTGAGGTTGTTGATGTTTCTTCTTAAAAGCATTACATGATTTTTGGGGTTATACAAGGTTAAAGAAAAGTTTCTGTTTGTTTCTGCAATGTAAATAGGCATCTAAAAGCAGTGTACATGGCGTGTTTCAAATTAATTATTATGTTAACTTGATTTCCCAAATTGTAGGCATTCATGCATGGCAGAATAATATCATCATAACTCATTAAATGTCTATATAGTTAGTACAAATTAAATCAAAAGTATGCTAAAAACCGATGCAACCCGAGCCAGATAAAAATATCACCACCCATACTTCGACCCAGCCTCTTTCTTGTTCCTCCGTCCCGTTGCAAAGCTCTCCTCCAGAGCATCCCGCTGGTTGCTGGCAGCATTGACCAACTGTTGCAAAGTGTGCTTTCCTGGCGCAATTGCCCGCACGGGATTGTGTTGAGCTGCGGCAAGATCTGTGCCCTGCGCCATTTCTTGGTTGGCGGCATACTCTGTGTCTGTGTTAAAGTTGAGGATCCGAGAATTGGATGTATCTCCATGGCGGCCAAACAGGTGGCGTCTTTGAGCACGAGAAAGATTGAGGTCGTCTGCAATGTTGTCAAGCGTTTGGGTCTGTTGCGGCGCTGCGGTTGATGCCGCTGATGCAGTGGTGGCTTCAGATTCTAGTGTGGGACCTGCTACAGGTACATCGGGGGTTGTGTTATAGACCAACGGTTGGTAACTCGTGCTCTCAGCAGGACCATTCGAGGGAGCTGTTGCGGACGATTCTTCCGAGGATATGGAGAAAAGGCTGACTTTGGGTTTTGGTGCAGGTGGTGGAGGGGCCTGTTGTGCATGTTGCTGCTGCTGCTGCTTTGGTTGTGGAACTGGCTTCGATTCATCGGCAGCAGGTAAAGGTGTAGGGGCCTTGGGGGGCTTTTTCTTCTGATTCCGTCCCACAGAAAGCGGTTTAAACATCATCGCGTTGCCCTTCAGTTTTACCTCTCCTTCCGGCTTCTGTGGAGGCTTGGTTTCTGTAGTACCTCCTGCTTCAGCATAATCCTCAGCCTGTAGACTTCCCGCTTTAGGGATATCCTCATCACCGCCCTCCAAAGCCTGGTTATGCCGCATCTCCGCATCAGCCGAACGATCGAATCCCGGAGCCGCACCCGTCTTCAAACCAAACACCTTCCGCGCAGACCCAGCAGGCTTCTTATCCTTATCCGCCGTAACAGTCTTCCGCTTCGGAGCCGGTAGCATCGCGTTGAATCCCGAGAAAGCTCCTCCACCTCCACCTAACCTGGGTTTCTTCCGCGCAGGTCCATCTTCGCCTTCCTTGTCACCATGTGCAGTCTCTGGTTTGATTTCGGGTAATGCGACACGGATCTTGCGAGGGTTACTGCGGTCGACGATGGACGAGAAGTTTGCGCTGGAGGGTTGTTTGGGGGGATTATTGGCGGGTGTAGGCGCGGGTGCAGGGACGGGTTTCTTCTGTTGGGGTTGGGTCACATTTTCTTGCTCGGAGTCGGAAGCTTCTGAGTCGGAATAATTGACGAGAGCCATGGTGTAAGAGCGTTGGATGTGTTTGCAGTTTAGATAATGGAATTTACCAGATGAGGTCTGGAAAGTCGGGCGGTGATGTTATATACCGTGTTTTGCCACGGTATGGCTGTCATTTATAAGTGTTCTTATTGGCCAGTGTATAGATATCATTACTCCTCTTCGGGGCATTAAATGTTTTGTAAGTATCCCAGGGGTAGAATAATCCGAATATGATAAGTTGAGCTAGTATCAGACTTATTACTCTCTCATTCTTTCTCTTCGTACTTTCCGCCAGCACATCGAGTTCGCAGTGTTCGATACATTCCCTATAAAGTGATTAGGACCGGACCTGAAAGATGCCCAGCATTTCGGTTTGTTTAGTATGATAATTGCATGGTTCGCTCCCCTTCCTTGAAGGCATGTATGCCATGTTCTATTTTTATGGGTTTGTTGACCCCTGAGGGCTGCATACCATATCTGTGTGGTATATGAGAGGAAACTAAAACGTAACGAGAACATCATGGCGAGGGGCAGTATATGAAGATTCCAATCATGCGACGAGGCTAACCGGATGTCAGACATTACCTCAATATGTAGTCGAAGCAAAAAAACTACTATCTTTCAGGGCCGTTCCTAGCTTGTCGAGGCTACACAAGGCTGCGGATGGGACACTATACTGGAAATCGACCGGTAACAGAAAGAAGAGAAGGTGAAGATAGCCATGAAATCATTCCAATATAAAAGCGAGGCATATCATGTAGCGCCATCAACACCAATAGTTCGCCAAACCCAGCTCATCCACAAAACTCAACCCCCAAATGTACGCACAAAGGAACCGCCTGGAATAAGCAGCATTAGTTGTAACATCAATTGACATACCGTACATACCTCTGAGATCCAAGTCCCCGTCCTCTAGATCCCCAGAGCGCCCATGGGTGCGAATACAACAACCACAAGCAGTCGTACAGTGCCCTCGATTTTTATTATCACAGCATCCACAACCTCGCGCGCAACAATCCCCACAACCAGCACAATCCTGGCGCAGGAACCTGCACAAATACCAGTCCGGATTATTCCTGCATGTCCTAAAATCTCGCTCCAGCGTCCCAACAGGCATGCCCCCTTCTAACTCCCAGAGTCTTGGTGCGCGATCTTTGAAGCTATGCTTCAGATCCTCGAGCTCCGTTTCAAATACCAAAAGCAGCGACTCAGTGGCTCCAGTGTCATCCGATCCCAAGGCCAATAATGTCTTTTCCAAAGCCTTGACCTCCTCCTGGAGATAGATCTGTCTCTGCAGTGCCCAATGTGCTTCGATCTCCGCCTCAATCACCAACTGAGACCATGTCAGATCATCATCCCGCCACGTGATGTCCTGGTTGCCGAATAGACGCCAGCGTAGGATCTAAGCAAGTGGAGTGTAGCCAGCGCCTTCCAGTCTGTTCTCAAGTTCTCTCACCCAGAAATTTCGTTTTATAGCTCCGCATGGTATTGCGAGGATGATCCTGATTTTTTTCTCTGAGTGGTCTTTCTGATAGTAAGGTTGCTCGCAGTTCTCGGACATCTTTGGTCTTGAGAAGGCACTCGTACCATTCTTCTGGTGTTCGGTGGAAAAGCATGGAGAACATGGTTGCGAGCAAATGTTTTTTTTTTTTTTTTTTTTTTTTTTTTTTTTTTTGGTTGTAGAGCTGTTGTGGGTTACTTTCAATCTGGTTGTAGCCTATTACGCTATTTGATGCCTGGCGTCATACAGTTGGAGCCCATTCATGGACTATATAAATACCGAATTTATGCTCACAGGATTATTTATTATCCTTATAAGATGATGTATACAATGCAAGGGAAAATATCTATTCAGCCGGAATGATTCAAAGAGAAAAAGCACCTTATATATCCCAAGTCCGATTATTTGGTACGTCGTTGATGGGCATGTCACGTAGTGGAGATGAAGGTTGCACCGTCTAGCTTATTTAGAAGTATAGTACTGTTTCGATGTTAGCACGGGAATGAGGATATCAACTGGTTATGAAAGGGAAGTGAGCTTACCATTTACAGGTTTTGGCCGAGAGTAGTAACGACCGAGCCAACAGAGGAGCCAACAGCAGGCAGACCAAGGCCAGTGACAAGACCAGCAACGCTAGGAGAGAGCTGGATGAGGAGAGCACCACCATCCTGGCCAACAACAGTAAGGAGGTTGTTGACAGGAGCACCGAGGTCCTTAACAAGCTCGCCAACAGAGCCAGCCTTCTTGACAATCTCACCAACGGGAGTGCCAACGCTGGGGAGACCAAGACCAGCAAGGAGCGAGGCGACAGAGGGGCTCAGCTGAACAAGAAGACGCTCAGCGTTGGGGCCGGTGACTTCAAGAACGTCCTGGACCTTGGGGGCGAGGTCCTGGACGAGCTTGTCGTCGCGCTTGACGTTCTGGCCAACGGTAGTGACGACGCTGCCGACGGGCACACCGACGTTGGGGAGACCGAGGCCGGAAACAAGACCGGCGACTTCGGGGGAGAGCTGGATCAGCAGAGCGCCGAGGTCCTTGTCAACGACGGTGAGGAGACCCTCGACCTTGGGGCCAAGGTCCTTGACAAGGTCACCGACGTTGGCAGCGGAGGCGACGATGGAGCCAACGGGGCCACCGAGACCAGCCAGGCCGAGGCCGGAGAGGAGGGCGGTGACTTCAGGGCTGAGCTCGATGAGCAGCTGCTTGGCGTCGGGGCCAGCGACGCTCAGGATCTGGTTAACAGGCTTGCTGACATCCTGGACGAGGTGGCCGCCGGAGACAGAAGAGGGAGTGGAGGAAGCAGAGGGGACGGTGGAGGAGGCGGAAGAGGCGGAGGAGGCGGAGGATCCGAGGTTGAGGGCCTTGGTGGCCTCGCCAACAATGGGCAGGCTGCCAGCAGGGGCAGCAGCAGCCGAGGAGGCCAGGACAGCGAGGGCAGTGATGAGAGTAACCTTCATTTTGATATGGTAGAGAATGACTCGGATAGGATCACGAAAAGAACGACTGAAGTAGGAGCGTGAAATGAATGAAGGATGGTTGAGCAAAAGAAGAATCCGGCCGGCTTTTATATGCTTTGAGGAAAGCAGATATTTCGCACTCGCAAACCGGCTCGAATCAATAATACGGCTGCCATGGGGCTCTCGTTTTTTGACAGTGGACCTTAACCTTCCCAGTTTGGTCAGTGAAGTGTGAAGAATCTGAACCTGGACTCCCAATTGTTTGGTTCGGATAATTGTAATCTGCAAGCTAATCTTACCCGGTGACTCCGTCCCAACGACCAGAGTTCGGCGACTGCCCTAGTGCAGGGACCACTGGACTTTCCATCCAGGCTAATGAAATCTGAGTTTTGTGAAGATTCTGCATCCGTATGCCTTACGGACATGAGAAAACATGGCTGGCTGATTAGGGCCACAATGGTTTTGCAAAAATGCATAGCGGATGACCGGAGATTCGCCACCAGAAGTATAATTTCCAAATATGGAAGCCCGCCCACTTTTCAGGGCCTCAAGGCACTGTTGTTCCACTGCTGAGCTTCTCTCTGAGGGCGTCCGGGTCGGAGATCGAGACGATGTGATTTGCGGAATTTGCCGATGGCGATCGAGCATTGTCCCAGAGAAGCAATAATTATCCACTGAATTAATTTCCGAATATTCCAGAAATCTGGTTGCTTGATCAATGCTGGAAGATCTGCATATCGGGATCCTATGGTTCGCTCGCAATAGCTCGGGGTGCTACTCATGCAATTATCTTCAGCCTATCAACCTCATTTCCGAGATGGGCCAGGCGGATGTTGCAATCGGAGTCCATGTCTGCTTGGCCAGTTACTGGAACGGTGGCGTTGAGGGCGTACCTGAGACTCATAGATTTGTACAGTCGATCAATGGTGACAGGTTGTAGGATGACCCATTTGACAGACTAGTACTACGGACATTAAAGAGTACACAATTTCGTATTTATATCCTATTCCGAAGTAGCTTGCTATACATACTCTAGAGTGCGTCTTCGGTCAGCAACGAAGAATCTATGCTCAGAGTATAATTAAGGTCCACCAAGGATTAGTGGTTGTACCGGGAATGCCTTCCGTACGGAGTACACTCGGAGCTTGGCGATAGTCAACACTATTACCGGAGTATCTATATCCGGCTCTAGATGTGCTAAGTTCACAGAACAGGTACCCAGGTCTTTTAACGACGGCCCATAGAAAGAAGACTAATACGCCAAGAGCGGAAAAGTATTAACGTGTTTATAATCAATCAAGACTAAGAGCCAGTTGAATTCTCCCCTCGTATAGCACCACTCAACAATCTCTGGGCTATGCGAAGGTCAGGGGCCAATTTCAATTCAGAGAAAGCATACATTATGATCCTGGCCAAAGCCGACCAACCTGCTGCCTATGACACCCGTGTCGGTGAACATGGAGAAGGAAAGTAGCAGAAAGGCTCATATCTAAGAAGAAAAAACAGGGTGTACGATAGTACGATGCCGGAGGCTAAACGATAGATGGACGAAGGTAATGAAAGATGATATGCTGATGTAGAGAACTAGAATACAGGAGGGCGATATGGCGATACTTATAGATCATCGCATAAAGACTCTATCTAGAACATTCCGCATTGCTGCAAGAAAAACAGGCATCCTGTTTGGGTACAAACGGTTATATGGCCAGGAAAACATCATTTCAGGTCTGCAGCATGAAGTATATATTTACGAGCCTGCAAGCTGTGACGACGACAAACTGCTATACACGATCGGTAAGGCTGATAGAAGCAATGCACCACCACCCTCGTATCTGCATTTCGAAATATTTACTACAATCACCCCAAAAAATTCGGTACTTCCAAATTGCCCCCTTTTATTTATCCAGAAATTCCTGCTTTTTGTCAACTACTACTGAAAAGCAATAGCATCATGTCCGAAGATGATGATGAACAGCCGAGTGCCACAAGTCTCAAAGCTTATGAATGGGAGTGCAGCCTATACCATACAAAAGGACTCGATCAAATCAAGTCTGTGACTGGCTGGCTTGCAGATGAATCTGCCCTTGATCCAGATCCGATTGTACTTACTTTGCAGAGCCCATGATGTCTGCCATCAGACATGAAGATATCCCTCTGATCAAGTTCCTCTTGGAACAGGAAGTACCAGTTGACTGTACGATAGGAAAATGTGCCATTTGAGAGTCCGCTGAGGAGAAGAGGGTGGAAATCCTGGAACTCCTGTATCGTCTGATGTAAACCAAATTACGCCTCGAGGTCTACCCGTTTATGCGTACTTTTGATATTCTGTTCCCATCCTGTATGAATTTATTAAATCATTAATTGGCCATCTCTTTCTCTGTCTCCAGTCTTGCAAAAAAAATAGCTACGACCAGATGGATGCTCGATCATGGAGCAAAATCAAACCCAAACGTCAGAGCCGATAAAAATCCTCTCAAGGTTGCAGCCAGAAATGCTTCTGTCGATACAGTCAAGTTGCTACTTGAAAGGGGAGCAGATCCCAAGAAAAGCATTGCCGCGGTACACGCGATCAATAGGCAAGATAATAACTGAAAGCCAGTAATCCAGTTACTTCTTGACTACGGCTACGATATCAATTCTTTTAATCCTTGTGGTTATAGAAATCTAAGGGGTATCTATCCTAGTTCTGTACTACATGCGGCAGCTACTCAGAATTTCGACTATATGATTCCTTTTTTTTCCTTGAGAATGATGCGGATCTATTGAAGAAATCGGGAATGGATATACTCCTGCTGAGCTTGCGTTGGCGCATGTTTGTGATGAAGCCGCAAGCATCCTGCTGGACGTAGAGAGTAGACGCTCGCATGGTCATGTTATGACGGCCCTGTAACTTTGAAGTGAGACTGAAATTCAAATTCAAGTAATTCTTATTAGGGACTGGTAAAGCTAGCCACAATGACAATCGGTGTTCTCCTGTGTATCTACTAGAGGCCCCACTCCTAATTGGGACGATGAAAGTTCCAGGGTATACATTATCACGCTGCGAGACGCTTCATCCTACACAGCATCGATGACATATACCAAGAGAATATAAACATAGTGCTTCATGGAGCTATATGCGCCAGTCCCTAGCACACCTCGAGCAGGGTAATAGTTATTTCTTATACTGTTATTCCTCACAGCCTATTGCCTCTATAATTTACCCTGAGTGCTGCAAGTATGCACATACCCACATATCCTACTGCCTCAGGTAACTGCTGTCTCTTCGTCACCGGCATATCAGAGCCGATTCTTCAACTATGTCCGTGGTGATTACCATGAAGAGTAAAGTATATAGACATCGACCTTTTGATTTTCATTAAGATCTAGCTCAACCCTGTTGTCTGATCTGAACTATTCGGTCTATCTGGGCCTGTCCTCATTAGCGTCGGACAGGGGTCAGAATCTTTGGACCGGAGTAGTGAAGTCCATATATCCTTTGACCGCTTCCTTTTCGTTCAATTTGCTCCGCTGGTCGAACAATGAAAAAGACATCGCACAAAGAATCCGGGCCAATTGATGTGATGGGCTTCAGAACCCGAAGAACACAGGCTCTCTCAAGACTTTTACGGCTATGACTGGTAAAGCAAGAGTATAAATATAACGGACGACATAATTCATTATATGTACAAGATTCAACCAACTTGAAATGCTCAAAATCAAATTCGTAGGGTATGGGTATCTAAAATAATGTAACAATGCCTCCTCTATATCACCCCCCAGTCCATTAACAAAACCATCATTATCGCATGCAGACCTCCCTCCTAACAACCACCACAATCAACACCGGAACAGTCAGGACAATAACAACTACACCCCCACCAACTAAAATTCATACTATGTCATACCATTAGCAACATGCCCCCCCCAAAAAAAAAGAAAGAAAGAAAAAAGGGCCATGAACTCACCAACAACACTGACCCTGCATTTCCTCCTTCTGTTTCCATTTCCTTGCCATCATCATTGCATCCGTCAATTTTTGACACTCTTTCTTAAATTCCTTATTTTCCTCGTCATCTCCCAGACCACGAATCCTATCCTCGAGAATGCGCATTGCCTGCGATAACTCCACAACAGACATCCATATCAACTGAAATTGACCAGCAGTTCCTTTCTGGACATCTATGTAGTCACTCAACAATCCTATTCCGTCAGTTAAACTCCCTACATAGCCATACGACACAAAACAAATTCAAAAACAAGAATCACAGTACATACTCTTCTCCCTCGGAACCCCCCGAAACGTCTTCCAAATCTTCACCCTCTGCTCCCCCTCCGTATGCGTCGAAACCCGAAACTTGAACATCTTCCCCCCGACACGCAGAACCTGGAACCAGAAATGCTCATTGCAAAGGAAGTACTGCTCGACCAGGTCGCCTAGTTTGTAGATTGCCAGGCCGTCGTCGGGGTAGTTGAAACGGTATGGGCCGAGGGTGGTGTCCATTGTGCCGGTGTTTTTATGCTGTGTATCATGTTCTGTTGTTTTGGCGTTTGTAGGAGTGATTGGCAGAAAATCCCGATAAATATCCTTCCCACCCGCCAATCCTATAACAAACAAGGAAGAAAGAAAAAAGGGCACAAACAAAGGTACAATCAAGCAAAATTTAACATCTGTCAGGGTCAGGGTTTAATAAAACCACCGCCTATCACTATAGTCCCCACAATTCTCCGATAAAATGTTTTTCTGTCTGAAACATCATATCAAAGACCCTGGCGCAGCGAACACAGCCCCAGGGTCCGTCTGATGTTAGCGCAGTTAGTATGAAACATGACTTTACATGTACCGAGGAGGGCACGTATGCGGATATAATATGGAGTCTGTGTACTCTGTACACATAGTAGGTAGTAAGCGAGTCGGTGGAAGAGCCTTGATGAGGTTAGGGTTAACTACGGAGGACGGTTCCGTTTCAGGATGATTTTTCTTTTCTTTTCTTTTGATCGGTGACATCACGCAAACTGATGATCTGATAAGATAACGGGCTTATTAATCGAGCTTTAGTGGTTGTCTATTGGCTATTGCCGTTGACGCTTTTCATCTTCATTTCTACGCTGGACATCCTTGTTCTCATCTACAAGTACGCGCTTTCAGAACCATAATGCTAGACACATAACAACCACCCCCTATTTTGCCAATATGGATCCCGCGCAAACAAAAGAGGTCTCCCCGGCCCCAACCGCCGACACACACTCCCAAACCCACTCCCATCCAGACCGCGACGACTACACCCACGCGCGAAAATCAAAATTCCGCTTCAAATCCTCTTCCAAATCACGATCCTCACGATCCTCACGCGATGACCCAGATACGCACCGTCACCGCCACCGCAAACGACACCGCGTCGACCCTCCCCAACACCCCCACCGCTCCAAACGCCACAACCACAACCACACCACCACACCAACCCCAGAGGACAACCCACGAGGATTATCACCCAACGCCGCCTTCCGCGAATCCCTCTTCGACGCCCTGGGCGATGATGAAGGCGCCGCCTACTGGCAATCTATCTACGGTCAGCCCATCCACAACTATCCCGTCCCGGACCTCCCCAAGGGTCCGAATGGGGAACTCGAATCCATGACCGAGGATGAATACGCGGCGTACGTGCGCACGCGGATGTGGGAACGTACGAGGGAGGGGATGGTTGAGATGCAGGAGCAGTTGAACCGGGAACGACGGGAGAAAGCCAGAAAGGAAAAGGAGAGGGTGAGGGGTGTTGAGGGGGAGAGGGAGAGGAGGGCGTTTGAGAGGGCTATGGAGGAGAGTCTTGCTAGGGGGCGGGAGAGGAAGATGGGGAGGGTTTGGAGGGGGGCTGGAGAGGGGTATTTAAACCGGTGGGATGTTATTAATTCGCTGAGGGAGGGGAAGCGTGAGGAGACTGGTGGGGGGAAGGATATGGGGGAGTTGGTGTTTTGGCCTGTTGAGTCTGGGAGGAGGGGTGATGTTTCCAGGGAGGCGGTTGAGGAGTTTATGCGGCTTGCGCTTGTGCCGGTTTCTGCGCCGGAGATGGGTGGTGATGAGGCGTTGGTTTCTGTGCTGAAGGCGGAGCGTGTGAGGTGGCATCCGGATAAGATTCAGCATCGGTATGGTGCGTTGGGGATTGATGAGGATGTTATGCGGAGTGTCACGGAGGTTTTTCAGATTATTGATCGCATGTGGAATGAGTTGAAGGAGCGGGCTTGACTTTCGCATTAGAGGCGTTGGCATTGTTTTATGATACCCTACATTGATTGCATACTGGTTTCCGGCGGGGGGAGGTTCCACATGGTATATACCCATTAAAGTGCAGTCGGCTTAATCACCCGATTCATTGACAGAGAATAGGCTATGCATGCGACAAACTAACGAACCATACGAATATGAATTTTCATCTTTCTTCCCCTCCCCTCACTTAAAACCGGTTATACCGCTGCTTAGCCCGATAAGCCGTGTATCCAAAGTACCCACCCACAAGCGCAAAGACAAACAAAACAGCCTTAAACAAGAACCAACCCCAACCACCAGACTCCTTGGTCTTGGTCTTGGGAGTCTTAACAGTACCCCGGTCCTTAGAAGCGCTGGACGAGCCTCCGCGCGCAGGACCCGCAGGACCTCCGCCAACACTGTACAGGTTCTGGGTCTTGAGCGAGATGACGTCGTGGTTGTCGCTGAGTTCACCGGTTTCGGCGGAGAGACCGAGGTAGGCGACGGAGGGGATGGCGATGTTGGCTTCTTCGGCGTTGAGTTCGAAGCACGTTGTCCAGCTGTCTTCGGACTTGTATTGGAGTTCGAGGGTTAGGGATTGGTCGTGGAAGTAGGTTAGGCGGGCTTTGGTGGGGATCGAGGCGCCTCGGAGGCCGCGTGCCTGTCTCGTTAGCAACATTCTCAATCAATTTCCCGTCATTGACATACAGAACATCCAGCCAACTGGTTGGCCTTTCCATCATGCGCCTGGTCATAGCTCGTCTTGCCATCGCCCATCATGGCCATGACAAACGGAAACGAGGTACCGGGACGGTTGTTCTTGTACGTGTCGAAGAAGATTCCGAGACCCTCGAAGTTGTCCGTCGAGCCAAAGACCGGACCCTGCACTGCGCGCTGCTTGGTGAGCCACAGAGCGAATCCATCGCCGTGCAGGTTACCATCTCCATGGATTTTGAATTCGAGTTCGATCTGCGTCTATTAATCCCCACTCCTTATTACCATAGTATGTAAAGAAGACTCACCTCCCAGTTTGTCGCAGTCAACGGAACCCGCGAAAACGCCCATCCTTGTTGCGACGGCCGGTCCGAGGTAAGACGGATGTACCTATATTGTTTTTGTTTAGCCTCCCCCCTCCGTTATTCCCAAACATACGAACATACTGATCAGCGCGAACAATGGTATCACCACCAAAATCGAACCAGCGGCTTTGGAAGTCGGAATCCAGGTAAGGCTATCGACGTCAGAAGTTAAGACCCTATACCGCGAGAAACAAAACCCACCGGTGAGAGACTGTGAGTGCGGAGCTATTCAAGTTAGCTTCTTTCCCTGCTTTCACTCTTAAGCTTGAGAGGAGAGGGGACATACTGGAATACTCTTGATATTCGAATCGTCATAAGCATTGGCCAGCGGGACAGTCGCCAGGCCCACCAGACCGAGTAGGGACGAGAGCCGCGGGAGGAGCATGATGGCTGTCAATCAACGATATAGATAAGAAGAAGAAAATTGCAAAGAGAGTAGTTGGAGCGATTGTAGTGTCAAAATTGAAGAGAAACAGAAATTGAAAGACAGACAGTAGGCGAATGGTGCTCGCGAGGGGGGCGTAGCAAGGCAGATCGGTAGGTATACCGGGGTACCTACTACCTCGTTGTAGTTGTTATAGCGAGGTTGTTAATGTGGTCAATGTCACCGGGACACTTTTACCACAGAGACATAGAAGAAGCCCTCCAGTAGAGAAGCGAAATAACCGTAGAAAGAAAAGAAGGAGTGAATGTATACGAAGAGAAATGGCCGACAAGACAAATCCATAAACATCCAAGTGTCCACATCGGAGTCTGGGGTGGCGTCTGTGGCGCAGCAGGGCAGCTCTGCACTAGCCACACTCTCGAGTCCGAGATTTGCATCATCACTCTACCACAACTACTACAACTATACTCTTACACCAATTCACCTCTTTTCACTCTATACACGACATAAAGAATTACTCAAAATGGCCATTTTCGGTTCCAGCTCCGGCTCGTCCGGCAACGTCGACGAGATCAAATCCACCATCGTGAAGCAACTGCAACAAGAGGCCGCCGTGAACAACGCCCGGCAATTGATCGGAGTGCGCTACACCCTCCCCCTTCAAACCAGGCTACATCCCTAAACAACTATATGCCAGCGTAATCACTAACGTGGTAATAAATACAAACAGAAAGTCAACGAGCACTGCTTCGACAAGTGCATCCCCTCCCCCGGCTCGACCCTCTCGTCCTCCGAAGAAGGCTGTCTGTCGACGTGCATGGAGAAGTACATTTCGCTGTGGAACGTCGCTAGCAAGAGCTACATTGCGCGGGTCGGAAAGGAGAGCAAGAAGTATGGGTCGCAGGAGACGATTGCTATGAACTCGTTGGCTACTGGTGGGGATTAAGGATGATGTATGAGAAAATGCAATTGAGGGGTGTTTTGTCTTGTGATGATTTTCAAGATTGTACGATATGGTGAATGCGAATACAAATGAAAACGTGTATAGTATGTGCGTTTTTCTTATTGTATGGAGTAGACGATGTGGATGTCAAGGTGGTCAACTGTCATTGAACTATATAATCACACAGGTCGAGAAGATAACTCCAGAATTTATAATTAGATACTCGGAAATGGCAGCGATAAAAGTCACATGAGAAGAATATTCACAAGGCTTGCATAGAACAAAAATAATGCTGATAGTCAAATACAAAAAGCAAGCAAGCCCAAGATTTCAAAACACACATCCTGAATGAGCAGGAACAAGACCGGATAACTCTTGGTTGACGTCAGAAATTGACGACCGGCCTATACCAAACCCAACCGATGAAAAGATTGACCAGCAACCCGGCTAGCCAACGGCAACTTTTATCCCATTGTTGCTAATATATTCCAGAGGACCGTAGCGGTTCCTTATTCGCATCTTCGTCCCCAGGCTGTGTGCTACCAGTACGAAGATGCCGGTGTTCCAGACAGACATCCTGTTATAATGTGAATTGTCATTCCATCATGATTTATCACAGCACTAAAAGTCAGGGAATAGATGACCATGCCTGTAGAGAGGGTTAGTTGTGAACGTCACTTCATGGATATTGTAAAGGTCCTTACTGGTCATCGCCCGGAAGACCGTATGATTCAGTCTCCTCGGGGTACCGGTCATACTGACTGGCATCTCCCTGTCCTCCCCGGATGGGTGGCACGTAAGGAGCATCAATGTCCTTCCTGGCTAACCGGTCCCAAGTCACCTCCGCAAACCACGGATGCTGCTTGACATCATCCGAGCCGCCGTGCAAGTTACCCAGACGCTTGGTCAGGTCTGCGGTGATCAGCTGCGAAAGGAGGTCAACGGCATCGGGGTGCAAGTATGGCGGATACTTGACTTTTCCGCGGAGGATGTTCTCGTAGATCTTGACCGGCGAGCCGCTGTCCCAGAACGGCGTAAACCCGCACAGCATTTCGAAAATCAAGATACCCAGCGACCACCTTCATCTAGTCAGCAAAAATCATACCGACCAGAAAGTCCCTGTTAACTCACCAATCCACCGATTTGTTGTAACCCTTGGACGATACCACTTCCGGAGCAAGGTAATCGGGCGTACCGCAAAGGGTCCATGTAATATCCGGGACTTCCTTTGCGAATCCAAAATCGGTAATCTTCAGATGACCGTGACGGTCCAGCAACAGGTTTTCCGGCTTGAGATCACGGTAAATGATCTGCTGGGTGTGTAGATAATCCAGCGCAAGGGTCACTTCGGCGGCATAGAACTTGGCAACGGGGTTGGGGAATCGCTGCGCACTGGGGTCAGCTGCGGCTTCGACTTGCTCTCCATGTAGATAAAGAACACACCTGAGACTTGCGCAGCAAGCTGAACAGTTCACCACCCTCGACGAAATCCATGACCATGTACAAATTCCGCGAATCCTGCCATGTACCCCACAGCGTAATCAAGAACGGGTGCCGGGCGCGACTCAGCATCTTGCGCTCATCATTGGTATGCTCAATCTGCTTCATCTTAACCACCTGCGCCTTCTTCAAGACCTTCATGGCATAGAACCGATGATTATGTGTCGACTGCACCAAGTGCACACGACCGAAACTACCGGTACCTAGCGTACGTTGCAGGGCAAAGTCCTCCAGCGAGTACTTGTTCTTGGTGACGCGATCTGACCGGCTTTGCTGCTGCTGCTCCTGCTGCGCATGTTGCTGTTGCTGGTTGTTCTGCTGGGCCTGCGGTTGATGTAATTGTTGCTGCTGCTGATGTCCACCCGAGGCATGCTGATTATTATACTGGTGTTCTTGTTGTGATCGGTGCTGTGCGGCTTGCGGCTGGGCAAAATTGGCTAGATTCTGAATACTGGTGCCGCCATGCGACTGCTGCGGCTGTTGGGTTGCCGGGGAGAGGTGGTGGGATTGGTTGTTGGTAGCTTGCATGGATGCGCCTGGGGGAGAAGGAGAGGAGAGAGAGAATTAGCACTACCGGGGATAGAAGACAGGTCTGACTAAGAATATAAAATTGAGTGAAACAACGGAGAATTTGAGGGTTTCAGCGTGTACAGAAAGAGGGGAGGACCGGGAAAGACAAAGGATGAGAGGAGAAAAGAGAGAAGAGAGAATGAGGAGTGAGAGAATGTGGCGGCGGAGGGGAAACCGGCCGCATTTGGGGTGACGTTTGTGTTTCGGCAACGGTGGACGGCCATGAGAGCAGGAAGAACCAACCTGATTCTTGCACCTCTTTGCTCAGTGTGTGCGAATCCTTGGTCCGCCGTTTTTTCAAAAGCCCTCCGAGATTCGGCATGAGGATTGAACAATTGGTCAAGTTCTCCTATTTGAATAGGGGACCGGGGGAATATAGCGGTGATGGGACGAAACGGGGTACTAAGAGAGGGAGAGAGAGGAAGAAGAGAAGAGCTGGAGACTAGGAGAACCGGAGAAACGAAATAGACAATTGCCAGTCCACAGGGTGACTGTATTAGAAAAGTGTTAAGAAATGGTGAAAGGTGAAGTGAAGGAAGAAGAGAGGTAGACTGAAAGAGCAGACAGACAGCGAACAGACAGTGGGGAAGAGCTTGATGTCACCACAGGGCATTAATACCCTCACCAACTATGCACGACTACTAATATTTTCTATGGAGAGCTGCATTCATGATCTACTACGACTACATATTCTCTCACTCAGACTGACGATGATGAGAACATCCCTCTGTTCCACGGTTCCCTTCTGGAGAATGACGCTATGGGGGCAACCCTCTCCGCTTGTCCCGAGCATCCAAGTATGTATGAGAATGAAACAACCATCCGCTCATTACTGAAACATGTTTGAATACAATACTTAAACTGTGTAGCCAGATGCCAATGCTCTGAATTCATTTCTAACACTAAACTCCACTAACAATGCAGCAATCCAAAGAAGACTAAATCCGATAATGTGCCATGTTCTTCTTAATCTCGTCCACTATCTCAACCGCTTCCAACGCATTCCTCGCCTCAAAGTCATACCGCTTCTGTTCCGTAGCATCATTCCCCCGAAGCACCACTACCCGGAAACTCTTCGGATGCCGCCGACTCACTTTACACCCGACCACGTCGTTGAAGCTGATTGACCGTGTCTTCGCATCTGACACCGTCTTGCCAGTGTCAGGCGGCATGATATGCATGTAGTCGTTGTCAAAGGTAAGCGTTCGGTGGTTCGAAGCTGTAAATGACATGGATTGTTTGCGGAACACGTGGTATCGTCTGTAATAACCACCAACGAGATCCGGTTTCTGGGTCAGCGGAAGCATGCGTTGAGTGGCCTTCTTGCTCTTCTTCGGGTTTCCGACATTGTCAATCAGTAACGGTGCGTTGGGCGAGGAGCTATGCGGTGATCCCGTCAATGTCAGCGGCCCGGCCCCGAACCGTCGCCGGACCAGATCCAGCTCTGTAATATTGCCCAGCGCTTCAACCGTACGGTCCAGCGGCGCTACCGTGTTCGATCCCATCACCTTTAAAAGATAGTTGCCCTTGTCTAGACCCCATCTCTTGCAGACCGAGTCCAGGAGCTCTGCAATGTAGCTATCCGTCGTCGTATTGAGAGTCATAACATGCGTAGAGGCCTCCAGGTTGATGAACCGCACTTTTATTGTCTTGGCCACTCCCATGCGAGGCGTGGCATGCGACACCGGTACCGCTGGACGGTCCGCCGGGGTTAGAGTACTGTCATTCAAGGCCGACGAGAATGGCTGACCCAGGATGGGATTGGGGCGAGCAGGCGGTGCTCTGAACTGTGCAGGTTGCTGGGTTGGCGGCACAGCAAGTGCAGCAGCAGGCTCATTGCTCTCCTCAGTAGACATGGTCTGGCTGAACTTGGGGTACAGACGTTCGTTCTCCTCAAAGTCTGCCTGAGACGCCTCGACAAGCGCAAACTCGTCGTACTGCTTGCCTCTCGACCTCCCTCGCGCACCACCTGCCCGATTGTTGTTGTTCGACGTGAAGTCTGTAATCGGTGACATTCGACCAAGCGGAGGGAAGTCATACTCCACTTCACCATCCTCGACCATCCGCAGCGTCCAGCGGTTGACGGACAACTTGCTGCGCTCAATGGCTGGCTGATGGCCTTCGCTCCCATACTGCCAGAGAGCAAGCCCAATAGCCTCTGCCACAATCACCGGAGCCGGCTGCTCAGAGATCTTGGATTCGCGAGCAAGTGGCATGTCAAGGGGCTCCTCCGGATCTGACGAAAACGGAACGTAGATCTTGATATTTAGAGCATCGATCAGACCCTTGCCAGCGAGCGTCGCGAACATTTCCACGGGGTTGGAAGGTGCTTTCTTTCGAGCAAGTAGATTCTGGGTGAGCAAGCTCACAGGCTTCACTTGACTAATGGGTCGTGGAGGCGGGAGATCCTGCAACTCTGGTGCTGGAGTCTTTGTCTTCCTAGGCGACGCATTTTGGGACCCCGATGTATTTTGCAGCTTATGCATCAATGCGATCGGGGATGACGACCCCAGAGTACCGGTGATATCGACATCTTCAAGCAACGAAGCGGATCCTGCGGTGGCATCGAAATCGGACGAAAGCCCGGATCCAACAGATTCTCCATTCGAATTCTCAACTTCCTCATTCAAGTCGTCAACCGTCATGGTATCGCGATTGCTCGTTCTGTGGTCTTCGGGCTCAATTACCCTGTTTCGCGAGGAGAACCGAATCTGCTGCCCCTTGAGTGCGGTAGACTCTATTTCATTGTCCGACGACAGGTCACTGCTCGTAGTCGTATCTCGCCGCGGTCGTTCATTCTTCACAGAAACAGCTGTCCCCAGAGACCCTGTACGGTAGTGATTGCTGGTATGCGGATGTGAGGGCAAGGTGGCCATAAGCTCTGGCCGCTCATTTCGATCATGCGAACGTATCGGAGAGGAACCGGCTCGTGTCCGTATCGGTACTTTAGAGAAACTGATCGGTTGACTAGTCCTGCATCCGAGTTAGAACCTCAACAGACTGTGGACCTATAGTCAACAGATGCCCAACTGACCTTCGCGAGCTCTCCCCATCATCGTCGCTATCATCACTCAAGTCACTACTATCATCCTCCTCAGCAATCCGGTGATCTTGCTGCTGCCGCTCCCGCCGACGAGGCTTCTTCCCATGCCGCCCATGATGTCTCCGCCCAGTAACCTCTGCACTGCTCTTGCCCGTCACCATACCCCCTTCCTCATCCTCCCCTTCCTCCCCGAACCCGCCATCCGCCAACTCCTTATTCGCACCAAACCGATAATAGTCTCCAGAAACCGTAGTCGTCGTAGGAATCGGCGGGGAATACGTCCGCTTGATATGGGCGGCGGCCGTTTGGGTGTAGGGGTTCGCGGAAGCCGAGGACCAGCCCGCCGCGCGGAAACCAGGCGTGTTGAGGACGGAATTGTTGACGTTGATTAGACGGTCTCCGATTCCATCTTTGATTGTGGACAGGTATGAGGTTCGGAGCTGCCAGATGGCGAAACTATCCAAAAATTGCCTGAATTAGTACTCCGGAGTCGGCACGAGGGGGGGAGAAAGGAGGGGTGAGCGTGCGCGGGACATACTCTTCGTTATGAAGGAGCGACATCTTTTCGGTCGGGATAAGGATAACTCTCAGAGGATATATATAAATAAGAGGCGATCTAGTAGGAATCAGGATTGAGCCGATCTCTATTGATGCGATAGACAGCCCACCGTCAGTGCGTGGAGGGCATGGCCTTCCGAGGCTGTAAGAGAGTGGATGGCGAACGCCTACTGTACACGATAGAAAGATAAAGAGGCAATAAAAGAATGCGTTTGGATTAACCAGGACCAGCCTGGCTTAGCGAACACCAGCCTGCGAAGATGCGAAGAGGTGTATGAGTAGCATATAATCAGCGTGCCAATTATTCCGTTGTTCCGATCCGGGCGGAGGACTAGTCCGCCGTTGCTCTACATTCCAACTATGATTCTTCTGTCTAAGAATGTTACACAATGCCAAACGGCCACATGTCAGCGGCTACTCGTGGAGTGACGTGCATGTTTATGATGCCGCAACACAGAAGTATCTTGGGGGTGTTCACCAGGCGGGTTCGATCACATACGCGAACTTCGACGATATGCTGCGCGGTATCTTGTTGGTCACTATCGATCATTTCTCAATCAGGCAAAAGAGTACTGGAAACATTGTGACGTCCAGCGCCGATCTAGTCGCTCCAGGGGATCATCAGCGAGGGTAAGATCCTCCTTGTGTGGGCCCAACATCGTCAATCACTGACTTTCCATCTAGATGATATCAATGCAACCGACGAAGTGTGGTTTTTTTGCACGTGCAGCTGTAATATCTCTGGGCGTGCAAGTGCTTTTCGTGACGGCATTCGTGGAAGAGACAGAAAGTGCATGGTCTCCGGAGGAGGCGGCTTACTCGCAAGCTCCGGGGTATGGACGAAACTAGAAGCAGCGCACGTTTTTCCTCTGGAGTGCGAGAGTTTCTGGAATGAATTTGGCTTCTCTAGGTGGGCCACGAATATGGACGAGACTATGGGCATATCCAAAATCAACTCCGTCCAAAACGGACTGTTGATGAAGCGTGACCTCCACTCCGCCTTCGATCAGTATTTCTTCTCGATCAACCCTGATGTATGTACTCTTGGAGGACCTCCTTTTGCTCTGGACATACCGACATGATATAGGACGGTTACAAAATCGTTTCTTTTGCCCCCGATGAAGACGGAATCGATGGGCGTGTTCTTGAGCCGGCCTGCAGGGACCCAGCCAACCCCGACCGCGTCTCAGATGAGATCCTTTGCTGGCATTTCCGTCAAAGTGTGCTGGTCAACATGCGCGGAAATGGGGAGCCTATCTTTGAGATGGATTCCCCCCCGGCACTGATCAAATCAAAACATTGTCCAACGAACCGTATTGCAAGGAACGTTTCGAGATGGAGATGGACATGCGTCTGCAATACTTTGCTAGAGATGAAAAGGCGAGTTCAAGTTGTTGCGCCCTGCATTCATGGCGAGTCGTTTATACTGATATTCCGTAGGTTTGACTTGAGCTGTGTGCGTTGATCCTGTTGAGAACCGAGGACGCACTTTTATGAACGTTCTCCTCCTTGTATGACCTTATGAAATTACGAAGTAAGGATACCACTATGTTATTGAATGCTTACTGTGACGAAATTCCATCTTAGGAGCAGACAATGTCGGACTTCCCTCACGCACACGCTTGGATCCCACTGTCCTCGGAAAGCTGATTAACCTTGTATACGGCCCATCTTGGCTGAAGTCCCGCGTCGTATGTTCGCGAGAAGAAAATAGACTTTTGCATTTGTTTGCGCTTCTCTCAGATAGATTTTCGGGCTCAAGTAATATTTTCCGACCAGGTTGCTGGTTTGTACACGATTCCTCGAAACGGATGCCAGTGACTTTCTTAGTCTGTTTCGTAGGAAAGCCGGGTAAAGAAAACCGCATGGTTTCTTGTTGGTGGGAACCCTTTACTGGAATGCAGGATATAACTGGGTAATTTTCTCGAATTACTTGCCCAGACAATCACAATGTGCGCAGAAGACAGCGCCACCAACTATTGACTGTTGGTCACCCGGGGCCTTATAACTTATTCAGTGAGAAGAGAAGGCAACCTTCTGCACAGCAGAACATAGGCTGAATGCCTCCAAAAGACAAAATTCATGAACGCTTTAACAAAATCCAGTACATGTAGGAACATATAAATACACCCATAAGTCCTGGCTGGAAGGACATGCACATATGCAGCCGAGACAAAAACTCCCAAAGCACTAAAGATGCCAAAATGAACACTCAACAATATCAAGAAGATCAAGCCTTAACTTTAGGCTTTCGGGCCTTTCCTCTCTTCGGTTTCTCCTCCGCCTCATCGTCATCCGCAGCTTTCTGTTTGCCCTTTTTCCCTTTGCCGGCTGCAGCCTTCTTCTTCGGCAAACTGACATACTTGTCCTTCTTCAGATCCAGTTCTTCCTCCTCATCCTGTTCCTTCGACTCCTCCTCGACCACTTCATCTTCGTCCGACTCGTCGATCGCATCTTCAATGTCAGGCTTCTCCTTCGGCGCCTTCTTCGGTGCCACGACGTTGCTAGCCTTCATGAATGGTAGAGGATGCGAGCGCTGGTTATAGACACGCGTAAATGCAGCCTTGGTCTGTGTCTCAAGCTTGACGGTGGATTCATCCATTGGCCCAAGTCCAAGCTCAAGAAGAGCATCCCAGTCCTCGCGCGTCAGGAAGTAACTGTCCATGAAATCGATAACTTCCTCCACGCTGTCTTTGCCCTCGTTCTGCAGCCGGCGGACCAACTTCTCCCAGACCAGCGGCATGTATTGCTGCCGGATTTCATCCCGGTCGCCAGAAGAACGGAGCCGCATGTGGCCCTGAATCTCTTTGACATAACGCGACATTTTCCCTGGATTCCTATGTCAATAAAAACCGGCCCAGATAAAAAGGGAAAAGGAAAACATACCTTGCTTGCTATTCTGCCCCAGCCAGCTAGTAAACCCGGGGCGTTCCATCATGTTTCCGTAGGAGAAGCTAGCCGGACGAACAAAACTGAAAGCAGCATGCGTTGGCATTAAGCTCCATTGCTGCTGCGAGCCATGGATCATTCTGTCAACAAGGTCGCCATCACTGATGCTGGAAGCCGCATTATCTGCGAGTTCAAGCATTTTCAGTTTCTGCTCCTTGCCCTGATAATTGTTGGCAAGTACTGGCTTCGTCTTCAAATAATTCTCCTGAAGCATCAGGTAGCTAAATTCGTGGTCATTGAAGTAGAGTTCAATCTTGTCGTTCAATGTGGACTTCGAACTGGGAGAAAACATCTGAGCGTTGAGGATCTTGCCAACAATATCCCATGGCTTCAGAATCACATGCTTTTCCCATGCTTTAGACATCTCCTTGCCCTTGTCATAGTCCAAGTTCTGCTGGTCAAGTTTCACCGTCGAGAGCATGTTGATGACTTGACGGATATCGGCATGAGTACCTTCGATTAGACCGTCCAGAACGGGTGGTGGGATCTTCAAGCCTTCTCTAAAGCAGATCGTAGACAATCTAGCTCTGATTTGGTCAGCGGTCGGGCGCCTAAAAGGAACCTCATACGTGACGTGATCGAATGGCTTCATCTTCGGAAGTCTTCGCTCGTTACAAATGAGAATGAGAGGAATTTGCGTCTTCTTCGCAACGGCAGCCATAGCCCCGACACCACCTCGATCGCCTGCCGACATTCCGTCCACCTCATCCATAATCAGGACCATGTTCTTTTTTTCACTCTCGACTTTCTTGCCGGAGCCCGAGAAATATCCCTGGAGAGAGGTAGTGTCGAGGACGCCAACAAGACCATTCTCCACAAGCTTCTTGCTTCTGGTATCACTCGCATTGGACTCTAATACATCGTAACCTTCAAGCTTGGCCACCATATGCGCCGCAGTAGTCTTACCAATTCCTGGAGGTCCATGGATCATAACAGAGCGATATTTACCAGAACCATCTTTTCCGGGACGGCTAAAGTTCGTTTTTGCATTCTTCTGCCAGTCACGGAGCCAGTTCTGGAGTTTTTCGACAGCCGCTTTGTTGCCGCAAATCATGTTGATTGATGTCGGTGCGTATTTTGTTGTCCAGAGACGGTCGTCCACCTTCACGCCTTGAGAAGCCACCGGACCCTGAGAGCTAGAGGGACTAGGGGCAGCAGCCGCCATGGCCTTCTTTTTGCGCGACTCTTCCTGATCAATCTCAGCAGCCATGGCACGGATTTTCTCTTCGTCAGCCTTCCTCTTAGCATCATGTTTCTCAGCCGCCTTTCCATCACCGCCATTTGCAGGAAGCCGCCTGATCAGCTCAAAAAGTCCCTCTTCGTTGATAGTCTTCAGCTTGTGCTTTTGTATTGTCGCCAGTTTGCTGGGCCCGGCATCACTACCCAGGACGACGTAGCTTGTCTTTGAGCTAGGCGCACCAGTGACCTTGCCGCCGTATTTCTTGACCAAATTCTGACCCTCTTCGCGACCTATCACCTCAAGTACACCGGTAAAAACGAAAGAGAGCCCAGCAAGACAGTTCTCAGCGCCCTCTGGTAGTTCGGCAGATCCACCACCCGGAGGTGTTCTTGACCGCTGAGCAGCGAAATTGAATTTCTTCTTTTCATCACCCTTCGGGGGAGGCGAGGGAGGTTTGATCGTTGGAATGCTGTCAAAGATATCTTGAATCTCTTTGCTTTCCGGCTGAGCTTGCTTGGTGGGAGATGCTTTTGATTTCTTTGTCGATGGGACTGAGGAAGCTGGCGCTTTTTTCTCCGCACCGTCCTGTGTCTCGTCTGCTTTATCAAGTACCTCAGATTTCCGCTTGCGCGCTGGCCGTTCAGCCGCCGATTTCGAGGCTTTCGAGGAAGATTTCGGAATATCCTCCATGACCACGTCGTCATCCTCTTCAGCGCTGGGAGCTTTCTTGTCGTGCGCTGTCTTTCCAGAAGTTGCTGTTGCCGGTCTTACAGCCAGCTCTTCGAGGTCGCTATCATTATCGTTGTCGCCCTCCATATAGTCATCGTCGCGTTTGCCCGATCTTCCATACTCCGTCGCAAATATATCGTCGCCGCCAAGATCTTCATCATCGTCAGCAGCCTTGCTTTTCTTCGTAGTTTCCCGGGGTGCGCGTTTTGTCGGTTTTATCGAGACTTCAACAGCTGGACTTTCTTTCGCTTTTCGGGGGCTTCCGGCTTTGCGATCGCTAGCCGGCTTCTCCTTCGTAGCCGGGGGTGTAGCGGTAGGAGGTTCATTGCTCGTCTTCGCGGACCGGCTTTTCTTCTTACTAGAGCCGAAATAATCTGATGTCGACGTGGGTTCTCCTTTGGCCGGTTCGGGCTTTCTTCAAATCACCAATGTCAGTAACAGCCAAAGGAGCTTGAAAACATGCTGCATGACGTACGGCTTAGCTGGGGTTTTAGCTTTTGGTGTCGGTGCCTTGATCTCAGCTACCTCCTCGTCGTCACTGTCGTCCACAACCTTTCTGCTGCCTATGTTTCCGTTAGCTTAACCCACTGGTTCTAGGAATCAGGCCAATCCATACGCTTTTTTCTCGTCGCAGTCGAGTCCTGAATCCAATCAATGTTAGCAATGCGACAAAGTATCCTCGAGAAAGGTATACCGACATACCTCTTTTTTCGCCGGCGGTTTCGCAGGCGACGAGTCGGACCCTTGGCTAGGTTTGCCAAAGAAGCTCCTAATATCGGTAGGCATGGTGTTTCACTCCAAACAAAGCATTCCCTACAGTTCCACAGTATATTCCAAAATGAATCAACAACAGAGAAATGCCCAAAGACCAATGTATCGAGCTCTTCTATTGAAAACACGGCAGAGTGACGCGCCTGCCTGGATTGGCGACGTGAAGGCAGCAATTACATAAGAAACACGCTTGTGGACCGTGCATGGTACTATTACCCTTTTGGGGCCGGGATCGGAGATGCGGATATGCCGATAACCCAGAAGTTCTTCAAGATCCATTAACCACCGCTTTAGCCGATAGATAGTCCGATATCCACGGTCACAATGGGTCTACATATGAAGATGTTTGGAGGGCCTCAGTTGGCCTCTTTCCGACCTACTGGTGAGGATTGATGAGCTCGCCGAGATGGAAGATTTTTATAAGAAACACCGCGGGACTAACACTCGAGGCGACAACAGGTCTGACAACACCGTTCACTGCGATTCCATTCTCGCGATGCTTCTCTACCACATCCCCCGCGCTCGACTGGCTTACGCCCAAATTTGCGGAAAGATCTAAGTCGCCAAAGGGTCGTCCGCATGTCGCCACCGGTGGTTCTACTCGGGGTACGACTGTTGTGTGGGGGGACTATGGATTGCGCATGAAAGACCACGACCGCAGAGTACCGGCTCTACACCTCAGAATCGCAGAGGAGACAATCAAGCGGAGGCTACGTGGAATGGACTACAACCTGTACAAGCGTGTGAGCGCCAACATTGGTGTCTACACCAAGGGTAACGAACAGCGTATGGGTAAGGGTAAGGGAAAGTTCGACTACTGGACGGCGAAAGTTGCCGTGAGCCGGGTGGTCTTTGAGATTAGCGGGAAAGTCCACGAGAAGGTCGCCAGGGAGGCATTCCGTTTGGCAGGCCACAAGTTGCCCGGTATGTTTTCAATGTTGCAATGAATGGGTATGAAGCTACTGGTACTAATACATATTGATTGCAGGTCTTTGGGAATTTGTCAAGAAGGGCGACCCTCCTGTGGTCGGCCTGACGAAGCTCGGAAACGGTGTCACCTTGGAAAGCCTCAAGCGGCCACGCAGAAACCTGCCCCTCGGTACGGACGCCGAAACCACAGGACCCAAGTCGGTTACGTCCAGCCCATCTTCCTCCCAATAAATACATTCCGCTTCCATCGTCGTCTTTCTCATGCCTTTATTACACGACCGCGCCGATATTAAGCCCCAATGCCTGAGCCGGGCCCATACCTCTGTTGACTTCTCGTCTTCGCCGCTACTCTATCATTACCCTCTTGGGCTTGGTTCTCGGGCTTCAGATCTTTTGTACACTATTGTCAGCTTCTGACATGTTTTCTTTTTCATGTATTGTCTTATATGCAAATGACTTTGCCACGAGGAGTTCGACAAAAGGGAAATGAATACAATACAACATACCTTTATCCGTTTCACCTCGCAAACCACCTCCGGGTTCACCGGTTTCCAGCTGATGAGCCATTTTCAAGTCCTCGTCTTTGTGCCCACCAGATCCGAACGTAGTTTTCATTTGGCTTTTTGTGTGCTTCTCGCCGGCTGGAGTTCCGGTTAGTTATTGTTCTCGGTGATTACTGTAGCAATACCTACCACCTAGCTGGCCAGTCTGCTTTTCTGGGGGCTCAACGAAGGTATGCGTAGATTCATATCTGCAATTGTTACCCAAAATTCCTGAAAAGTTCGTAGATATCGAGATAGCATACTGCGTGTTCTCCCCACCGGGTTCAATGTCGAGAAGCTGCGGGTTGGACATTGTGGAATGGATTACACGAGTGCAAATAATGCGACTTAATGACAAGTATCTAAATAAGTTGATTTCAATGGATTGTTTTGAATGTGATGGCCTCGCCATATGATGGTGATGCGCAGGTTCTATATATGTCCGGTTGCGAGGTATGACGTAGTTCATCCCCCATGTTGTAACTTGATATATTTTATCTTAGGATGATAACTAGTTCTTAGAAACCAATAGTTCTAGTTTGTATGTGACCTTGGCCATTCTCTCTCTCTCTCTACTCTACATGAACACAACTTAAGTCCGTACCGCTATGGTGATTGGAACAGAAACGACGATCTTGAATTAGTATAATGATGCTCTCTTTCTTCAAATGCTAAGACATGATATTATACAATCATTATTCATTATTTCTTGGTTTAGAAGTCCATGCCCATGAGGTAACTATCCTAGATGTCAGCAAATGTTTTCCGAACACCTCTATAGACAAGAGACGAACCTCTCATAGATGCGCATGAACTTGGCTACGAAAGCCTCGAGATGGAAGATCACTTTCTGTATACTGTGTCAGGACTGTCTCCATTCGTTGGTTTCATAGAACTTACAGTGCCTTGCTTGATTCTATGTTCGTAAAAGGCAGACCACTTGATGACGTCTGGCTTGAGGGCATCATCAACCTTGGTAACGAGTTTGAATGTCAACGTCTTGATGATAGTCGTAGGAGGTATGCAGTGGGTTAACAAGTCATATAACCGTGCGCGAACCTGCAGCAGTCGAGCAGGCGATCGCTCTGCTAGGATCTCCTCCGCCGTCAAAGAAATAAGAGCCTCCCAGTCTGGTGGTGGAATTGGGGTGCTGTCCGACACTTTCTCACTTTGAGCATAGATCGCCTCGAACATAAGCAATGCCCTTCGAAGATTCCGCCCACTCTCCTTCGCTATCCTCTTATTGAGCTCGGCCGCCTCAGTCCACCCCTCCTTCTTGCCTGCAGTTTTCAGAACCGTGCAAATCTGTTCTTCTGTCGGCGCAGCAACCCTGACCAGCAGGGTACGAGAACGAATAGGAGCGATGATGTTCGAGGTGCTATTGGCCAGAAGAATCAACCGCATGTTGGGACTGTATTTCTCCATCGTACGTCTCAGAGCGGCCTGCGCATCGCGAGTCAAATGGTCCGCCTCATTGATCACGACGACCTTGAACCGTTGTTTCGCGGAGAGATCGACCTGCTGCGTCTGCGCGACCTCCTTCAGTAATTCCTGGACCACGACCCGGTCATAGTTTCCGACGTCTGAAGGGGTGATTTCGAGGTGGTAGATTGAGGATACGATGTTGAATTCGAGTTTCCGGTTGCTTGTGGTTTGGAAGACTCGTGCGTCGATCTTGATCTTCTCCACTCCGGGGCCGTAAAGCTCTTTGAGCGTCGCGATGATTCGGGTTTTCTTTCCGGCGCCGGATGGTCCGTATACGAGGAGATGGGGGAAGTCGCCGCTTTGTGCCTGTAGTGTTATCATGAAAGTGTCAGCCAGTTCTCGCTGTGATACGGTGCTTTGAGATGTCCCTACCAGAGACCTCAACCGGTCAGAAAGATCATGATGGTAGGAGAGAGATTCCAGGCTTCGCGGGCGCAGCTTGTCAACTAGTAAAGCCATGATGACACGATAATATAATTATGCCTTAGTATTCAGTGTTCGCTCTTCTGTATATCGTTGTCGAAGGCACGTCTCAAACGGGTAGAATTGAGCTTGACGCGTCGTGACGCGCGCTTACATGAGTGGACCGTGCATGCACGGTGCCCAGCGCGACCACCGAAGAGCCCTATATGCGCTCACATTGAATCAAACTTGGATTTATTGAATTTCTGCTATCCATGTCATTTGGAGACATATGTGCATTCAATTTGATTATGATTGTATTTGCCATAGTGAACATATCTTTTCTAGCAGTCATCCTAATTACATTATAGGCGCATTGTTTTGATCAAACTTATCACAGTTGATATTCCCAGTGAGGAGCTGCACAGTTTCTCTTTTAAACATTTTCGCAATCTTTGGGCTGTCCGCACTATTCGACGCGAGTAACCTCAATTTTCTCGACCACTGCTCAATATCGTCTTTCACTCGGGTCTGAACCATCTCAATCCGCTGAGAGGGAGGTTTGTCGAGTAGAGTAATCTGGTACGTGCTGCAAGATAGGTTCGCCATTGTTGTCAATGTTCTAGTTAGGAAGTTGTAAAATGGCATCTTCTAGGTCCTCAATCATCTTCACGATCTGCGGATTGTTTTGGATAGCCCTGCTGGTGGAACCAGGAAGTCGATCGTATGACCTTAGCTTTCTGGACCAGTATTCGAGAAATTATTTCACTTTATGCTGGACCTCACTGTATAGAGCCAGTTTTCCTGTCCGCCTGCTTTATATATCGAATCCATTTGCCCCGTTCATCTGTTAGACCCTGGTCCCTGTACTTCGACTTTGCGGAAATGTATCCGTTGGCGGGGGTATGATGAGCATAAACAACTGCCTCCACTTCGGCAATCTGGTCAAGTGTCAACCGATCATGAATATAGGCTTTGCCCCATTACAGCCCTTTGCTAACTCGTGCGTATCCAAATTTTCGAACATTGACATCGTCATCAAAGATACCCTTTCGTAGTATGTTCAGGTTTCTTTCGCGACCTGATAGCGATTGAAACCCGAAGTTTATCATATATCGGACTTCGCCTGGCTTGTAGGAGATTGCTATCAGCTTGCTCACTATCCCTCCCGGGTAAAAGCCCGCATAATCGAAGACATACTGTCCGGCAAAGTGGGATTTACCCGTTCCCGGTAATCCGTGCACAAGGACGGCGGCAAAATTGTTCGAGTCCCTCTTTGAGTTGAATAAATTTTTATGTTTTTCCCGCAGCTGACTGTGCATGCCGTGGAATATCGCGCTATATCATTGTCTGGGCAAGATCCATACAGTTGATATGCAACCCGGTTAACCTGCTTCAGGGTTGTTTGGATCTCCGGTACAAGGAGATACCTGCTTCTATTTGTTTTGTTCCTTGTATCCGCGCCATTGAATAATGGAGCTCTGGACGCTCGATTAGCTATTGGGTTAATCTTGTATAAATCATACAAGAAGAGATACTCACCAGCAACGCCAATTTCCGTCGACAGTTTGACTATCGTGTTTATGAGGTCTTGCTGACCGATATACAAACTTATATCGACTCTGATTGATGTCCTTACGGCAATGTTCCAGTTGCCCCATGACTTTGCTGAGACCTCTCCAAACGGTGCAACACGGCCGGCGTTGGTATTGGATTCAACTGCCGGACAGGACTCATTGATCATTGTGCGCGGTAGGAAGTACCAGTGATGGGGATGGTATAGATTGACACCTGCCATTGCTCTGAAAGAGACAATTATTTCGGCCTGAAGTCGCGCCTTGACTGGTTGACTTTGAATATCCCATTCACGAAATAGCTGGCACCAAAAGCATCAAAGCCATCGAGGGTAGCCACTAGCGCTATGCATTCTGACTTTGGTTTCAATTGCCACCCCATTGTGACATTGAATTCTCTCAATGAGAGGTATGCCTCGGTGAGACTGAAACCTCGAAGGGTGCCAGTGAATGGCATTTCTATGTTTATTTCTGTCTAGACAGTGGCCCATGTCGTCGCATGCGCATTTGCAGTGCTATTTTCGCACGTTATCGGGCATCGATTAGACGTTGGTTACAATCATTATGTCTCTTGAGTCCAATGTCTTTGCTTTCTGACAGCACTTGAAAAACTCAACGAGGGCTTCTTGTCACTTTCTGCGAAGTAGTAGCAATGAATGTTTCGTTAGGTGTTGCTATCCAGTGATCCTGGGGCGCCTGAGCAACCATCTTCGGTGGGTAACGTGGATGCATTCATGTGCCAGGAAGCAAGTATATCTCATTCGTTGCAGTATGGTGATTCTCATAGACTTTGTACATTGACGCTTGCTGCCTGGAATTCCTCTGCTGAACGACCGTTCCAATCTCTGCGCCTACCCATTCATCTGGTCCGCAGTCATCGGGCAAACAGATAACAGCTTTGGCTTATAATATTCTCAGAGTTCTCTGAGGAAGCCCAACTCTGACTTTTCTGTGTCGTTGGAGGACAGTTTAAGATTATGAGAAGAGAACAATTTCGCCTGAAGAAGCTTTGAACGTCTTTCTCTTCTTCAATCAACACTATCCACGGAAGGATGATTCTATACCTCGCTCGGAAAAGCGTATGCTGTCAGTGGACGCACTTACTTTGCCATGACCGGCCATATCTCGTACACCATTACCATCGAGAAAGAAAATGATCGACCAAGCACGGAGCAGCGAATTCAGGAAACATTGCAAAAAGCATGGCTTCATCTGCGATATACTCATCCCACCATTGCTTCCTGCGGCCTATTTCATCAGACAACAACATCCAGGCAGACCTTGTCCTCCGGGATCATCATGATATTGTCGATGGCATTGGCACACTGCACTTCTGGGACCGTCTCTTTGACTACGCATCGCAGGCCTACGACCAAGGGGCAAGTTATCAGCTACCACGACTCGGCCATGAATGGAGGAATCTGAGCCCACCGCTACGAGTCGCTGCGGCCATTCCAGAGACACTTACTAGCGAGCAGACTGCCAGAATTGAGCGTGCCGAGCCACAAACTCAGCACTTCGCGAGAATGTCGAGGTCGCCACCGTGCCGTTGCAGTCTAACGCGACACTCCCGGGAAAACACCAGCGTATAGCTTTCAGACTGGATCATTAGCAGACTAAGCGGCTGCTAGCGGCATGCAAGGCTCTCGGGGCAAGTGTGACGCATGTTTATCACGCTGCTATTGCCATGGCAGTCCGGGATGCGCAGAAGCGACGCTGTGAGCCTCGAAGCGTGCGCTATATTAACTATTCTCTAATTAACGAACGCGGTCACTGTATTCCACCCTACAGCACTCCTGCACATGCCATATCGACCTACCATTCCGTGTCTGGACAAAGCTTGGTCATCAACATTGAAGTCTTAGCAGCCTCTGCCTCTCAAAAAGACTCCCAACAACAGAAAGACGAATTCTGAAACATCATACAGCAAATCAAAACATTCTACACAGAAATACGCGAGGACACAGAACACATCGCCCTAACACCCGCCTACTGGACCCTAGGCACGCTCCCCTACGACCCGGCCCTGACACCCGTTCCCAGGCCGAACCCTACACCATCCGCATCCATTTCGAGCATGGGCGTCGTGGTCAAAATTATCCAGCCCCGTCGGTCCATTTTCGAGCTGGATGATCCGTGGGTCACTGGTGAAGAATTGGGGACTGGTCTTGGACTCTTTCTTGGGACGTTCAAGGGAGAACTATCTTTTAGTGTAGCGTATAATGATGCCAGGCATAATATTGAGGAGGCTAGGGGAATTTGAATAGATGCCAGGAGACTATACTGGAGTGTGCGGGTGTCGCGATGTAAATGCCTGTGGATATATAATTTAGGTTATAGGACAGAAGCTGCTATGTGACCATTCCTACGAATAAAGCCAGGGCATTGCATGGTTATCGGCAAATTTGTTCCAACTCTATTACGTTGCTTATCGTCAAGCTATGTACAGAGTACAGCAATAGCAACCAGAGTTGATATTAGAGAAGGCTATCAAGAGTAACGTCCGACATTAATCAATGCTCACACAAGTTGAAATTGCCCTTCTCAAAATCACTGTTGTGCTCAACAGCCGCAGTCTTCCTCTCCTCCATGAGATCCAACCTATAGTTCTTCGCCTCATCCATGGTAATAGGAGTAACATCCATTTCCCCATGAACCATGCTTCGTAATTCAGGCGGAAGCACGGTCAGAGACTTTTCAAGCGCGACCCTTCTCTCAATCCACCAATCTTCTCTCTGCGGAGGAACGTTCGCCGAAGAGATGATGCGAAGATTCGGATCGACTAAGAAGAAGGCGAGAATCTTGCGGTGTCCGGGTTTCGACTTGTCCGCCAGTGAGAAAGGAGACACGCGGTGTTGGAGGATGTTGGGGAATGTCAGCAGACGGCCTTCATGGGTCGACACACTGCCCAGATCTTGTGTGATGACCGAGCCGTTATGATCATCAACATCCGGAGGAAAGCCGTAAACCTCGTGCAAAAACCCGTGTTGCTCTTGAGGATAGGAGACATCGTCCATGTCTTCGCGGGCGCGCTGCCGGAAGGAGAGAGTGCTGTCCGTGATATTCTCGCTGTCGTAGTAGTATAGGGCGGTTGCGCAAATATGCTCGTTCTACAAATGTTAATTTATGACTCTTCAGACCAGAAATAAAGTAATCACTTACCAACTGCCCTTCTACGTGCCATGATCCCCCTTTGTACTCCGGTTTTTCCGGGGTCAGCTCGATGTTGGCCAGTTTGACAATAACCTGCAATCCCGTTTTGGCAAATTGCTCGCGTAAGTCGACCTTGTCATACGGATGAACCTCAGGCGGTCTAAACTCGCCCGGCTCGGGCTTCTTGATGGGTGTTGAGTTTTCCCATTCTGAATGTCGATCCCAAAATTCGTCGCTGTTCTCTTCTTCGTTGGCGGGCCAAGGTTCGGGATCCGGATGTTCGTGGAATTCAACCTCGTGGTAAGGGATCCGGTTGTAGTCAGAATTTACGTTAATTAGAGTCGCATCCCAGAGTGGGATGGTTCTGGCAAGGATCTTCTCAATGACTTGGTATAGGTCCCGGTGCTTCTGGGGATGCAGGTTGTTCACATATGAGGCAATGCGACATCCATTGTCTGGAGTAAGCTCAATATTACAGGGCAGCCATTGGAACTGGCGGCTGTAGCCTTGGTGACCCGGGTAAGCCGAATAACAATAGCTGTCGTTGGGAAGGTGAGCTTGTTTCTCTGGTGGTACTGGAAGTAACTGGCCCTGCCCCACGGTGCTGAAACAGTCATCGAGTCGAATCATTTGGTCAGGGAGGATGCTAGTATGCCCATAGATGACAGGGAAGAGCGAAGGATGCACCAGATCAACGACCTTTTGGTCCGACCCAGGATGGTAATCTTTCTCCTCTTCCGGAACATCCTCCAGTGGACGAGCCGCATCTTTCAATTCCTTCTGGAGTTCGAACGGGATTATACCATCTGCCTTGACAACGCCAGGATCGAAAGCAACGGTGTATCCTGTTTCACGAAAAATGCCGGCTTTCCACTGGAGCTCCTTGACAACCCAATCGACCATTTTAGGCGTGATGTCCTTGCCGCTGCTTAGGAGTTCATCGCGCCATTTTGAGATGATTTCGTCGTCAAAAGCCTGCACGAATTAACGATCGATTTTTGGACCAAATGGTCATACAGCCATACCTTTCGATCCCATTCAGGCTTTTCCGTAATGGACTGAATCGCCTGCATCATCAACAGGTCCCGATGGGTATTCGATCGACTAATGTGGATAAGCTCGGCGCGCGATAAGCAGGTCCTCGATCCTTACCCTACCCCACATAGCCTCCCTCGATATCATTGTAGTTCAGCGCATTGGGAAAGAGTCTAGGCGAGTTATAATCCCTCTTCAAAGTGAAGTTCAACGGCAATTTAAAGCCGGGGAGATCGAAACGAGATGCTTGAGAAGCCATGGTGGTGGTCGTTGAGAGATTGGAGAAGGGGGGTTTGAATTGGGTTTTATACCGACTCACATAACTAGGCAGCCGGCGGGTGCCTTCAGCTGCGCCCACAATAACCCTATGATTTCCCCGAATCATTGCCATAAATGAATAAATAGATGGCGAAAGGGTTCGGTGGGGAGTTTAGTGCTGCAATGATCCACACGTGGCTAGGCAGCTGGCGGTTGCCTGACTGCACCCCACAACCCTATTTCGACCTTCGATCTATATGGTTTGAGTGCCTTTGCTGCCGGCCGGCGGCCTGATTGGCGGATTGAATGGAGGGAGGCCCGTAGCGGAGAAGTCAGTATCCGGAGACATGTCTCCTCCGCAGTTCGGGCCAGAGCAATCATAGCCGGGGGGCGGGGGGTGTGGAGGCATACCTCCAGGGCCGCCCGAGACGTTGTCCGGAAGGCGCCGGCGATCCGGTAAAGTGCCTGGTGCTGGATTGACTCTATGGCCTTGGTAGCATTCGTCTCTGCTCCCTGGAAGCCATAGCCTCCACGGACATACCATGCTGAGCACCCATATGCTATCTGTGGCCATAACACCGCCGTATACATACGCCGGAGGTGAAGGAGACTGACCCCCCAGGTGGACCCAGCTATAGAGCTGAGGGCTGCCATCAGGGAGGCCGCCCTTTCCCGACAGCAGTCAACATGCTTAGATCCTGTGAGATGGTGATCAAATCTGACGCCCAGATAGCGGAGGACGGTTGTGGGCCGCACCTCCACCCACTGGAACAAGGCCGGGGAGTCAGTGCGTCCAAAGGGTAGGAGGATGCTGCGGTGCTTCCAGTGGAAGTGTATAAGGCTGTACTTGGCTGGGGCAAACTGAGAGACATTGGCTGATGTGCTTGAAGTAAAGATAATGAGAATTTCAAGGGTGTCGAGAAACATGTTCAATCTGTAGGCATATGTCCATTTGTACTTAAACAGAATGCCTGTTCTTGTTGCTATACGGAATGTTCTAGATAGAAGCTTTCTCTGTGTAATTATTTATAAATATCACCATGTCACCCTGCTGTATTTTAGTTCTCTACATCAATCTATTATCCTTCTCTACTATCGTCCATCTATCATCTAGCCTCTGGCATCATACCTTCGGACACCCCGTCTTTTCTTCTACACAATCGTTTGAGTAAAATGGCGAATGTATGTATATTTATATAGATAGTTGACCAAAGAGGAACATATCAAGAAAGAACCTAATGTTTATCCAAAATGGCATCGACACACTTCTGGATATCAGCACCCACCTCGTCGATATACTCCTTAGCGCCTTTTTCTAACACTTCCGCAGCTCCACTATCATCCAAGGCCACCACCTTCTCATAATTCTCGGGTTCTTGACCGTCGATACATTTACCGATAGGCTTGTTGACATTGAGACGCCAGTATTTCGGCTTCCCACTATTCGGAGCAAAGGCGTCTATAAGAGTCCTGAAGAGAAGGTGAGTAATCTCGGTGTTGGTGGCGGCAGCTGCTAAAGCCGATACGGCCTGAGCAGGCGCTTTCCTTGGATCGGTAATTGCTTGGTTGGAGTCGATGCCAGTGCCGATACTGAGGAAGCAGTTGGCCCTACGCCCCATGCCGTAGATGCTCAATACTTCCGTCCATAGCCTGGAGGGGTCAGCGTTATTTCTTAGTTAGGAACGGGGGAAATTGTATTCACCATCCGAGGGGATTGTTGGCACTCAAACCTCCATCAACTAACTCATAGTCACCCAACTTCATAGAAGAGAAGTATGTGGGGGCAGCAGATGTTGCACGAGCAGCTTGCCAGATTTTGACATTGCGGAGGCCCTGGGATTCGTGGGGATGTTTGTAGGAACGCAGGAAAACCGGGGAACGGTTGTTGAGTGCGTCTCTCCGGGTAGCTACAACGAATCTAAAATATGTTAGCTTGATGTAGATCGATGAGAGAATAGAACTCATACGTTTTGCAAGCTGCATTGCCCTCCCCCTCATATAGGTCGGCATTCTCATCTCCGAGTTTGTCCTTTACGAGCTTCTTGATTTGCATTTCGAGGGGTTTGTCGTCGTAGGTTTGGCCACTCCAAAGGAATTTCCCATTGTTGGTTATCCAATCCCAGGCCGATCCAAATATTCCTTGACTTTTCTTGAAGACTATGCCCATTAATTCTTGGTATTTCTTAATGCAGTCGTTGACGTCCATTTGAAGGCGACCAAGCATAATGGCAATCAAGCTGAAGGAGTCAGTAGAGTTCGCGAACAGATACCATGCAATACATACCCTCCAGTGCTGGTACCTCCAATCATATCAAAGACTTCACACGGCTTTCTCCTTTCTCCCAACCTTTCTGCCAACTTGTCGAAAATTTTCTGGAGGATATAAAGAGAAGACAGTCCACGAACACCACCCCCATCTACTCTTGTCAGCAGCAATCAACATTGGCAGCAAAAAAAAAAAAAAAAAAAAAAAAAAAAAATCATACCCATAGCAAGAACACGTAACGGATGAGTACGACCGTCATCGTAATAATCAGCCCTGAAAGCACCGAGAGACACCCATGGCATGTAATCGCCAGAAGGTGCACTAGAGTTGCACTCCTTGAAGACATTCACCATGATCTTGGTTTCCTTTGGTGTCTCGTTGTATGTAATGGCGTGACGGACTAGGATGAGCAATTAGCATCGTTGCAAGATTGTACCTGGGACTCATCTTACCCATTTCATCACCAATATCCAATTTCAGAATTGCGTTCCTAACCACGTTGTGGGCATTTTGGTCACCGGAACAAACACGGACTGCGAGAGAATTTCCGTCCTAGGTTTTATTAGCATTTTTCAAGTTAGATATATAGCGTACATACCTCTAACAAACGTAGAAAAGGATGATTCTTGTCAAAGACAGTTCCCTTGTCCTAAATATGTTCGGTCAGCACATTTTCTTGATCAGAATGAAGTAAACCTACCCAGCCAAATTCCGTCGTCTGGCTTCGATTCCTATGACTCGTCCACACCAACTCAATTTCTTGCTTGACTCTAGCATGCTGGTCATTTTCATTCTCCAGAATGGCAAGATCGAACCAGGTCCGGTTATCAGCCGTGGTAAGGACAGAATTCGCATCATGCGACTCAGTGAACAGCTGAAGACTATCGATCCTCCGGATTGTTTCGAGTGTCAAGGGCTATATACATTTCATTAGATATAATAAATCAGAAATCATGGGACATGAGCAGACAAACTCCAGTATTGAACCACATTACACATTTGAGGTTTTCTTCCTCAACACCCAAGGTTTCATCACTTTCGGGCGTGACTTCCAGTACATTTCCATCACTTTCGAGCTTGTATGACTTATTCACAAGTGCAGTTGACGGAGACGGAAAGGGTTCGAGGGCCCGGAGCTCCTCTGGATTGATATTGCCTTGTGTCACCATGGTGCCAATTGGAGAATGTATGTATGACTTGTGAATTATACTCCGTCTAGGATATTCCACTGGGTTTATATATGATTTGGGAGAACTGAATCTCGCTCAATTCAAAAGCTCAGCCTCGGGCTCCATAATCGACTGTTAGTCTCAATTTAGGTAATAACCTGCAGCTGACATGGCAGTGGCTCAGCTGAGATTCCACAGCGTGACAGCTGGCAATACGCAATGGCTCAATTTATGCACATTTTGATGTGTGGCTTATCGACAGACAGATAGCTGACTCATGACAGGCAATCGACCGATGGATTGTTTGAGTGTGAAGAACTCAATACAGAGATTCGGACCCGATGTGGACTTGGGTATACTATCAATGCTGTTGCTGGGATTTTCCTTTCCAAGGCGAGGAGTCGCATCACGCTAAAACGCAAGGCAACAGAGCTGAGCGACACGTGTCTTGCATCGGAGGCCCCATTACCGTTGGTACATTGATTGCCGAATGAGGTGCAGTCATGGTGCATTTCAGCTCGCCAGGAAACGGGACGTCCCCACCTGCATGATCTCCATTCAGCCGACGAATAGTACCAAAGCGATGAGGCGATCCAGTACTTTCGGTGAGTCCAATGCCCGAGAGAGTACGGAGTACGAAGTAACTCTGGGTGACGGAGGAAAGGCCACGAAGTTTTGTGGCCTTTGGTGCTCATTTTCGTGGCATTTTCGTCGCGGCGTCGCCGCTTCAAAGTGGCCTGCGGCCAATTTCCAAAATAGGCTAAGCGCAACTACCCAGCGTTTACATCCAATGTTTCCTGTACTCTTATATTGAGTGGTGATTTAAACCAACAGAACTTCCCTTGCATCAAGTGACCTTCTTTGTGGTCACCAAACGCGATACATAAGCCTCACTCCCTGAACAATGCCACACCCTCCCCGCCTCCCTCTCTGGCATCGATCCATACTCGCCAAAAAATGGCCGGCCTTAGAACACTCTCCAGTGGCGTAACGGCACCAGCACCCCAATACTGCAAGGGTGATGACACAGCAGACTTCGGCGACTTTGTGAGAAATGAAGACGAGGAAGCTGACCTCGAAGAGGTTGCTGAGCCCTGGCATAACTACGATGAGGAAACTGAACGCGTCTTCTATCCCGTTCGTCTTGGAGAAGTGCTCGATGAGAGATACCTGGTAGAGCATAAAACCAGCTTTGGAGGCTTCTCCACTGTCTGGATGGCCCATGATCTTCAGGGCAAGAGGGATGTAGCCCTCAAAGTCATGTGCTTGGGGGATTGGGCAGGAACTGAAATCCGCATGCAAGACAAGATCATCCAGGATGTACAGGATACCTCTCATCTTGTGACATATTTGGCGACCTTTTAACTCCCTAGACCTGGAGACAATGGCCATCATAGGGCTCTAGTGTTTCCATTAATGGGTCCATGTCTTTGCTGGCGAGTTCTGGAAAAGACATCCATAGCTACTCGCATGTCCGCTGCTCGGCAATTGCTAGAGGCTTTAGAGAATTTACATAAAGCCGGAATTGTACATTGCGGTGAGTGAAATATGCCCCCAACCTTCTTTCCTGTTGATCACATATTAACTGATATTCAAAAGACTTGAATGAGAGGAACTGTATGTGGGGGATATCTTTTCACGATCTCAACAGGAGTGCTAAATACGAAGCACTCGGTCGGCCACTAAAGGAAATTATACCATTCGTCAACCTCTGGAAACAGGGAGAGCTCGTTTGGCCTCTTCAGATCGCTGAGGACTTACGCACAGAGGAATTCTATCTTGGAGACTTTAGTCTGGCAATGAAAGTTGATGCCCCTGTAACTCAAAAAGGCCGCGCTATCATGTCTCAAAAAGTACATGCATACTTGGATCCGTCTGCGCCATGATCCAGGTACTTGTAAATGGAGCATGTGCCTCGTTATTTGCCAATCGGGCTGACCGACAGCCTTTGCCTATTATGAAGTATGTGGGGTCGATACATACAGAGTACATAGGATGTACTCCGGTACAGACGAAGCACAGTACTCCTGTACCCGGGTCCGGCTTACTCAGAATGGTGCTCACTTAAAAACGAACGAACAGCCACTCTTCACCAACGCTGATTACACAGTCCGCTTCCTAAAGAGCATATCGCGCGCTGCTCCCGCATCTCCGTGAGAAAGGCACTGGTACCTTGATCACTATTGGCTCCATGGCTGCCTGGTACCCCATGCCTGGTTGCAACCTGTACAATGCCTCCAAGGCAGCCTTGCGCTGGCTAGCAATTGGATTAGCTGGTGAGATTTCTCAGTTTGGCATTAACCACTGCTTGGTTGAATTAGGCTTTTTCCGAACCGAATTTTTAAACCCATCTGCCAATATCTCTGGTACGAGCAAGAGCAGCCGCCTACCTGCATACAGAGAACTCAACAGTACAACTGATGCCAACTTTGCTGCATTCCATGGTGCTCAGCTCGGTGACCCGGTCAAGGGAGCTCAAATCATCTATGATGTGGTCACCTCTTCCGGGGCTGCAGCTGGGCGGAAGTTGCCGGAGTTGCTTCCTTTGGGAAGTGATGCCAGCGAGGAGATATCGAAGTCTGCATCCAGAACATTGGCATCTGTGGAGGAATTCAAAGCCATAAGCGCATTGAGCGACATTCCCAAAGCGTAAATATGATTAACCGCTTATTGTACGTACTCTACACCTTAGAGTGAACGTGAGATTCCACTGGCTTTTCTCTGGCTTTCCAGGATCAATTCGCAAAGGCCGCACAGCATTACATTATTTGCTCAAATATACCAATAGCATGAGCCACATAGTTTGAGGTAGTTAAGAATAGATGAAAAATTCCCCGTTCCTGTAGTTACATTTGTGGAAAACAAAAATGTACATGAAAATGAACAGTTTTTGTGTACAGCCTGCATCTGCTCAGCTCGTCCCTTATGAGCTTTCCACTCTGCCTCTGGCACATCCGGTCCAACTGGCAAGAGAAACGGCACCTCCTTCGCCTCTTTTGTCAACGCCTCGATAATCACACGTACGCCCTTCTCAGGATCACCTTGTTGAGTACCATCGAACGTATCAAATACCCTACGAATGAGCGTCAGGACGGTCGGTGATACGGTTTAAGACCTTCTGGCGATGTCCTGCAGACAAGAAGGGCGTCCGGAAATGGCCGAGTTGGACCAAACAAACCCGGACCCCGAATGAAATCACTTCCTGCTGTAAAGCCTCCAAGGCAATTGAAATCGCCGCTTTCGAGGAACAAAATATCCCCGCGTTGGGGGCACCACTGTAGCTCCCGATGCCTGCAATATGTGCAATTGTTCCTCTTCGAGCACATCGCATGTAGGAAAGAAGGGAGTGTGTCTATGCGTAAACCAACTTCGGACCTATCTCGCATCAAATCCCAATCTTGCCATGTATACCCAGTCCGTTGCTGGCGGATTCTGCTCAGGCATGCTTCCTGCGGTTGTACTTGCATCAAGCAGTACAATTGATGATTTTATTCAGCATAGAACCGAGGCAGTTCGATAGCGTATTGGATTGGCTTCCGGGCAGGAGAACTGAGCGAGCGAGTCGGCGGGGAAGAGTGGCAGCGTCTCTCTTTCCTGGTTTTGGTAAGGCCACGAGTGAAGCATCTCGGAAGGGAGTAGGGTGCCAGGCCTGGTCTAGGCAGTGTCTGTACAATGTTGATATTGCGGGGCCTAGCGAGAGCCATGCCTTCCAAAGGATAGAGGTAGTCACACCATCTTTCCTGGGGTGCTGTTCTTGGGCTTGGCAGAGCACTATTGGCTCAGGATAGGTCAATCATGTTTTGACCTCGACTCGGCGAGTCAGGGGGGAGTGTCAGGGTGACATCTTGGGATTCTGTCCAAGATAGGAAGGGCTCTGCTCTCGGAGAGGGTCAAACAGAGGACTGCCATATAGGATGTTGAAGGTTAAAGTCTCCAGCTATTAGGCAGGGGAGGGATGGGGCTGTCTGTGCCATGAGAGACTCCAAACCCTGGCTCTCATCAACTGCTCCACGGGGAGCGTTCTAGATGTTGACCAGGAATGCCGTCTTCTGGGGGGGTGTTAATTTGGATAGCTAGGATGTCCTTGGATGGTGGACCAAAAGGAACTAGTTCCGCTTTCAGGTATGGGTGTTTCATTACCTATGTGAGGACTCGGGCCTATCTGACCAGTCCTCAATCGGGACAAGTTGGTGGAATGATGGATGGTGTTTAGATATTCGACGGGAGCAGTCTGTAAATATCCAGGGCCCCTGAATTAGAACTGCGTGACAGTTATTTTCAAAGGCCAGTTGTAGCGCAGTTTCATGCGCTTCCCAGTTTCGGCCAGCATTCAGTTGTAGGATCTGTAGATGAGATAGCCTATCTAACATGCTTGGGGCTGTTCTCTAGTCGGTGAGGAGCCCAAGCTTCTGGAGGGCTCGGTTGTAGCAGTCTAGTCTTGTAGCATATGCTGGCATGCACCTGCTTTCCTGACTGCAATAAGTTGTGACTTGGTTAGCCCGTTGGACGGCTCCCTGCTGTATGGTAGGCCGGGTGGGGCAGTTAGAGTGGTCTGCTGGGAAAGGTCCACAGCAATTGGTACAGCATGGGTCTGTGGTCTCATTGTCATTGGAAGAGGGTTGGGTCTCTTCAGTGTGGTCTCTCTTGCTGCAAATTCGGCACCTGGGTGTACGGGTGCAGGTCCGGGGTTATGGTAGTCCCAGCATCGTGTACACTGCTCTATACGGGCTCGGAAGAGTTTTTGTTTGGCTTGTACATTCTTGCTGAAAAGGTTGGTCCATTTAGGGACTGCTCGGGCTTGGTCTTCAAGGACAGCCATGATAAGAGTGCTAGATAGCGGGGTTTTGTTTGAGAAGTAGAACTTCAGGGGGGAAAGGCCTTTCTGAAGCTTGAACTCATCCAGAGCCATTTGCTCAGTTATGGGCACTTGGGTCCCATCATAGCTGGTATATTGCTGGGGCGCTTTTGGTAGGGCGAAGATGGCCCATTTCTGTTCAACTTCTGCTGTGGCTCCCTGTATAAGGCGTTCCAGAAGCTCCCTACGTTCTGTGAGGAGCTGGAGGCCTAGGCCATCCTTAGGCCAGATTGCCAAACCAGAGGGCACCTGTTGGATCTCTTTCACAGCTGCAGAACAGGCCCTGTCTAGGTGTTTCCTCAGTATATCCATTGTGGCATACGGGCTAGCTCGTCGGGCTGGATGATCCTTGGGGAGGCGGAGAAAAATGCGCGGGGGTTTTTCTGACCTATGTGTGGTCTTGGGTAGCTTTGGCTGTGTCTTGGGGGCGTTGGATGGGGTTCCAGCAGCTTCAGCATAGCTGTTGTGTTCCGGGTGTGGGGGTTGGCGATTCTCCTGTTTGGAAGGATATCCAGTCACTAGGTTCTTGCTGAAATTGAGGACCAGGGTCCTGATGTCCCTGCCCAAGAAAGCGGCTCCCTGTAGGCTCTGCCTTTCCCAATCGGTGACCTTCTGACTAACCATGGATACAAGCTCTAGGAATTCATCTCCAGTGGTCTTCATCTGTGCTGTTTTCAATGCCACTGCTGCTGCAATGTGGCTTTGGAGTTCCAAGCCCAATTGGCTTTGGGGAGACTCAGGGTTTGGGGTTGCAGGAGGGGTATCCTGTTCAGGCTGTGCGGGCGAACGCTGGTTCTCAGGGGAATGGTGAAGGATGCATTGAGCTTGCTTTAGTATCTCTGGTCTTCGTTGTTCTGTTGATTGCTGGGGGATGGCGGGCTCTCAATCACTCTTGTGTGCCAATCGATTCCCTGTTGCCTGTTCGGCACAGGCCAGGAGAAGCCGGATAGTTATTCCTGCCGACTGTTCCCGATACACAATGAATGCCAGTCATGAGCGCGAGACATCAGCAGTTCAACCTGTCATTTTATGCCAACCAGTTCTTCCTCACCTGCGGGTCAGGGAAGGCTGAGTTGTTGTCTGTGCATCCAGAACTCTGATGAAAGGAGTCAAGAATGAAGACAAAGCGGAGGTAGCGGATGCCGCTATGCTAGCAAGTTATTCATTCGAACAAGGCAGCCAATTGTAGAATTGTACATGGGCATGAACATAGCGGTGATATTCATATAAAACTGATCCATCATAGGACGCTCAGCCAGCGGGAGATGAAGTGTTGGAGGATGACGTGATGAAAATTATGGAGGACCATTCAATTTGCAAGGCAACATTTTATCTCAAACATCATTTCTATTAGCAGACCTTTTCAACATGAGTGGGGTGACCATACTGGTGTGAAAAGACTGCAGCTTCAAGGTGATTATGACTGCATTCAGCGAAAAGGGGGTGGCGCAATGAGGGGGCCTAGGCAGAGAATCGATAGTAAAAATGCCTCACCAAAATCATAGGCGGCAGAGGCGAAATATGAAAGAGAAAATAGCAAAAATTTGGTTGAAGTTGAAGCAGCGATAGAGCGCGACTTTATAGAGCACGCACCGTGATGCCAAGCGACAATGTGACGCTAAACCTAAATAGACACGCTATACCACTTCTAGTAATTCAGTGTCACCCAAGTGTACGGTGTACATATAGCCGTATTGGTGCCCAAATGACTTGCTGCGTTCCCATGACAGTTGGTACGAGTGGAATATCACAGCACAGCTGTAAAAGATCAGGCAAGTCGTAATCATGAATTAGCCCGGGTGACAAGAGTAAAGACAGTTTACCAAGTATCATAAGGGTGGCATACTGCGGAAAAGTCCTCCTCTACGGAGTAGCAACTCGCAGAAAGAGCATGCAGATGTGGGTCTAACAATGGAACGACCTGAATGTCTGTATGGAGAGTCCGGAGTAATCTTCCGCACTGTGAGTTCAGATTCAGTGTCTCTCACAAGCCATGGTGGTAGATTGGACCAGAAGGGAAGTAAAAGGAAATCATGCTGCGCTTTACATGCGAAATTCACATTTTCAACACGAGCAACTGTCTAAGGAGCCCTAGCCGCATATAGAAACGCATCTTGCACAACCTTTTTCATTTCCGTAGTCATGTACAGCGCCTCGACCTGTCCTTCCTGCACCCACAGCCAGGCCGAGTGCTCATCAGCATTCAGCTCGACTGTAGTCCCCTGCTAAACCGTCACCACATAATTAAGTTGGACGTTGGAGCGAGTTTTCGACTCCCACGTCATCGGTTCGATCTCGCCAATAATCTTAGCGACAATCAGAGATGTCTCCTCAACAACCTCTCGTGTGACAGTATGCGCGATGGTCTCGTTTGTCTCTTCGACATGTCCGCCAGGGAGCTCCCATGCATCGGGAAAAGCGTCTTCATGGCTGGCTCGCTTCAGTAAGAGGAGGGAGCGGTTGTCTGACTTTGGGTGTTGGAATATGGCAGCGCCGATTACCCACCGTTTGGCGGAGTCGAGATCTTGAGGACGAGAATAGAGGCGTTTTTCGTTCATCACGGTAAATGAAGGAAGGGGGGATAAAGGTTTGATGATAGTCTACGATGTTTGGAAAGTGTGCTCTCTTCCAGGTGGTTGGGACCCGATTGTTAATCATCCCGTACAACCGTACTCCGTACTATTATTGAATACGATCCCCAGAGAAAAAGTTGCAGTCATTCTAACCCGATACATATAGGTACTAACATCCCGATTCATTCAAATTAGCAGGACACTTGATGCGTCTTCGCTGCCTGAAACGAATATCTTGCTCTTCGTGCAGGAGTCATGACTGATTCACATGACCTTGTCCGGCTGGTCCTTCCTGCTGATCATGATACGAGTGAGGCCGACAGTCAACCTCTTAAAGACATTGTGAAGATTCGCGTGCTAGGCAGCCCGCCGCAACCTGATCTTGAATACTTTGACCCGCCTCGCATTGTCCTGGGGGGATCTTCATGTCTATTCTCAAGATATCAAGATATCAAGGAATTTAACGGTGAGGTAGTGGGGAACAACGTGAAGTCTTGTCAATTAAATCTAGTCCAGTGAATATCAGAATATCATTATCTTCTAGTATAAAGAGACGAATGAATCGTGGTATCCTGGCATCAGACCGAAGCTTTTTTTTATTTTACGTATGCGGGCCTCTGGGTTAGTAAAGGTTCTGTTGATAGCCTTGAGCTACCCACGTAAAATAAAGAGTGGGTGAATATCTGACCAGAAAAATTACAATTGCTCTAGAAGATCCAGGTCCCAATGGCTTTACATAGAACTTAGCCCTAAAGTAAATAGTTTTTGGGGCGTCATAACTCCAGTGTTTCTCTATTCCAACTCAATTGGTTTATTCTGTTCTGCGTATTTCCACCGAAATGAAGCGAGTTTTACCTCTCCCTTGATTTTGTACGTACTGCTTAACGTTATTGAAGAAAAGTCTAATCTTTGTCGTCACGAGACCGTACATTTAGTCGGCTGCCTAGGTAGATTTCCTTCCCAACTCTTACAGAATGAATCTCTGCCCTAACTTCTTGCACAACCTTATTGGCTGTTGCTTCCTCAAAGCCGCCAAATTCAGCACACGCAAGAGTTCAAAAATTCAGTTTCGTATAGGTACATATATACATAGAAATATAGTACACAATCCTCTCGAACATCCAGAGGTCTAGAGGTATATTCATGATGCATTCAAGTTCTCTTGAAAGAGAGGAGAAGTTGCTTTGTTCATGGCATAAGAATGTCAAGAAAAGAAGATCCTATCTGTAGATCTCCATGCCGTGGTTAAAATGACGAACGCCGGCATGCCACAGGATATGCCCTTCAACAGATTAAAAGTTGTTTCAATGAATCAATCTTTCGATATGTAGTAGGTCCGGCAGACTAGAGGTCAAATCATCTCGCATGCAAGATGAGCCAAAGAAGCAGTCGTAAATCATTCACCGATTAGCCTTAGTTCTGGATCGGCTTCAGAACACCATTATCATCGTACCGCGCCTCTGTTTAATCATTAGCAAAACGCCAACTAGGACACAGCAGGAGAACACAAATCCTTACTGAAAAACGTATAAGACAACGTAATAGTATCAATACCCTTCATCGAAGGATCCTTGGCGAAATCCGGGTCAATGAAGAAGAAAACCGGCATATCCACCGCCTCCCCAGCATTCAGCTTCTGCTCCTCGAAACAGAAACACTGAATCTTGCTGAAGTACGGAGCAACCTGACCAGGCGTCACACTATACGTCGCAATACCGATAATATCCGCCGGACCCTTGTTCGTGGCCGTGTAGAAGGCAAGAGCGGTCTCTCCGGGTAGAACTCGTACTTCACGCTGCTGCGGTGTGAATTTCCAGGGTAGGACGTCTGAAACGGAGCCGTTGAAGGTAATGCGCAGTCGTCGGGAGTCGGTAACGGGGATTACGCGAGCTGAGGTATCGTTGTCTCCGCCGCGGTGAGTGAGGACTGGTTGACCACCCCAGCCGGTTTGTTGGCAGATCTGCATCAGCGCAAGAGTATCATGTTAGCCGTGTCTGGGCAGCAGGAATTGGAGGAAGCTAGCAGCTATACACACCATCTTATAAAGAGGAACGGAGCCATACGCAAGGCCAACGGTTCCGAGCATAAGACTGATCATATAGTACCTAGGACATATTAACGCAAGAATTTCAGAGCCCAATTTAAGTACCCTCTCACATCGCAGACGTATTCCGCTCTTCTGATGGCTTTGTTTTAAACGGCGCCGCGGAAGCGTTCTCCTCCCGCAGGACGAAATTCCTAGAGAAGCATCTTGTCCCAGACTCAAAACATCGTGTTCTCGGAAACATTGACGGCCGGGGAACTGCCCCCAATGATGAGGAGCGGCCCCATGAGGGTATAAAACGAGCGAACATGTCGATTGACTTAATGCGAAGCTGATTTAAAGAGCAAATCCCGTCGTCTTTCCTGCGGGTTGGAGAAAGCTCCACAACACGTGATTATATCTTGGCAATGATCCTTATCGATAAGATTGCATAGATTTTCACGTGTGCCTGTTGCAATGTTGATATTCGCTATATTACATGCAGTTAGTCTCTCGGAGAATATATACATAGCATCTTCTAATAATCTAAAAGTTCGGATTCAAAGAGGATAGTGCATTGTACAGGAGAGCTACGTTCCGAGTTGCAATATGCCTTGCGGGATAGACATAGAACAATGCAAATACACCAAAGAGAAGGCCGGACTGGATGTAGATAAGTCTGGCAACGAAGGCTATAATCAGTAAAATGACTGCCATTAATGATGATTAGTTACTAGTTATTAATAATACATGTTTCTCCAACGCTGGCCGCATAACAATGGAGAAAGGAAGTGAATACAACGGAAAGGATAATGAATTGTTCCTTGTGCCCTCCTATTTCAAGACACCATTTGCAATCCTCCCAAAGACACCGCGGATCATATTAGGTCGTTCTTGAAGACAGGTGAAAAGAATAGCCGCACTCGTCGCAAAAGTGGCATACTCCCGGTGTTGGTACTACACGAGAAGGAAACAGCATTAGCAAAAACAGCCAATAGGACTTTGGTGTTTGACAGAAATGTCAGAAACAACAGGGGGAAGATGCATATGTAACCCAACGCTCGCCTTAACCAGAGGCAAGTGAGCCGGGATTAATCAATCATACCTTTTTGGGATACACCCGTGGCAACACAGTTGCTGCAGCCCTGGGCGCCACGAATAATGCAAGTTCCTGTCTCTTTCGCGGCTTCTCAACGAGTATGCTCCAGCCGCACATCAAACATCCAGCACCAACACAGAGTCCCGAGTCCCACATCTGCCGCGTGACAGTTTTCAGGTCAAAGAGTTTTGGACCGAGCCTGGACCGAGCGAGACAAACAGAGTAGTAAAAGAGCGTAACGAATGCAGAAAGAAATGCAGATGATTGCAAAGCATCAGTGAGTGCCCGGACGAGAGACTGCCGGGACTTCAAAGCCCGAAAACGAAAGACGAGTTGGAGTGGAATATAAGTTGCACAAGCAACTTTGAGAGTTCGAACAAAGCGCATAAAAGCATGGAACTCACAATTCGGACCACAATCCATGTGCACCATCTCGCAAGGGATAGGGATTGTTTTCTCCGGGCTGCCCCATTCCAGTGGCCAGCCATAGTCCCTGCACATAGATTCGAGAAGGGGCGCCTGGCCCGTGTCTTTCCCATACACAAATTGCCCTCTCCGTACACGACGAAGGGCCTCAATTAAACGAGAGTCCACTTTAGCTATTTCTCCAATCCATTTCCCGTAAGACCTAGGTAATCTCTCCGGGAGATAGAACCATGCCCACATCACGATTGCAGAACTCGCAGCGAAAGCCCCCGCATCTGCTAGCTGAGAAGCAACAGTCTCTGCCCACGTCAAGCGACCTTGGGCTTTACGACGACGATACCAAGTCGACCATGCCAGACAAAGCAGGGCGTCGACAGCTCTCGTGAGAGTGAAGAGGGTAAGGTCCATTGTCCTACCCGCAAATTCACGAGGATCTTGTGTTTTCCCGTTGCTCTGTGCATCATCGCTTACATTGCGGGTAGTTGTCTGCAATTTGATAGGCTTCTGGTTTAGGAGTTGTAAACTCAATAGAGATGATAAAAATGCAGTGGCAAAGCGGATAAGTCGCACAAAGCCTTGCGATTTCAAGACATTGGCTTTGGAACCAAGCGTACGGGCCACCAGCTCACATAGACGGAGAACTAGAGTGGGTGAGATGGTCGAACCTCCAACCAACAAAGCACAAAAAGAAGGGAAGCTATTTAGACGTATTGCGCATGTTAAAGCACGGCCAATCTAGACACTCAGGGTCAGTTCTGCGATGGGTTTTGGTCACCAAAACTATACAACAACATACCTCTTGAAGTTTCTCCTTATAGCTCAGGTCCTTCCTCCGGAGGCACCGTAAGCTGGATATGACTTTCGGAGTAGTCGAGGAGAGGTACCCCAGTGCATACGCGCGTAGTGCACTACAAATAGCAGAGGAACAGCCCGTGACGTTAGCGACTCACTTCAAAATAGAGAGAAAGAAGACTTCACTATACTTACGGCTTGAGGAGTTGAAGGTTGCTCTTGTGTCCGCGAACAAGGCCGGACAGATCCATGACGCCAAAGAGCTCTCAAGTCCTCTGACTCAAATCATTCCTGTCACACAGACACAGCGTACTCTGGGTAACAATCAACGTCAGAAACGGCTTCTGGATCTGATGCGCAACCAATGATCAACTGCGGTAGGTCTGGAATCGGGCTCAAGCCAAGGAGCAACACAACCCAGCTCTAAACCCTCCGAATAAACCCAGTATTTGAACGAAACGCCACGCGGATTTCTCCGGAAGAAAAATTACAACATCTCGTGGGAAACACACCAGAGACGGAGAGGCCGGGCCTATACTACTCCCGCAGGGGCTTTCTCGTAGTACGATCCACCGGCGATCTGCAATCACTAAAAGGTAGCGACGTATTCAACCTCGGCAACAGGAACCTAGTTTTCCCTCTTTTGTCTTCAAGAATAGAAATATATCCAGCGGGCGGTTCAGGGGTTTCGAGAGACGATCACCGGCGTAGCAAGTTTGGAACTTCTGGAGAAGAAGCAGTATAGAAGAGGTAGGTTCTCCGTCCGGGCTTCGTACGAGACCTTTGGGCGACTCCTTGATTCACCACGGACAGGGATAATTGCGGGGCAGACACAAGTATCAGACTTCCCAATTGCCAGTAGTTATCCTGACTAGAAAACACGCAAAGTACCAGTCTTTTGGAGGAAAAATGAGTGGTAGACATCCACCTTGAATCTTCCTGTCTTTGGCAGTTGGTCCGAAAGTTCCCCCATAACATGGTATTACGGGTCAGGAACGTTCCACCCCGCGGAAAGAGGTATAATTGTGGTAATACCGTTACGTCACGCGACCTCCGTCTACTTTACATGTGATCGCCTCGAAAAGACCGACGGCTCGCTTACCACCGCGATTAACTGGACTACCACAGGTTCACCTCGTCATATCTTCTTGCTGTCCTGCTTTGTTCTTGTCACGTCCGTTTCTAGGGAGGCGTTCACTCTTTCAGTCGCTTTGCATTCTGTGTATCGCTGTTTTAAAACCGTCCAGTTTTTCTCCGGTCAGAAGGGTGTGTATATACCCCACGGTCGAGCCTCGCATAGTCACCTGCATATTTTCTGCATCAGGTGCCCGCTAGCCATTGAAGACGCCATTACCATTGTGAAAAAAAGGTCAACACCGTCCGGCACACAGTTCGTTCAGTCGTTGGCAACACAATCGTCGGATTTTTCGGGGAGGTTGCTGCACGGTTTTGCTCGACAATATCGAGGACTTGACAACCACGACAACGAGCCTTGGGCTGATCGAGGCATGTCCATATCGTTTGCCTGCGTGCTGCTCTCAGTGACCGGAGTGGCAAACGCCTTCTGATAACTCGTGTATCACCTTCACAGTCGCTCCTTTTTCAAATCCTACAATGATGAATATGTCTACGTCGAAGGCCCAAAATGGCCAGGGAACTCCTCAACCAGGTCCATTTGGCTGTGAGTGTCTATAATGGATATACTATTGTCTGCTCTCTCTAATGAACGTTATACTTGCAGATTCCTTCCTCTCTCCGATGGATACGCCGTATGAACCCGCTCCCGCTCCGCCGCCTGGCCCAGCGCTCCTTGATGATAATGAATCCAATATGCTTGACAACTTTTTCACGACGATGAACTCGAACAGTTTCTCCAACGACTTTTGGATGCGCAGTCAACAAAACAACAGTAACAACAACAAGCCATTAGAGTCCTACAATTTCGATTGGACAAACGAGCTTCCGCCTACTTTTGAAGGTTCGACAACTTCGCTCTCGCAACCGACCTTTCCTCGTCGAGATATTGAGAAGCCCAATGAGCCCCCGGTGTCAAATAATACAGATGCCAGCTCGGATATACTTGCGGCTGCGTCCATGCTTTATGGGAATGGACTACAAGGGACTGGGTTTAATCCTATTTTTGACCATCAAAGGCAGTTCTCAAATCAGGGTCCGCCTGACTCTGGCAGCAAGTCTGGTTTCATCATTCAGCCTGGTCATCACGAGCCATCCGAGCAACCGAGCGACAATCCGCGTACAAATCTGCCCACTGGATTTCATACGTCAGAAATGCTTTTTGATACACATAAGCCAATATCGGCTGATCAACGAGCATCGAAAGTCCGAACCCTTCACTGGGGTTCTGATATCAGTTTCATGGACCGAGGTTACTTGGCGCCACCGGATCAGCCCAATGAGGAGGAACAGACTAAGGGTTTATTGGATAACCTCCAATGCCTCGAACCACAGAGCAGTGCGGCCAACACTCGAGCACCCAGCCCAGAACGTACCGCTGGCGGCCTTGACGCTGGGACGGGGCCTACTAGCAACATGCAGCATTCACGGAGCGCGTATCAAGATGCGATGGATGAAGATCTACAACCCAAGAAGAGACAAAAAACCCTTATTAAAACAGAGGAAGATAACTCGGATGAAGAAAGCTCGAAGCCAGGAAGGAGGTCAAAGAGCAGCGGGTATACCAAACCACGTCGTGACTCGAATGATTCGTTCCGTAAATCGAAAGCAGGGGCCAAGGCAGCCAGAGAAAATCTTTCAGAGGAGCAGAAACGGAATAACCATATCCTATCTGAGCAGAAACGTCGGAACCTCATCAGGCAGGGCTTCGATGATATGTGCTCACTTGTCCCTGGGCTAAGAGGTGGCGGCTTTAGCAAAAGCGCCATGCTCACACAAGCTGCTGACTGGCTAGAGGATATGATGCGTGGAAATGAAATCCTCAGAGGACAGTTGGCAGAGTTAAAGAACATGAACGGCGGCTTCGCAATGCCTCGGTGACTGTTCTCCTTTCCATGTCTGTTACGCGACCACGATGATTATTTTCTCTTTCCCTTTGTCTTTCCCTTGGAAAGAAACGAATGCAAGCAAGTGATGGGCGTTCTTAATGGTATATATAGTTGGTGTCATGATAACTTGTCTCATAGCATTTTTGGATGTGATTTTTTGATATCTACGCGATTTGGCGAAATGTGTCATGGAAAAGCCTGGGATGGCAGACTTGCGATTCCGGAGAGCTATGAGGACTATGTATGTACTCCGGTCATTTAATCTCAACATGGGAGTATCTATCAACTATTTAGTAGATCTGTCGCCGAGGTTATTATCTCGAGTGATAGGCCCTGATACCTTAGGCAGTCAAGCGCCGCTTTTACCCCCGTGTTTAGCCTATAAGCATGTGACTGGGGGCGGTGAGCGCGTTTCTTCCGCCGTTCAACATCACGCTCCGGAGTACAGCATCATTCCTTCAATTGAGCAGGATACTACATGTCTCTTTTATTGATGATATCTAATTAATCCTGCACTTATATTACACGCGATAGCCCCCGACAATGCCTCCGAAACGAAAGCGCGCCAACGACGAAGCCAGCCAGGCCGGCGACGATCACCAAACCAATACCAGCACCAACACCAATCGCAAAAACAAGAAGGACAAGAAAACCAACACGCGCAACAACCCTCCGCAAATGCCTTCTAGGCGAAAGCCCGCCAGCGATGACGCTAACCAGGACGAAGACGAGGACGGGAACGACAACAATGATACCCGCGCCGGTACCAGCACCACCACCACCAACAACAACAACAACAACAACAACAACAGAACCAAGAACGAAAAGAAAACCAACATGCGCTACACTAAACGATACGCCTACCTAAAGTCCCATGTCCGAAATGTGCCCGAACGAACCATCAAGTCGAAATGGTCGACCCTCCCCGAACCCGTGCAGGACAAGGTGCGCGACATGTTTCGCGCTCTCGAGCGCCCGGTTATCGTGCGGCACCAAAATGAGCGAAAGCGGATTGAGGCACAGGCTGCTGTTCAGGTTGTTGTGAAGAAGTAGGTTCTTGGGATTGAATTGAGTGTTGATACGGGCAGGAAGGCTAATGTGTGAACCCCTGGTTTTGAAGTCTTGGGAAGAGGCTTCCTAGGATGCCGTTTCCGCCCGCTACGAAGGAATCCAGCTTCGAGTACGAAGCGGCACTTGATGAGCATGTATGCTATCCCCGTCACCTGTGTCCTACGAACTATATTGACATGGTCGTTTAGCGTTCCCTAGAGGCGAATCTGGCTACCGTGACGGATAGCATGGGACTGCTAAAAGCGGAGATCGAGAAAGAAGAGGCTCTACTTACCAAGGAAACAAAACAGCTACACGATATGGAGAAGAATGCTAAGCGAGCTGAGACGGAGAGGAAGAGGCAGATGAAAAATGTAAGATTGGCGTTAACTTTGGAAATGGTGAAATTGCGACTAATCCGTTGGTCTCGCAGGAACATCCTGTACTCCGACACCTTGACAATCTGCCTGAGACTCAGGACCCGAAGCCTGCCGAATTCACCCTTGCAGATACGAAAGATAGCGAGGCAACCTTTTCTGAGGTAGGATATCATACAGACAAGCGTTTACTTCAAGGATGCTAACATGACTTGGTAGCTGGAATCCGACCCGGAAGTCCAAAGTTTACTGAAGCAGCTGACTGGTCATCTGCAATCCATGCAGACCAACACAGCCCCTCTTACTGGTCTCAAGGATGCGGTCAAACGGTCACAGACAGCTCTGACTCTGCTCCCGATGCCGGAGGATTGAACACATCTACCCGATAAAACAGCTATTACCTACAACTTTTGCCTGTGTCGTGAGAGCACATACAGTGTATGTCATCATTTCTTCCCTGCCTATAGACGCTCAGGCGAAACATTCTTGGCGACCTAGCTCCCGCGAATCTCGCGACATGCCTGCTGTGCGACTACAGCCATAATGGGTGGGCATCTTCAGTCCCTCGAGCCGCAGATACTCACCAGCTTCTCTCTGGTTTTTTTTTTTTTTTTTTTTTTTTTTTTTAAAAAAAAAAAAAAAAAACTTCGGTGATACCGAAGTGCGCGTCGTGTATATCGGGACAAACAAGCTCTTTGTCAAACATTGAAGGGTTGGCCAAGCAGGTTACCTAATGCCAACAAGTCTTTCATGTTCTCTTAGAATAGATGACAGCAGTTTTATTAAGACCGGGAATGCTTGCGGTATTTAGCAGGTTCTCGTGAGAATGAATCAGCCACAACTCTGTGTTCCAGAAACATCCTTACTGTGTAGTTGTAGTAGGGTTGGTCAGTTGGCATGTGGTAAAACTGCTACATGTAAGACAATCCCTGCTACCAATGCGGCGACCAACATGGTGTCAATTCTAAGAATATAATAACCTTCGTATAGTCACGTAAAATCACTCATATTTCTATAGTCATCAACATGCGAAGAACCGGTAAGGCTGGTTCGTGCCGGCTCTCCATGCGGAGGAGCTCGGTTAAAAACCGGAGGACAGCGGGGATACGTGGACGAGAAAGAGTCCCGGACTCTGATTCACTACTACCACGCTTGCACCCTGCAACTCCTTCCCTAGCTTTATACATGTCTCTTTATTCGTTCATTCTGTTCTAACCTGCAGCAGACGCGCCCGGTCGATGTCTGCAGGGCCCCATCTGCCCACCTTCGTTGCGTCCCGGTTTTCAGCGACTCCCGCGAACACTAGCAGCTACACTACTTTGCGCAGGAACCGTTTCGCGCCCGGTCCGGTCCTTCGCGATCGATGACAGAGAACAGTATCGCGCAATTGAGCGCGGACCCGGACAATCAATACCAGACTGGCAATGCGACAGCAGACAAAATGAACTCGAATTCGAGCGATGGAGATACGCTAGAGACTGGCGCAAAGAGCAAGGCTGAGCAGGCCGCCGCGGGGGCTCACTCAAGCCCGAAGAAGCGTCGCAAGGTTAACCATGGTAAGGGATCATTGTTGCGATGTGTATTACAAGGAGGAGGGCAGTCAGATACTGCGCTTTCCTTAAATCAAGCTAGAGACCATGCTAACCTGAATCGCCACGTCTGCAGCCTGCGTCTATTGTCGCCGATCGGTAAGCTGCGTTCTTCCTCTTTGGGAACTTTAGACTGTCTTTTTTTTTTTTTTTTTTTTTTATCCTATTTATTACTTCTTATTCGAATGCTTCACTGCGCTGGGAATAGTTGCTGACAAGGTATTTTCTCACGTGGGACAGCATATGACTTGCGACTCGGTACGACCTTCCTTCCACCTTCCCTGACAGCCCCATTTGTGTGAAACGCGCTACAGACTTTTTGCATATGGAGACCATTTTACTGACAGCTTTCCTTCTCTTCTCTCTTGGATGATCGAAAAGGAACGACCTTGTACACGGTGTATAAAGCGCAATATCGGCCATCTGTGCCACGATGAACCTCGGGAAACGTCGAAGCGATCACGGAATAGCGAATACGATCAATCAATAGGGGACGACGAAGGTTCGACGAGTAACGATTTTCCGAATGTCCAAGGCATGCCTCGGAATGTCGACGTTCAAGATGCTGCGGGTCAGCAACTTCTCGCCGATGGCTCCATGGGCCTTCCTCCGCCTCCGTCGTCTGTGAACCAAATGCCTTCTTCGTCCTCGTCGGCTCAGGGTCTTAACCCCAACCCTCAACAGGGTAGGACTCCGCGAATGATTTGATACACATAGATGTGGTTTGACTGACATCGCGGGATAGTTATCGGATACAACAACGAGTGGATGGGTGGACAGAGCCAGTTCCAAGACATGCACACCTTCCATCCTTCATACATGTTCAACGCACATGAAGTGACCAACGAATATAATCTGCTCGGTGATTTCCTGAGCAGTAGCTTGCTGGACGATGGGTCGATTTTCCAAAACGACGATCTGCATCCACTCTATTCGGACCCGACGTTGATCAACTCGATGGCAATGGGAGGGTCCAATTCGGGATTGATTCAGCAATCACATCTTTCCATACCGCAACAAAATCAAACAACCCAACCTGACTCCATCCAACAGTCAAACGCGGTGGGGAACGACAAGGCGAGGGAGACTTATTACATGACCGCAGCCGACCCGTCAGGCTCTGATCCCCCGGAGGAACGAATGAACAAACTTTTGAAGGCCAAATACGATGCTGGGTTGCTAAAACCGTTCAATTACGTCAAAGGTTATGCCAGGTTAAATCAATATATGGAAAAGCATATGCAGCAGACATCACGACAAAAGATCCTCCGACAGTTGGACAAGTTCAGGCCGAAGTTCCGTGAGCGGATGCAGAGCTTGACTGATATCGAGCTTATTCTTGTGGAGATGTGGTTTGAGCGAAGCCTGATGGAGTACGACCGAGTCTTTGCCAGTATGGCCATTCCCGCCTGCTGTTGGAGAAGAACAGGGGAAATCTTCCGAGGGAACAAAGAGATGGCTCAGTTGATCGGTGTTCCTATTGAAAGTTTGAGAGATGTGAGTTTCATACACTACGCCACCAGTGTTTTGATGTAGCGACGAGCTGACACTTTCTCTCAATTAATAGGGCAAATTGGCTATTCACGAGATCATTGTGGAAGACCAGCTTGTGAGCTATTGGGAGAAATTTGGCGCTATTGCTTTCGACAACACCCAAAAAGCGATGCTTACGAGTTGCGCGCTGAAGAATCCGAATTCAACCTCCGGGGATGGAATCCGGTGTTGCTTTTCATTTACGATACGACGAGATACCCACAACATGTGAGTAGAACTCTTTACTATTGACGCTGGATCATGAAGCTGACTTGTGCTAGTCCATCACTTATCATCGGGAACTTCCTCCCGTCAGGGAAAAAATAATGATTTGCAGATTCCGCGGGTTGTTTTCATGTTAGCGAAATGCTAAAGCTTATTAATTATTGGGTTTTTTATTGCGGATGTACCATTTCAGAATATATTTTTCACGGGGTGACAATCACTGTATCTGGTCTGGGTTTATATGCATGTTTTGGCAGTGCACAGTATTTGAAACAATTTTGAAGCAGGTGTACCATAGCATTTAGTTGGTATTTATTCTGGTTGATAACAGGAAAAAGAATGGAGCTTCCTGAGGTGCATATGGGATTTTGATGTAGACATGTGTAGTTGATGGGTATGGACTAACCTGGTCAGGTGAGCCCTCTCTTTCACCACCAAATCCCGTCAACACCTCACCAATCGACGCATAACCGACGTCCATCATCTAAGCCATCAAAGCAAAACTCCCTTGAAGGATCCAATCAACATGGCATCTACATCAACAACTACTCCCCAAGAGCAAGCATCCACAGTCACAGGTAAGCCTTCACAGCTCTCATTCATTTTCTCATGTTTCTCGTTCCTCCACGCTCTCTTGGATCTAATAAACGCCTAGCATTCGCCAAAGACCTCCAAGATCTAATCTCATCGACCACCTCCTCCTACAGCCCGCTAGCCATCCTCGACGACACCCTCCGCACGCTCGATAAACACCTCACCCAACTTCCCTTATCACGAACGGCCCTCACGACATCCACGCGTCACCAGCTTGATACGAAAGGAATGGAGCTATGGAATACGTGCTTGCAGGTTATGGGGACTTGCGGGGAAGGTGGTGTCCGTGGTTTGTTGAGTAAAGGTTTGTCTGGGTCTAAGGGTGTTCTTCTTCTCATGATTTGACTTTGACAATTTGCAGTGAAGTATCTGGCTTTTGCTATGATAGATAGTGCTGCACCTCGTCGGGGGTCGGGTATATATATCTTGAAAAGAATGGTGTGGTGGACGATACTGATTTTGTTTAGGAAATTTGAGGGCTCTTGAGCTCGCGCTGAGGACATCCAAAGACTGCTTGGGTATTCCTTGTCCTTCTTCTAAGTTGAATAAATATGGCTAACTACCAAGCAGAAAGTGAGCATCTCGAACTTGGCTTGAAAGCTCTGGAGATCGTGGCGGCGAGGTTGGATACTTTTGAGAAGTCGGAGGCCGATAATTTAAGACTATCGGCTGCCACGACGGAATATTATATGCTTCGCATTTATCTGGTCAGTCACTATTGAACTAGAGCTAAATATAGTAGACTAACAGCCAAGTTAGTCGTGGTTTCAAGGAAGGCCAGATATCGCAGAGCATTTGTTCACCAAAACTAGCGACACCCAAGGGTCTCTGGAACAGCAGAAGACGATGATCGAGGTTTGCTATATCATCGGATCATCGGCTCTCTCGAAAGGTCAACCTGATATAGCAGTCCGCTGGTTGGAAAGAGTATTAAAATCGAACTCTTGTTCTAACCAGGATAGTGAGTCATCTGACCTTGCTCTGAAGGATATGAGGTTGCTTATACTACATACCTTGGGTGAGTGCTTCATTATGGATACTCACCAATTAGTTGCTCACAGGTTCAGTGCGGGCCCGTCTCCAGTTGAATACGCCGAACTCAAGGGACTGTGCACTCCAAGCATTGAACTCCTTGAAGACTGTAAGGCAAAGACTCTGGTTGCTTTTAGTTACTAATGAATCCAGGAATACAGAGATATAGTCCCTGTGGTCATGCTTCAACTCGAATTCTTCAGCAAAGAAGAACATCTAAATTATAATGACTATTCCGGATGTAAATCATCCCAGGCCATATTACCATTCAATGCTGACAAAACATACAGGTCTTGAAACTGCTGTACGGATGATGGAGCTTACAGACGTCACTCTGAAGACGTAAGTCACTGCAGTCACTTTTGTTATATACTGTCTAACGCCAGGAGTATAGTGCTTTCTATCATATCCAGAAACTCAGCTATCACAGGTATGTTGGTCCCGATCACGTATGCAGCAGCATGGCTGATTTCTATGAACAGCTGGGATCTCTCCATGAAAGTATCTCGACAGCTTCTGCTCGAGAAGCTCATTCCTTCTGGTAACCATACCTTGATAGGGCAGTATTTTGTTGCCTTCATCTGGATGATAACCAATTCAAACAAACCTGCATCGCAAGAGTTGGATATCATCATAGACACTGCGAAAACACTCGCTCATCCTGGCATAGATGCTCTGAGCGAAGACGCCACTCATGCTTCGTTAGTTGTAAGTATGAGAGGACGTCCGTTGGCTTGTGAAATACTAATGAAGTATTACAGCTCATATGGAGACGAGTCGAAAATATGATTTCCAACGACGATATCTCTATGGCAGAACAATGGTGCCTGTTTGTCCTCGAACAGCCTATCTTCCAGAATTGCTCTACAGCCAACCGGGGCGTCCTTCAAAGGTTGTACCTTGGTATTTCCCGCTTAATCTTATGGGGTATATGGCTAATACTGACTAGAAAACTAATGGTTTGCGCATTGAATAACCCGGGCACTTCTCTTACATACGAAGCGCTGGAACGAATACTGGGGCGATCTCACGACACCCCTTCGACGCTGTACTTGGCGTATATGATCACTCTGTTGCATGATGAACCGGACCTGGGTAAGTTGACTGGGAGTCCTGGTGCAATTATTTCTAACACATAACAGGAACGAGTATCCTGGAAGCGCTATATAAGCTAGGAGAAAATGGAGCCACGTTTCTTTTGTCCTGCGCAGCAGAAGCTCAGCGTCTAGGAAATATGCAGCAAATGATGGGCAGCATTCAGCGGGTTATTGCGATTCTGGACAGTGGATATTGTGAAGGATTAGACTTTCCGACTCTCGTTGGGTGAGCTGGTTTCTCTTTACTTGAAAATTTAGACTGACAAGCGCAGATCTACGATACATATTCTCTCAACAGAACTGGACAATTGTAAAGTAGATGATACGAAGATCTTGGAACAGATACATCGGACCTTTCAAGCTGGTAGGTGATCTCCAATTCGAATTCTCGAAAACCATAACTGACCAAAGCATCCTAGCCCTGAAATGCTTGACTGAAAGCAGCAGTACATTCTCGAGCAATGACATACAAAGGCTCTTCCAGAAGAGCTATAATCTTGCCTTGCAGTTAATCAGATTTTCTCACTATAGTGCAGCTATAGGGTTGCTAGATGTCTCCCTGGAGGTATGATATCTTTCATTTACTAGCAACAACTATCTAAATTCACATGCAGCTGGCAGATCTATTCCCAAAGACTGCGGAGTCCAAAAACACGTCCGAAATTCTTGGGCATTATCTCTCATGTAACTTTCTGAAAGCCCTCATTCTCATCATAGAGGCACGCGAGGAAACGGACCCTCTCGAAAAGGTACACCGCGTCAACCACGATCGAAATACGCATACTAAGCGCGCAAGCAGAAGAACCACTACACCAACCTTCGCAACACGATCGAACACTTCCGAGCACATATCGCAAACCACCTACAACTGCAACAGAACCACGAAACAACCGTCCCAGAAAAGTGGCAAAAAAGCTACCGAGCCCTCCTCTCCTTCGACTTCGAAGCCGCCGTCTTCCTGTCCCAATGGGACTGTCTACCGCGTATAATCGAAGAATCAAGCTCATTCGCAGACTCGAAGCTGTGCGCGGTCTTCCTGGACTCGATTTTATTTGCTGAGGCACCGGTGAGCGAGATGGTAAGGGTTGTCATGGTATGTCCCCTTCCAACTTTACACGTCGATATAAAAAGGGACTAACAGTAACAGACAATAATAAACACCCTCCACACCTCCCCCTCCCCAACCCTCAACAAATCCTCCTTCGAAACCTCCCTCCCGTGCTACTTCCGCTGCCTCTTCCAACTATCCCTCCAGGCAAACGAAATCCCCCTTGCAGAAGCCATCCTCGATAAAGCCATATCCCTAGCCCGCGGCTACGATGACAACACCAACACTGACAATAATATGAACGAAAACGGCAAAACCAAGAGCTACGACTATCCAAACGAAGAACTCGAATGGCTCGCCACAATGTCGTTCAATCGCGCGATAGATTTCTACCTCGTTTCTGCGGATGAGGAGTGTAGACGGTGGGCTGAGAAGGCGATTGAGGTTGCTGATTTGGTGGGGTATAACCAGGGTGCGTTGGGGAGGTTGTTGAGGGCGAATTTGGCCAAGTTGTCGTGATTTATCCATTTATCAGGTCATATGTTACGAGTATGTTAGATGGGATGCTGTATGTTCAGATGTTGAGATGAGAGAAGCAAATCATCATATAAGCCAGGTACTGCAGTCCAGTTCAATGGACGCGACCTGGCATGTCAATGCGGGTATCATTTGAAGATTAGCTAAGAGACTCCTGGAAGACGCAACAACGCGAAAACACGAAAATGAAAACAAGTGAAAGAATGACTGGAAAGTAGATGTGAAAAAAAAAACAATGAATAGATGAGAAACCATATCCTGCCAACCAACCTTCCTTAAACAAATGAACAGAATATATCAGGAATAAATCACACAAATCACACCATGGATGCCCATGCCTAGGACCATGAGGGCAGATCCCATAAAGCTCCCCTTTTGTGATTTGCAAAATCAAAACAGTGACAAGAAAACTGAAGAAACGAGATGAAATGGGAAAACAATAATAAAAATGAGTGGAAGTAGCAAATGCAAGAGAATCCAAAGCATAAAAAAGTGATCGAGAAGGAGAAAAAAGGATGAAAAGGAAAAGACCTAGCCCTTCCCATCATCAATAGACCGACCCCTACAAACACAATCCTCCCTCGAACTCTTCTGCCCAAGTTCCGGAGTCGAAGGCAAATGCGGGATCCGCAAGGTCCTCCCGGACATAGACGACAGAAACATCTGCTCATTCTCCCTGCCGCTACTATCAGTCTCCGTCTCCAACTGTCCATCCCCGAAGTTCTTGTTATGAGAGCCCAAGCTCCGAAGTGTGAGACTGAGTTCGCGTTCCAGTTCTCTTTGGGAACGGAGGTGTTCGGAGGACCCGTGGAGCTTCTTTCTGTAGGCTCTGAGGGTGCGGCAGACTTGATCTGTGGACGTGGTGAGGCTTCCGGTGTCGTTTTGATGAGAATGTGAGTGTCTGGTGCGGGAGCGGAATTCTAGGGAGGTGCGGCGGGTGCTGCTGGTTCTGCTGGCCATTTTCTTTGTGGGTGTGGAGGTAGATGTGGATGATGGTGCTGGGGTTGGTGTCGACTTCGGACTGGTAGACGGCGACCTGCGCTGTCTCGCGTGAGGGGTAGCGTATGTGGGAGAGCGGCGGGATGAGTTGGGTGGAGAGGGTGTAGAAGAAGACGCATGACCATTCCTCAGAGAGGATGATTTCAAGGAGAGCTTCGACACCTTGCGTACAAGTGGCGATGAGCTCTCGCGCATTGGTGTGGGGGTGACGGCTGAGGGGTCTTGCTTTTGGAAGCCGGCAAGTTCGGATTTCGACAGAATTCGACGAATAGGGGGCTTAGACGCAGTCTTCGCGGGTGTATCATCGTCATCGCGGCTGCTGCTGCTCTGAACTGGATCTTGAGATTGATAAGGCTGTACGGTCAGGCTCCATATCATGACGACGCCGTCGATGCCAACGCTGATTAGCGTTCGTGTAACCGGATCGTCTGGAGTATCTTGCGGATTGTCTAGTAGAAGCACGTCGCTAACGCCCTCTGCATGCCCGAATTCACCGGTAAGAAGCAAATCTCTATCCATGTCATAGACGCGAATGGATTTGTCTGTGCTCGAAACTCCAACAAGAACCCTGGGACTCTGTCCCGGAATCTCAGTAGCTACAGTCAGAGCACCCATGACAACGGCGTCAGGTGATTCTGAATCTGCGGCGCGAAAAGCGTGAACTGCTCGACCCGAAGGGAGATCGACAATTTGGATACAACGATCCATCGTGGAAACAACAAGAATATTCGAGTCATCTGGTGAGAATGTCATGGATACAGGAGATGACTTCAGGGTTACCGTTTTCGATATCAGGTAGGCAACGGCAGTGGTGCCATTCTCCTCGCGGGTCACACGGTTCCTGATGAGGATGGTACGATCCGACGAGCATGAAAGCAACTTCTCCCCGTCCTGCGAGAACAATAGTTGACCGACTGCTCCGACATGATCGTCCATTGTTTGGATCAACTCAATGCTTTCGCCGCGCTTCTGGAAAAGTTGAATCATGCGATCCCGACCAGAGCTGGCAATGAGAAAAGCGCCAGAGTCCGGATCCGAACGTATCGCAATGTCCGTAATCTCTCCGCCATGGGCGCGGACCTCGTTCACGCACATCCATGGTTGTGCAGACATCACTCTGTAGTCAAGTTAGCATAACGAATAAGCTAGTATCGCGAGATGAAACGTACCTCAAGACACCCAATTTATCACCCGAGACATAGAAGTCCAGGTCTTCCGCGGCCGCCACCGTCTTCAGCTCGTTAGACACATCGTCATCATCGCTGGGAAGCTTGTCCACAGGAATTGCCCGAGAAGCTCGACATTTCCCGTCGGTGTCCCAGAAGTGCACAGTGCCTTTGCAGGACCAAGTGAAGAAGTTCGCTTTGAGTTCGTTTGGACCCTTCAAGGAGCGGATACCAAGAACCGAGTCTCGATGAGCCGGCATTGTCGTGTCCGTCGAGCTCGAGCTCTCGTCATCTTCACCGTCCAAGCTGTCAAATGGATAAATATTGACCACCCTACTGGAGTCCAATGTAACCAGGTGCGATGAAAGCGATCCCATGCAGGTAATCGCGAGTCCTTTGGGCTTTGGTCGGGGTCCCGGACTGGTAGGTGGACCTGGAGATGATGCTGATCGCAATGAATCGACGGAGAATTTTTCCATTTTCCGGCCGCGACCACCTATCCAAACACATGATCCGTCTGAGTCGGCCGCCAGAGAGGTGATATTGAACCCCACATGTTGGACCAGAGACAGTTTTTGCGAACCCGCACTATCATCTAGGAGACACAATGCGCCCGTATCCGTACCGAGAACCGCTTCGGTATCTGAGATGCTTGCCGCGCAAGTGAAGGTGCTATCCCCCAAAGCACCGAGCACGCAGTTTCTCCCTGAAAGCGCCTTTGGTGTCGGATTGGAGGAGTGTGCTGCAGATTCCGGATTGAGGCGAGATTTGCCGGGCGACCCTGGCCTTTGATCTGTGAGTCTCCATACTTTAACATGTCGAACGCCAGCCGTGACCAAAGTCTGACCCATCCAACACATGTCCTTGACCAATGCAGTGCATTTATTTGTCGAGTGTAGTCTAGCTGACCCATTTTTCAAGCTGACAGCCCAGATGAAGAGAAATCCATCGTTGACGTTACCCAGCGATGCTAGGTGTTGCGAGTTGGAGCTAAAAGCCAGGTTACGGACGCCAAACGTGTGCTCGTTGAGGATCGAAAGCGGTACGTCGGGGGAGGAGTCTTTGGCCGTCGAGTAAATCATGACTCTTGGGTTATAACCTGTCTGAAACAAGAGTTAGCGATCCCTAGGTGGGCTTCATGGCGTTCCACTTCCACTCACCTCTCCCATTGCAAGAAACCTTCCATTTGGACTGAGCGAGACACTTGTAACGGCTTTGATGCGCTCTCGTGAGGACCACCCGCGAGGACTACCGCTTTCCGCCCAATCGTTGGAGGGCGAACCATTGTGTAGACCGCTAGCATGCGCATTCGACTTGATCGGAGTTGATCGTGCTCTGGGATCGGGGGTACTAGGCGGGGTAGGCTGATGGTAGAAAGAGGTCACTGGATTGACGCTAGTGGCAGATGGGCGAGCTCTGAAGAATCGCTGGTGAACGTTATTGTCGTCATCGAGCTCCGCTAGAACGGCGGCGGAACCGGCGCAGAAGGCAAAAGATCTGCTCTCATCATGACTCGAAAAGCCATTGGGAGCAGCGGTCGTAGTGCCAATGACCGTCTGAAGAGCTAGGACTGTCTGGTGCGCGGATGGTTTGTTTGGGGATCGGGCAGCTGGCCGGGGAAGGGGGGAGTTGGAGGGAGTGATCCTGAGCGAAGGACCGGGGCCAGCGGCCGGTTTGCATTTCCCGTTGGACGGAGTGTTGCTGGACATGCCTCGAAGTATTGCTAATTCGACAATGACGGGGAGAAATTATGGTTTCGGGGTTCTCATTTCAGCGTGGTCGCATAGACAAAACAAGCAGCTGTCAGCTCCTGTCTGAGCTCCATCCACGACTTTACCACGCGCGTATTGAGAATTCGTTGGATTTATGAATCGAGAGGAAAGGTTCGTTTTCGAATCGAGGAATCGAGGGAGCTTTCGAGTCGATCGGATACGAGGAGGAGCTGGAAGAGCTGCGGTCGGCCGTGTCCAAGGTGGGCTGTAAAGAGGGATCGCCAGATAGAGAAAGAATGTGGATTGAGAGAAAGAATGACTGGAGTGAAAAGAAAGAAAAGCAAAGGATGAAAGAGAGACACGAATGAAAGAAGGGAGAGCTCGAAGGAGGCTGAAATGAAGCGAGAAGTTGGGTTGAAAAAAAGAAAAGAAGAGAGGGCGAGAAAAGTGCGAGAGAAGATCGACTGGAGCTGGGGGTTCGTTGGCGCAGCTGAATTATGGCACCAAAGTATTCCTTTGTAGACTAGAATAATACCAGAGGATAGTAAAAGAACATGACAGGAATAATATTGAATATTCTATCTCAACCCGAAAAGCCGTTGTGTGCGTCAACCCAGCTCCCCAGTGTACTAAGCGCCTGTACAGCTGTTCCAGCAAAAGTTGGAGGATCGACCACAGGGCAACAGCTGGTCCGTTCGAACCGGTGGGGATGGAATGTTGACTCTACAAGTGCTTGTGTATGCACAAAATACTCGGTGGTTTCATTCCATGCCATTGTTTCAGGTTGAGGTGCCTCATTCGAGTCTTGATGTATACTGGGAAAACAGGGTATCTCAAGGAGTATGCCCTACTTTGCTGCAGGGTCCCTTACAACCGGATAATGTCCAATATCATTAGTTACAGGACTAACGACTAGAATAGAAAAAGCATGTAAAAATAGATAAGAAGGAAAGGTCTCTTTAATTACTCTGTATAAAAACAAACAAAGAAAGAAAGAAGCATTCACATACTCTTTTGTTTCATGTTTACTCTTCCGGACTCGGAATCTGTAGGCATGACCGTCATGGGTAATAATATCCATCCGAGTTATTCTGTTCTGCTGACAGCTATCATTCTACGCACACCAAGAAAAAGCTCATCGACTGGATTATCACAGATGAAGCAAAAATATCGAGGATTGCTGCTCAATGGAGAAACACGTGATCTATAGCAATTTATGCCTGAGGCATAACTCGGAGCATAGTTAACTAGTTATCGAATCGCATCCAGACTTTTTTCAGTCCGTTATCAGTTTTCTACTCCACTCCAATTTCCATCCTCTACGTTCGATACCAGTCTCTGAAAATATTGGACAGCTTCGATAAACCAAATCCGATCTAGCCACCACAATGGCTTCCCCTTGTGTTGCTTCTTCCAAGCTGGCTCTTCCCTCTGTCCTCCAAAGTCTCTTTCGCGCCGAGTTTGCCTCCGAACTTCGATCTCAAGACTCTTTCTACAACCGAGCCAGACCTCTATCGTTACGTCGAGCATCTCTTCCATCCCGAGGCTTTCAAAGCAAGCGAGCAATCACCACTTCCCTTCCCCGATCCCAGGAATTTCAATCTGAACAGCCGCCGTCCTCTTCCACCGAACCCTCTTCCGCCACTGATAACTCCAGTCCGTCGCAGTTCGACCATGTAGTGGAAAGCGCACTGGAAGACAAAGTCAAGCATTCTGAAAATTCTAAACGGCGGACAGAATCTTCGCGGACTCCTCCAGATACCAAATCCAAAAGTCAAAAGCCCCCAAGCATGCTGCAGCAACTACAACAGTCTCAGCAGAAAAAGAAGAAGCGCGAGGGATGGCAAATTCAGAAAGACGCATTGAAAGGCAAGTTCAAGGAGGGATGGAACCCAACCAAGAAGCTCTCGCCCGATGCACTTGATGGGATCAGACACCTTCACGCCATGGCTCCAGACCGCTTCACCACGCCGGTTCTCGCAGAACAGTTCAAGGTGTCCCCCGAGGCGGTCAGACGTATCTTGAAAAGCAAATGGAAGGCTTCGGAAACCGAAATGGATGACCGGCGCAAGCGTTGGGAGAAGCGACATGACCGGATTTGGAGCCAGATGGCTGAGCTGGGTCTCAGACCGAAGAGGAAGCGCACTCAGGAAATCGATGATTCCAAGGTATTATATGAGGACGATGGATCGTGAGGCCTTGGTTATCGGGGCCGTGTTTTCAACAAGAATTCAATTGCAAAGGAAAATTTTGGATCCATAGTGGCATTGCATCTAATGGGGTTTTTTTTTTTTTTTTTTTTTTTTTTTTGAAATTCTGGCAACAGACATTGTAAATAGATCTCTCCAAAGAATATATAGCTCCAACAAGGCCGTTCAAGCCAGCCAATTCTATTTTTCATGACAAATTTAGGAAAGAAACGGACTTTGTTGATTCTCAACAAGACACTTAATACATCTATTTATACATCTCTAGTTATTCAACTTTCTGCACTGCGTACTATGTATCGGTGGGCGGACTTACGTCTTTGCGCAGACCGTCCCATCCGGACAGACAACTCTCCTTCACCCCATCGCCGACCTCATCATGGCCTTTTTCATTCGACTAACCAGTCCCTAGAATGCCCCGGTTGGCATCAACAACAATCCTTTCTTTTCCGCATACAATCTTAACCTCCTGAACGCGTTTTAAGTGGCGGCTGGCACCGACCGGACCTGTCACTATCCCAAAGCCTCCTCCGCAATTCGCATATGACCATCTCGCGACCCCCATCCTCGCCATGCCATCGTCGGATATTCAAGTCTTCGTGAAATGGAAAGATCAAACTATCTTCGCCGGGGAAGACGTCGAGTGTACAATTACTTTCCGCAACGTCGCAGACACCAACAATGTCGAGTCCAACAATCACCACAATGGCGGACAGCTTACTCCTCACCAGCCGCAAAGGAAACAACCTAGAGCCGGCAGTACTGATTCCTCCTTTTTCTCCCTGAAATCTCCGCAGAACCTTTTCTTTGGCTCGAACCGTCGTTCGCACTCTCTCAGTCCGCAGAAGAAAGCGTCACATCGTACGTCGTCATCACTGAGCGTTCCGTTGGGTGGTGGTGCCCATAGCTTCCCCCCGCCGTCGACACCCCGGAATGGGCCTCCCTCGAGTCACAAACACAAGCGATCCGTGTCGATTTTGTCCATTGATAGTGAGGGGGGTAATGGAGGGAATGGAGGAGATAAGACGCCCTCGTCTTCCTCGCCGTTCAGTCGCATGCCGCCAAGAGGCCATGGTCGTTCGGCAAGTCTACAGGTTCAGCCAAGACGAAATGATAGCTACGATGAGGCTTTCATGAAAGGTATGCGCTGTCTTTGGGAATAGCATTAGAGTGCTTGATCGCGGGCTGACAAGTCCTGTAAACCAGGTGGGCGACCTACCCGTGGTTATCCACCTCTCGAATCCCCGGTCAATCCATCTCCCGGCAATCTGAGAGTCGATGTGAGCCATCGCGGAGGCTCCGGCACACCGAGTCCTATCGGACCGAACGAACCGTCGCGTGTTCCTAACAGAAGACCGCAACTGCCTCCGTTAGACTTCAAGTTCCCTGCGGCACCAGCTTCAATCAACGACCGCTCCGCTATTTCACCTTCAGTAGCATCGACAGAGGAATCCTTTGCGCCAACAGCAATAGGAAAACCGATTAATAAAGATGGTCCTCCCCTATCGGCGCAGAGTCATCTGCCGCAGATGACCAGAATAATGTCGACGTCAAGCCAGAGCGGAAGAAGCAGCGGGGAGTTCTACTCCGTGAGTGACCACTCATCGGAGACACTCCAGTCAGAATACACAAACTATTCGATACCGGTACCGCGGCAAATCCCCAACCGTCATATGCGACATCATTCCAGCGTGGACCCTAGTCCCGTGCTTGCCAACAGCCAGACACTCATGATGGGATATGCGCAGATAAGCGCATCATTCACAGTAGATGGCTCCTTAATCAATCAATCCGCCTTCGAAGAGGTAAAACGGAAAGGTGTCGTTGGTGGGCAGGGCAGTGGCACTGGGGCACCGGGTCCCGGGGCTGCCCGCGGTGACAAAAGCCGAAAAGGCGGCGGTTTCTGGGGCGCCTTGCGGTGGAATAATATCGAGGAGTCTCTAAGCGGACTCCTTTCCAACAACGACCTCGATGGTTTGCGAGAGATGCGGGGTGTATCCTCGTCGAAGTCGATCCCATTGCTGTCCACGTCTCAGTCGCTCCTGTTCGTGGATCTTCGCCTTGCGCCTGGTCAAGAACAATCATATTCTTTCTCTTTCACTTTGCCCAGTGGCCTTCCTGCGAGTCATAAGGGAAAGGCCATCAAAATCTCTTATAATCTGGTTATCGGCACCCAGAGACCCAGTGGGTCGAAATCGAACGAACCCCAGCGCGTTAATCGAATCAACGTACCCTTCCGGGTATTCAGTGGTGTCAACGGTAAGAATACTGGCATCCTAATTTTTTTTGACTACCTTGTGCTGATTATTTAATTCAGGCCAAGGACGAATCCTTGGTCACAATTTGATGTCCCCATACGTGCTCCTCCGTGACGAGGCCCGGGTACAAAAGATAGGATCCAGTCCATATCCGGCATGGAAACAGCAGAAGAGCATGAGCGGGCCGACATGGACATCGGCCCCAGAATTTCTATCCTACGTGGACGAGATCTTAGAGCAACGGTCACGACAAGACTCATTACAGCCTCCTGACACGCCAGCTGAGAGACGGGAAATGCACAATATATCGACCACGACGCTGTCTTGCAAAGATGCAATCGACCTAGCGATCTTACGGAGCAACCAAGCATCTCAGTCTTCGCACAGTCCCAACCGCTTCGAGATTGCTCGCAACGGTCGTCGGATCGCGGTGGTGATCCTGAATCGCCCAGCGCATCGATTGGGAGAAGCCATCATCGCTACGGTCGAATTTTCAGATGCGGCACTTCCATGCTACGCTCTCTGTGCATCCTTGGAGACGTCAGAGAAGGTGTCCGAGGAATTAGCAGTACGGTCGAATGCGAGTATTCATCGCACCACACGACGTATCCATGCGTCCTTCTTCGAGAACACCCTGTATGCTACGCGAGTAGTTTTTACTCCAGCCGTTCCCATCGCGGCCACTCCAACTATTCTGACGAGCGGAGTGAACCATGTCTGGGAACTACGGTTTGAATTTGTGACGCCCAACATGCACGGTGATACTGATACCGAACAACCCTCTGGTGCCGGTTTACTCGAGGCTATCCACCAAGATGATCGGGGACAGGTCGTGTCAGCTCTGGAGAATCTCGGATGTGAGTCTTTTGAGATTGCCATTCCTCTCACTGTCTATGGCGAGACGGTTCGGGAGAGACTGCCTGAGGAGAACGAGGGATACTCTATATAGCCATTTCTTTTTCATTTATGGTAGCAGTTGGGGGTTTGGTTTATGTTGCGAGGCGTTAAATCTTTTTCTTGTAGGTAAGTTTATGTTGATATCCCGTCTTCTCAGGAAGAAATGTATTATATGATTGCAATCAAAATTCTCATTCTATTCATCTTCTACTATTTTATACTTGTACCTGTAGTTTTACAATGCTCGTTGTCACGGCAACGGCGATCGCGGGCAGTTCATGGCAGATCCATGGTTGGAAAGCCGGCGGGTTTGCGATCGCGGAGAAAGAAAGCGACGCTTGACAGCTGGATCCTCATTTGCCATCATCCTATTACATCCTTTCCCTATCTATCGGTTGGTCTGTTCTGCATATCAACGGTCGCTAGCTTGCCGTTATTTTTTCTGTCTGCGCGGTAAGACATACATAACACGCTCCTGCTTATTGCTCCTTCTCATTCTTGCTACTGCCGCAACTCCCCCCTTCCACAACATTCTCTTATCCTGCCCGTCCCCAACTCAACTGAACTGAACTGACGATTGTTTGAATTCCGGAATGTAGGCACAGAACCCACTGTCGCGCACGATTCAACGAACCAGCTTTGAATAAACCGAGTCCCTACATTCCGTTCCTGAGTCGTCATTGTTTTCGATAACGAATCATCGAGAGCCATCACGAACCAACGTCATTCCAGACCCCTTCACGGCCACGGCCGATTACATACTGCAGAGGAAAAAATACCGGCAGGAAGATAGTGAAGAAAGAAACAAAAGAGAACAGAAGCTATGGCATCACTCATCACCACCATGTCTGTCCCCGTCCCTCCCATTGCCATCTCCCCGCCTTCTTCGTCTGTTGCTTCTGCCTCTATCATCCCACCCCTCACCCTCACCCCATCTATTCGCTCCGAGGCTGGTACTATCCGTACCTCTCATGCCCCCTTTGCAGAACCACCCTCGTATCTCCCCCCGGCACTGCGCGCGCTCAAACAGGATTCGTGTGGACTGACACCTCCCAGCAATGCTCGGACGAGAGCCCCCTTCAAGCCGCGGTCGGCCGCAAAGGGCACCAGCAGTTACCAGTTGAGACAGTTTGCCGAGGCGACGCTTGGGAGTGGGAGTTTGAGGAAGGCTGTTCGGTTGCCCGAGGGGGAGGATTTGAATGAGTGGCTTGCGGTCAATGGTGCGTGGGCAGTTCGAACCTTCTTTTCGGGATCTTGCTAACAGACAGTTGGTATAGTGGTCGACTTTTACAATCAGATTAACCTCCTCTATGGATCGATTACTGAGTTTTGCTCGCCGTCTTCGTGTCCGGAGATGAAGGCTACCGACGAGTAGGTCCCGACAGCTTTGACTACTGTTTGTCGCGAGCTAACGAAAACAGGTTCGAGTACCTCTGGCAAGATTCGGAACATTACAGACGACCAACCAAGATGTCCGCGCCGGCTTACATTGAGCACTTGATGAGTTGGGTGCAGAGCAATATCGACAACGAACAGATGTTTCCCAGCAGGATCGGTACGATACCCGTATACAGGTCTAATGCACGTAATTCGGCTAACGCATCTTCGCGCAGGTGTCCCATTTCCCAGATCATTCTCCAGTTTACTTCGTCAGATCTTCAAGCGCCTGTACCGAGTGTACGCGCACATTTACTGCCACCACTACCCCGTTGTCGTCCACCTGGGTCTTGAACCACATTTGAACACGAGCTTCAAGCATTACGTTCTCTTCATTGACGAGCATCGGTTGGCGAGTGGGAAGGATTTCTGGGGTCCATTGGGTGATTTGGTCGAGAGTATGCTGCGGAGTGATTGACACATATCTTTTCCGTATAATGTATTGGCGTTGAGGTGTTTGGCTTTTTATTACTTCTTTAATATCCTCTGTCACATGTTAGAAATGAGACTTAGCGAATGACATGCCATTGTGCCACAAGTTGTAGCAAAGTGCAAGTTGTAACTAGTGCAAGTGATGCTCTAAACTAACCGAATCGGCGTGTGCGGGAACTCACGTGACCGGATCGGGAGAAGTTGGACGTCGCTTCATCACCGCCGCGCCATTGCATCTCTTCCCCTCCGACCTCGCCTCTTCCCATTCGGTCTTTCTCTTCGCTCCCTCCCCCTCGAGGCTCGTTTCGTTCGGTACAATTCACTCGGCCATCATCATGATCCCCGCTCGATTTGCCCGCGCTGGCCTGCGTGCCACGGCCCAGCAGTTCTCCGTCCCTCGCACTGCCGCCGTCAACGGCCTGAGGTCCTACGCTACCCCGGCCCAGGAAGTCAGGCCCCCCGTGGCCCTCTTCGGTGTTGACGGTACCTATGCCACTGCTTTGGTACGATTCCTTTTATCTCTGCATCCCAGTCCTCGATATACCTGAGCTCTATGACTGCAATTGCAGCTCTCCGTTGATCCGACCTTTAAAAAATCGGAAAATCCAATCGCATCAACAAAAAAACCACCCAAAAACAACCCCAACCGCTAACACAATTGGTAAACAGTACACTGCCTCCGCCAAGTCCTCCGCCCTCGACCAGGTCGCCAAGGCCCTCGCCTCTCTCGGCCAGACCCTCAAGAACGACCGCAAGCTCACCACCATCATCGGCGCCCCGACCCTCACGACCGCCGACAAGCAGGAGGTCGTTAACGAGCTGCAGAAGCTCGCCGGCGGCGCTGACAAGGGCGACATCCTGAAGAACTTCCTCAGCACTCTTGCCGAGAACAACCGGTTGGGTACTCTTGAGGGTGTTTGCGAGAAGTTCGGTACCCTTATGGGTGCGTACCGTGGTGAGCTTGAGTTGAACATTACCAGTGCTCAGGTATGTCTTTTACGTGCAGTTTGTGAGGTTGAGGAGAAGCTAATGAATGTAGGACCTCGACAACAAGACCATCTCTCGTCTGGAGAAGGCCGTCACCAAGTCTGAGTACAGCCAGGGCAAGAAGCTCAAGGTTGTCACCAGCGTATGTCCTTTCAACCCCTGTATATTTGCAAGTCAATCTAACCCCCGCAGGTCAACCCTGACCTCATTGGCGGTATCATCGTCGAGGTTGGCGACCGTACCATCGACCTCAGCGTTTCCGCCAAGGTCTCCAAGCTCAACAAGGCTCTCACGGATGCTGTGTAAATTAGATTTTATGTACCGACTTATTCTTTATCAAATTAAGCCGGCGCCTTGAGCTGTCAGGGTGCTATTGAATGATGGATATAGATTACTTCTAAATGGATTTTCTGTTCGTGTTACCAGGACCCGGGATATATCAGCTCTACATATAATACTCTCAAGAAGCTGAGAAAGCAGTGAATGTACCTCTCGACTGCACCGAGCTTAACAGTATATTCCGATTTCTTTCCCGGACTTTCTTCCTACATCTTACATCTTCCCCGCATCCAGTGTTACATGCCATACAGCAAAGCAAATAACACAGTTCCCCATAAGCCACATTCAGGGAAAGCAGTCTCTAGTGCTGAGACAGAAGACCCCCAGGATATCTCTGCCTGAGAAAGAACTCCTATTTAGTCCATTCCAAATCGGGATGGAACACGATGACTATTACTGTTCCAGATGCTGAATTTACGGCGGCCGTAACTAACTACAGCTCTGTGGTAAGTCGACTTCGTTTTTATTGGGGGTATGATGGTATAGTGATACCTTCCCTGCAGTTTATGATAATTGCTTTCCCAATCGATTCCACATTTTTGAACACTTCTCAGTTCGTCATCTAAACAGGTGGGCGTGGTCAAAAACACCAAATGTGTTTTCCATTTTTCAGCCTCTTAAGAGTTCGGAATGCCTGTTAAATGCCAGAGGTTTCCGGCATCCTGACGCCTTCAAGCTTGCCTTGACCCATGCTGCTTTATCCAAAGTGAGAGCGAAGATCTCAAGCATTTAGCAGATAACGAGTAACAGAATCCTGTTGGAAGTGTTGCTATGACACATTGAGAAGCACCCTGGAGTGAATCTTGGGGCTAGGGACCCTCGTGCCAATTAAATTGCGATTCATGACTCTTATTCTGAAGATTCGGACTGCGGGCACCATGGAGTCCACTCAACATGGACCCATTTGACATTGCGCCGGTGTTCATGGTGCACGACACTTTTCGAAAACTGCTCCTTCGACTGCGAGATCTCGTTTAAATGATTTTTCGATAGTGTCGTGGGAAACCACAGAAAAGCCGTCTGTTACACTGATTCGAGCTTTGGCCTAGAATTGGACGGGCGTATTCGCCATCTCCGGATTTACATTCGATTGGGACGAATCATATCAGAGACCGTTACAGGTCTCCCTTAGAGATTCTGCGGGTTATGAAACATGACACCGATTACATCCGTGCTCCTCAATGGCTCCATGGAACAGTTCCGAAAGATACTAGCTTATGGAAGTTTCTCTGATCAATCCCCTGTGCTAATGCCCCTGCTGGCTAAGTAAATCTGGCTACATTGACGGCAAGTATGAGCACCCCGGCACTTGACAGTTACAAACCATGGATTTTTCAGTGCGGCCGAGATACTACCAGACTTGGGACAAGGTAGCGACATGTTTGATCCGTTACCCAGAATCGGACATACCCTAGCGAAGGCCGCAGGAAACATGCAATCCGGACAGATTCCACCAAGCAACTTGTCGAGTGAGCACTGGGAGCTATATGACAATTGTTGGGATGAGCCGAAGCTTGTTTCGATCCTATACCCCGCCAATATTGAATTTGGTGACCGTCCGCCGACTGAGACATGTGAGGCTCTAAAAGTGAACTGGCAGATGATGATAAGAACACACAGCCCAATTTGGAATACCTACAAGAAACGAAGATTGCTGCGTATGTGACCCTAGCCCCTTCATGCGCATTTGTATGTCATGGTCAGTGGTTGATGGGAGCTTTGCTGATATACAATACCCAATAAGCGAGGAGTCAGCAACTGTCCATGCGGTTTTACTTTAATACACGCTGATGGCCATTTTTAATATGTTGCAGCGATCGAATCTAAGTTCGCGGTGTCTACTACAGGCGACGCATCACTGGGGCATTTCAACTAAATCCTGTGAATGCAAAATCTTTTCGTTCTCACAATACGCGTACACGCCAGTGAATATAGGCAAAGGCTTGATGCCCCCATACTCGCAATCCCCTGACCCGATGGTTGGACATTTCACGGGCTCGTTGGTTTCTGCCCCTTCGTCGACGACCACCGTCCTAAACATTTACATTGTGGTTTAATGGTTCCACATCCGCTACCAGGCCTCCAGGTAGCATATTTCCCTCGAAAATCCCCCAGTCGTGGATGAGTGGAGCAGGTCTGACTGGCGAATGTCCCATATGCATCATGGCGTTGTCCAGGCAAGCAGAATGGATCATACGGCATACTCGATCAGACAGGAGATTGTATTCAGATTCACTCTCATTCAATGTGCCGTCGCGCATACAAGCTCGACTGAGCATCCGAACCCCACCACATCCGTGGCTAATGTGTCTCTGGAATAGCCACTCAGGCTATCCTACTTTCGGTTATGCTCAGGGACTGCTCGTTTTCTTGGCTGGTCTTACAATATATACCCAGGGTCTTGGAATCTCTAAAAAGAACAGAAGCGGAGGGATCTGTTCTTCACACATTGCAAGGGTTCATTATCCCAGTACAGCGGAGTGGAGCTTGTTTGGGAAGTGAAGTCAAGTGTCACTGGTACCTTGACCTTTCCGAAGACCTACCGTTCAACATAATGCCCCCACTTCGCCTCGATTATTTGCCCCTTATAGGGTCAACCATGGGTCTTGGTCCAGAGATAACCTGTCCTCAACAAATGAAAGATATTCAAACCTGCATTGCCGAGAAGCCTCGATTCCCAGGTGTTTTACCGGAGTACTACCAATATACACCAACAAGGTGGTTCTTAAATTACTAACAATATTGCCTCGAAAAGACCTACGCGTTGGAGAAGGGGGGCCTATGCTACAAAGCAGTTCTTACTGCAGATAAACGGCTCGCTGCAATATTCCGAAAACCTAAGGTGGCCAATTCCTTTGTGTTAATGTATCATCATGGTGAGGTATCAGAACGCCGCACGCGGCTACAAGAAAGCAGGTGTTGCATCTCAGGGGAATGATTCGGTTGAAATCGACCTTTTTCGGCGTCTGTCAATTCCCTGCTGCAAACATCCCAAGATCGTTATCAATGGCGAAGATGATCCTTTTTATGATTGAAATACGTATACCAAGTATTTGCCGCGTCGAATCACCTTGCGGTCCTGGAATAACGTATGGCGACCCAGGAAGTTCTTGATGTTCACGAATCTGGGAAATAGGGCGCAGCAATGGATACGAAGGCCTGAATCAGGGCCTTGCTAGACGAAAAAAGCAAGATATAATTCAGAGAAAACGACTCCCGCGAACATTCATAACATTCGGTGCTTGCTCGAGTCTTTTACAGCATCACCTCTTACGGTACATAATACGGCAACGAGCATATGGCAGGATAATCCAAAGCCCTGGCCACTGGTCGCCGCCACAGTGGTAACGTCGATATATTCTTCGACCCATATTGTATAGTCGCAACATATGACATCTTCTGCCAAGAAGATACAGCATTAGGGAAAGCGTCAGCAACCGTCCATGCTGCTCTGCTTCAGAACGTTTTAGTACAGTATGATATTCTGAATGAACGCACCCTATGAAGTGGTGAAAAAAGCACCAGGATCCGGAACCTGTATGCTATGGGGGCAATCGGGCATATTACAGGGGCAATTGTAACAATCCACCAAGCACAATGCGTACCATAACGAGTCCGCCAAAAACCCCTCCAATATGGCTGCGTTGGACTCAGAGGATGCCCAGACTTACTCGCCAATGCGCCATCACGAATCTATCACGCATATGATGGGAATAAATCATAGCTTGAGAAGCTCGGCTTTAAGAGTGAAGAGATGCTCGAGATGGTATGTCTTGTCATACGCAACTCTGCTACGACAACCGTGTCTAGTGCATCCTTAGGTGTGGTTTTACGTCCAAACCTACCAAAGGAACCAACGGGTATGCCAAAATTACCGTCAAAGCCGCACACATAGTCTCCGAATACCTTGGGGTTGTGTCTTCATGGTTGGAGAAGCCGCAATAGCGAGATCTTCGAGTCGTGATGATCTAAAGACATCAACTACGGAGTACCTACGCTAGCGATTACCAAAGGGATTCCTTTGTACAAAGCAGTCGAATAGGGGCGCTTCTGATAAAACTCGAGACTCGAGTCCTGTCTACTTCGAGCTCCTGTCTCGTGAAATTGCAAGTCGCGACTCGCGAGAAAGATATGGAAGAAACCTGCCTTCGTCTGCGGTGCATGCGCAATAATATTAATGGATATTTCCATTGAATACTCTATTGATGGCAAGATATATCGGCCAAAATAACCTCGACACGCTACCGGCACGTCAGGGCTCTCACTTTCGGTTATGGCCAGGGATTGCCTGTCTGTTGCCTGGGCCAAGGATAACATGCCAGTAGCAAGCCTGAACGGCAGGAATCAAAACATCCCACGCAGTCGTTATCAGACCCTACGATCTCTTAATGATCTTAAATTGATTGACGAACGCTCCAACGAACATTACTAGCCGTGCTCGGTAGAGTGTTCGTGAGCAAACACGTTCTTAGACCCATTGGAGAAGTTAACGGGGCTCCTCTATATTTTTAATTTATCGTCTTATGCCCGCTGGCCTAGTCGTCCAGTGGTGAGCATTGCTAATTCATCTGCGATGCTGGAGAGATATCGTCCAGAAGAGAATTGCTTACATCCATGGCGGATGGGAGCTTATTGCAACTTTCTGGATCCCGCAGTGTTTACTCCTGTTGTCAGATTTGGAAGTGAAATGTCACCGCATCCTCGAGTTGGCGTCTTTCGCTCCAGGAACCGATGGAGCAAGCCCATTCAACTCCACGCAGTCGACGGTCTATTCGTCTCATCCCTCATATAGTCTGAAATATTTCGCAAGCTGTTTGCAGACGAGCAGTAAAAAGCAATTTGCAGAGGCTGAGATTCAGGCATAAGATGTTCAAGTAATTCGAATATTGTATCTTCAATACTCAAGGGCATGCATTCAATCTAATAATGAACCCTATTAAATCCAATCAAGTATTGCAAACGATGACGCTGATAATGCTATGACAAATTATTTATTACACTCCACAACCAAGGATGGGTTTCGGTCCAGTAGAATCGCCGCGCGATGACTTCAAACACACAATTGCCTCGCAGTCACCGAAAAACCCGCAGCGGTGGTTGAGCATAGATCACAATGGTAAAACAAAAAAAAAAAAAAAAAAAAAAAAAAAGAAAGAAAAATAAAAGAAAAGAAAAGAAAGGAAGGAAGAAAAGGACCCGAGACCATCTGGAGCACGATCGACGCGACACAGCATGACAATAACGGGGAAGAAAAAGTAAAAAAGCAGAAAAAAAGTAATCAAACCAACAAAACCGATTGCTCCAAACCATATCCGCGTCCGCCCTGGTATGTGATAATAAAGGTAATAAAAACATATGTTGATAACGGCGGTGATGTTTTATCTCGTCATGGTGATGGTTGGCAGTCTTGATAAGTGGTGGTAAAAAAGAAGATAAAAAGACGTCTCATCCTGTCGAAATCCCCATTCCCAAGCGTAACCGTTTTTCTATATGCATACACGGGCTGCCAACCAACCAGCCAGACTCGTAATCATGAAGAATTAGTAGTAGTACCCTGGGGGCCTCGTTGCTCGTCTCTGCCGAATAATCGGCGAGAGGCTGAAAAGGGGTTTCCTAGATAGTGTTAAAAGCCTGTTTCCTCCCATTCTGGGATGTGTAAACGGAATGGATCTCACCTGCGGAACGAGATTCACCATCACGCTGTCCGGTGTTCTTCGAGCTGCCTTCCACAGCACCGGATTCGCGAGCTTTTAATCGCTCTTCGGCTTCCCGGATTCTCTGCTGCAATTCCTCCAATTCGCGGTTCTGGATCATCATCTGCTGTCTCCTAGACGGGGGAGGGAAAGCACCATGTTAGCCAGCCATCCATCGTTTATACGAAAAACCACTTTGCGAACGACTTACTTTTGGTCGATGGTCTGCGAAAGGTGAGAGACATCGGAATCCAGCGAGAAGGCACTGTCGAGGGATGCTGAGAAGGCCTGGGCCATGGTCCTACCATGCCTTTGGTTAGTTGCGCTTGTTCCTGAACGATCGGGGAGATGGGGAAGGGAAGACGAACGATGTAGGACGGCCGCTGGGCTTCCACTCTTGATCTGCTTCCGACATTTTGCTGGATTTCTGTGTGGTTTTGGTTTGTGGTTTGTGCTTTGTTCGCGGGAAGAAGTAGTTGAAGCGTGGTTGATCGAGGACGAGGAAATTGGAGAAGAGTTGACGGAGAAGTCGTTGTTGCGCCTGCTGAGGGGTAAACAAAAAGGGGAGGCGGCCAGGGAGGTCAACGGAGTGAATCACAATATGCGAGATTGTTAGTTAATTGTCGAACTGATGATTGTCCGAGAGGAAGTTGAATAGAATAAAGCAAGGAAAGAATTCGAGAAGAGGAATAAAAAAGAGGAAAATTGAGGAAAGAAAGACCGAAGTTGGCGTTGTTGGATGGACAGACGGAGAGACGATAGCTCCGATCGGAGACAGAAAGGAGCACCAGCAGCAGCAAAGAACAGAGACAGAGCAGGAGCCAGGGGTTTGTTTGATATCGGCCTTTGTCTGAGAAAAGAAAGTGAAGAAAGACCCGAAATGAGCGAAATAATGAGAGGCAAAATGTCAACAGCTGTACAAAATAGTCCAGTATAGGAGTTGGGTTCATTAGCCCAATCTATAGTCCCCTCTATCTTTGATTATTTTAATATGGTTCTTATTATTATTAGCAGATCCCCGCTGCAAGGAGATTATTCTTTTGATTCATTGTATACAGAGTCCAGTAGTCTGGAGGGCGTCTACAGAGTATTCTATAGTACTATAGTATACCCCCGAAGTATACACCTGGTGTTATATCGACCGTTATATCGTTTCAAGTGTAGTATCAGACCCGATTCGCCAGATCCCGAGGCAATAATTCGTTTATCCAAAACAAGACAGCGAAAGAAAGCAAAAATGAGGGTGGAAAGGGGGAGCGAATGCGATTCTACCCCTGACGCCGTGGGGTTCAGGGACCGACATGATCGAGCATCCAAGTACATACAAGTACAAGTATGTATACACAGAGTACAATCGCCGTGTCGTGAATGAACTGACCAGTGCATCGCCGGAGAATATCCCATCTAGCATCGCATTGCATTGCCGTAAAGCCCACGACAGACTGGCATATGCTGTGTCCGATGTACTCCGGAGTAGAGGGACTGGTACATGGTGGTACCTGACCCCAGTGTGATTGCAATGCTCTCCCGGTGGGCCCTTCCACACTGGGACAATAGTTCATAGTTTGGGAGGTTCCAATACAGTAGTGCCCTCACATTCATGTGCATTTACCGATTCCTCTCTAATACTCATACTCTGTACTCATACTCATACTCCTTCCAATCCTTCATATGTATCTCTAGTGAATGCCCCAGCAACCATGATCTACAGTCACGTGGCACGCGTCATCTGCTGTGCAACATCCTGTAACTTACAGCGTATGTATTACCGTTACCAGAAACGCCATCACGTGACGTTCTCATTTTCTGCGGATTCTTTCGGGGAGAGACCAGCAAGGCGAATGAGAGATCCCCATCGCTGCTTCCCCCATTAATCGCGTTGTTGCCATCACTTGCGTCCTGCCAGCGCTTTCTTTTCTCGATTTCTCCTTCTCTCCCTCAATACCGTTTTATTTGACCCTTTTCAACGCGTCTTTTTGGCCATTTCTCCGTCTTTCCAGACCTGCTTCTGCGTAGTTGGTCTCTCTGGTTATGTCAACCACTTTGCGCCTTTAGAGGATCTCCAACTTTTTTTTTTTTGGCCTTAATTTCCATCGCCCATTAATTTGTCTTTTTTTTGCATCTCCATATTTTGAAACATCCAAATTTCCCTTTTTGATATAACCAAATTCTCACCGTGGCCCCCATCCCCAAGCTCTCCTCCCCCAGTGGCCGACCGGGCGGGCAATGGGGGATGCCTCCTCTGTCGGCGTATACGCCCTTTGAATCGCTCCTCTTCTTCCAGTCCCTCGCTTCCACCGATTCGCGTCCTTCCAATTTCGTCTCCATCTCCGACCTTCTCCGCAATAACTCTTTCGTTCGCCAGAATGTCGCTTACGATGCCGACCGTTTATCTCCGGAGGCTCTCGAGGACCTCTATACGACCTTGATGCGGGATGGCCTGGAGACCGCTGCGACCGGGCCAAATGGTCACGCTACCGACTCCTCCACCAACCCCAAAAAGCGCAAGATCTCCAGTCCTCGACCCGACGGTTTGGTAGATGGCGTCGCACGCCATTCCCGCATAGTCCCCGAACTAGTCGCACACCTCTACGCCATGTACAAGGAGCTCGTTACAAGGGAGATCAGGCAGGAGGAGAAGCGCTATCGAGAGATCAGAGATGATATTGAGCGGATACACAGGGAGGAACAGCAGCCTCCACCGGTCCCTGTTCAGCCGCCTCAGGCCGAAGTGCCCGCAGTTGGTCCGGAGCCGATGGATGTGGATGTCAAAGAGGAGGAGAAACAAGTCCAACGACCGGTCGTGGAAGTTCCAGGGCCAATTCCGACTACTCGTATCGAACAACAGCAACCACCTCAATTACCACCACAGCCCAGGCAACCGAACATCCCCCAACGACCTCCATCGGCCCAGGAACCGTCTACCGCGCAGCGACCATCTGTACAACAGCCCCAACAAGGCCAACCTTTATCGGATCGGGCACCACAGTTGCAGCAACCACCGCGGCCACCGCAGCCTGTTCCGCATACGCAGACGGGTCATCCACCTCCACCGCATATCAACGGGAAACCACCTGTGCCACCTCAACCGCCAGCTGTTGCACCTCGCAATCCTTCGAATCAATTACCTCCCACACCACATATCCCCCCAGGGGCCAACACCAGTCCATCCCTGCCTGCGGCACCAGCCGTGCAGGGTCCCAATGGCTCAAATGTGCCAGGCGCCACTTTCGCAACCCCCTCTGTTCCTACCCCAACTCCGCAAAGAACCGCTCAACAGGGTACCCCTACTGCTACACACGCCAGAGCTCCTCCCCAACTCCCCCCTCAACCCGCATCTGGCTTCCAACAATGGCCGTTGAATGCGCCTACTCCTCATACACCGCAAGCTCCCTTTCCTCCCCATGGAACTCCTCAATTTTCGAACACGAATGCCGCTAGAAGACCAGTTCCAACACCCCTCCAGCAAATACCACAGACCGAACCTGGGAAACCATATCCACGAATCTTTTCACCAGCATTACCGACAACTCCCGGACCTCGTACCCAAGTTCAGACACCTCTTACTGGCCCCCTTGGTGGTTTCGAGACACCCCGCGCTGCCTCGTTTTCAGACTCGCGCAGTTTCCACCAACACCGGCTATCAATCGATACATCTGGCTCCGCCACGCCCTGGAAGAGACCTCCTCGTTTGAGCATCCCACAGTCTCCTGGGTCGCCTGACCGGCCGCGACCAGAGGATGTGAGTCCAATCAGTGAAAGGGCCCCGTCACCCGAGTTTTCGGAACCAGCACACCGCCGGAGAACGCGGCCTGCAGAAGACAAGAAGGCAACCAAGACAGAAAGGTTCACACTGTCTGGCCGAAAGAGGCGTGATGAGAGCACACCGTCGTCAAGGAGTCGGGGGCGTTCAAGATCTGTATCACAGGTCAAGGTCAAGCATGAGATGCCCAGCACCCCAGCAGGTGTGCCAGATGCTGTTGAGGCTGAGCCGCGTGGTACTGCTGGACGGAAGTCTCAAGATGAGCGTGCAGGAAAAGGTCGCCCGAAACGCAAGCGCGATACAAGTGAGCCAGGAGAGCCGGAGAGTTTCCATGCCGAAATTAGTCGCCTGGACTCGTCACAGGCTGGCCAGTACGTCTTGAGCGCACGCAACTTTCCACGAACCGGAGCGCCCATCATGAACGATGTTACGATGCACAAGCACGCCTCAATCTTCACCAAGCCGTTGACGGAACGAGATGCGCCAGGCTATCGAGATCTCATATACCGGCCGCAGGACCTAAAATCAATCAAGTCCTTGATCCACCAGGGAAGCAAGGCCGTAACCGCTGCCACAGAAGCTGCCAGTACGCCCGCCGCGGATGGAGAATCGCCAGCCCCGTCGGGGACGCCTTCGAAGAATGCAGTGCTCATGTTGCCCAAGACAGAAGATGTCATCCCTCCAAAGGCGGTGGTCAATTCGGCCCAGCTTGAAAAGGAGTTAATCCGCATGTTCGCGAACGCCATCATGTTCAACCCGGTCCCTGAACGCGGGTTTGGTCCGGGTTTTCCCATGATTAGCGAAAGTGGATCTAGAGAAAGCACCCAGGTTCCCGAAGCAGATGAAGGAGGCATTATTAAAGATACCGTGGAGATGTTTGAAGATGTTGAGCAGGCCGTCACCCGATGGCGGGCAGCAGAACGGACCGCGGATGAACTGGCCAGCAAGAGCATCCTTTCGCTTCGCAGAGCGAGTGATTCCAACAATGCGGATGGTGTGGATGATGCGAAGGAACCATAACCATGTTGGGCTTCTTGTGACGAGTTAAGATCTTATGTAGTAATATTGTCTATTCACTGTTGTACTATGCAGACAAACATTGAAGACCAACCAACTCCTGTTCCCATTATGTCTTAAAAACATAACGACATGACACATATTTTTATTCGTAATACATCAGTCCCATCAAGCAGCCCGAACCGCCTGCTCCGGCCTCGTCCTCCCCAACCCATCCTTCGCATAAAAGTCCATCGGATAGATCCCATTATTCGCCTTATCCCAACTCTCCCTCACCTCCAACGCAACCAACGCCTCATACGGCGTAAGCAACGGTTTCGGAAACGCATACCCCCAATCAATACTCAACCGCGGACAAGCAATCTGCACCCAACACTCGACATCCGGCATCGACGCGAGTTTCCCGGGGAAAATCTCACTGAGCAACAAGTTGACGAAGGGGATTCCGCGCTCGTTGAGATGGTTTTCGATCATGGCCATAGTATTAGGGTTTCCCTGTCGTCCTAAGGCACCGAGGATGATGCCCCATTTCTTTGCGGATTTGGCGGATCCAATAGCGTCCCGCCGCAATGTATGCATTTCATCATGGTAGTACGTCTCTCGCGAAAGAGTCCGCGAATACGGATCATACCGATACGCTGGAATAGCCGGATTATGAATCATCGCAGACTCAAGATGGAACCTTCCATCGCCCAAATACAGCAGTAGATCAATCTCATCCTTCGACAGCGTCGGACTCGTACACCCTAGAATCTCACCCTTCGAGAGCGGCGTGATCTGCGGGATAATGACCTTGTAGCCCGCGCGCTCGAGGACGGGTTTTAGGCCGTGCAGGGTTGCGTTGAATTGGATGGTTCCTACTGTTGCGATTGTCTTGGGGGCTTGGAAGTTGCGTTCTAGGGTTGCGAGGAGGTGCGATGTGTCGATGGAGATGTCAACGAAGATGTATAGCGTTTTGATCTTGGTAACGTCCACGGGGATCAAGCAGGAGTGTGCGTAGTGCACCAGTAAATCGCAACCCAGGGCCCGCGCGGTGTAGTCGTCGATACAGCATGCGCCGTAGGTCACGTCGCCCATGATCAATGTTTCCGTACCGGGACAGAACTGTGTGAGGATGTCGGAGATGGTTGTGGCGAAGATGAGGAGGCCTTCTGGGAACTGGAGGGCGATGCGCTTTGCGCCGAGGGTGCGAATGCGGTGGATTGTTTTGTGGATTTCGAAGGAGTAGTTTTTTGGGAGGAGGGTGATTGCGGCGTTGATGTCGGGGTCGTTGAGGATTTCGGGGGGGACTTGGTTTAGGGTTCTTGGTGTTCGGCGGGGTGTCGCTAGCATGGCACTGTTAGACAGGAATGCTGGTATAGTTATGGGGTGTGGTGATGCTCACCCTTTTGAACGGTGGTGGTTTCGACATCGGCTTGGGATCCATTCTGTTGCGCCTGCGCTTCTGCGGTTCGTCTTCCGACGAAGCGCTTCTTGGGTTGGCGCAGGTTGGGGTTGTTTGTCTCTGGGGCTGGTGAATCGCTCATTTTGAATTTCTGTATTGTATGAACGACTTCAGTTGCTATCTATCGCTCTCTGTGCTTCGATAAAAATTTAGGTGGGATGATAAGAATTTTGACCCGCTGACTCAGCAGTCATGTGCCTTTATCGCTCCCCCGCATTTTCTCGGCTTGACATCAGAGTAGATCAACCTATAGAGGCGGGTGCTGTCTCAGACAGTCTTTATTTTCCTCTTCGTGTGCTCTTACTCCTTTATTTCTAAACAAGATGCTACTCCGTCCCCGATTGAGACCATTCACCCCCCTCCGAGCTCTTCCTCAAGCTCCAGCTTCACGCCGCTATGCGACAGAGCCGCGGTTAACCTCGGACCATGTTCGCATCGTTGAAGTAGGCCCGCGAGATGGATTGCAGAACGAAAAGAAGACGATACCCATGGAGACCAAGTTGGAGCTTATTAGGAAGCTGGCGAGAACGGGTGTGACTACCATTGAGGCTGGTTCTTTTGTGCCTGCGAAGTGGGTGCCACAGGTACGATGTACTGAGGAAGCCATTCATCATGGACAGGGGAAGGGGTGAGGAGAGGGGTTTATGATGGCGTATAACTGATAACTATGTGTGTAGATGGCTAGCACGGCAGAGATCTGTGAACAACTCCTTCAATCGCCGCCAGAGTCGCAAACCGCGATTGCATACAACTACCTAGTCCCCAACGTCAAGGGGCTTGAGAACCTCATCAAAGTCATGGAAGCAAATACATCAGGCATACCATCCAAATCTACTACCTCCACAGAAGTCTCCATCTTCACGGCAGCCACGGAAGCATTTTCCAAAACAAATACGAATTGCACGATCGACGAGTCATTAGAGCGCTTCCGACCTGTCGTTTCGCTTGCAAAGAACAAGAACATCAGAGTCCGTGGATACGTCTCTGTCGCACTGGGCTGTCCATATGAAGGACCCGATGTGTCGCCAACCAAGGTGGCCGATGTCACTGCTTCGCTTCTTGAGATGGGAGCCGACGAGGTGTCTGTTGCTGATACCACGGGGATGGGGACCGCCCCTCGTACGGCTGAGCTCCTGCGCACTCTGAAAGCAGCTGGAATTGCGAATAACGACCTTGCGCTTCACTTCCATGATACGTATGGTCAGGCATTGGTGAACACGATTGTTGGGTTGGAGAATGGGATTCGGATCTTCGATAGCAGTGTCGGTGGTCTTGGAGGTTGTCCCTATTCTAAGGGTGCGACTGGCAATGTTTCGACGGAGGATCTTATTCATACCCTTCATGGTCTCGGTATGCATACCGGTATCAACCTGGAAGAAATGTCAAAAATTGGATCGTGGATTAGCGAAGAGTTGGGGCGGTTCAATGAGAGCCGGGCTGGTAAGGCGACGTTTGCACGGCTTTAAGAGTGAGATTACACATACAATATTGAGGAACGTTGATCTTTGAGTTCGTCATTTCTATCCATGATCTCGAATGGTGTCCAACGAATGTTTTCTGTTGATGGTTGGCACCTTATCCTTACCAAGCGTGTATGTACGATTAATCATATTCTATGTTATTGTTCATTCTTATCGTCACAATACACTGCTAATCCTCTATCATCATACAACGTCTCATTTTGCGTATATACATCAAGAAGACCTCCCTGCATTTACCACAGCTCAGGTGACAATACCAAGCACCCTAAGCTGCGCTCTAATAAATCATGCGATTATAACCAACGCCATGTTATGCCAAACAATATCGCAACAGGCTCCGTTGAGCATCAGCTCAGCCCGGAGAGCTAGCAGTGGATGCTAACTCAAAAGTCCGTAACCCGTCCCCCATAACTCCAATCCCCACCAGAACCCCATCTCAACGGCTCATTCTTCGGGCCTCCAACCTCACCCGTCTTCGGGTTCTTCTCGCCCTCGAATTCCGGCTTCACGCCAACGGGCGCATCAGGGTGAGACTGGGACTGGGCCTCAGAAGCAGGCGATTGGTTGACTTGCGGGGTGCTAAATGCGCCAGTGGACTTTCGCTGAAGGTCTTCGAAGATTTCTTGCTCTTCCTTGGGAAGTTTGGGAGGTGCAGGGCCGCTCTTGAATGCGAATGGCTCGTCGGCGGAGAGGACCGGGGAGGTAGATAGCGGGCGAGTAAGGAAGGATCGCGATGCGATGAAGGGGTTGAAAGCGCGGCGGGATGTGAAGAATAGCGCCATGGTCGCGGCTCTTTTAACCAGGAAATTAGGTATGTATGAAGTTGAAACTGAGTGGTGGTGGAAGTGGCGGGAGATGGGGAGGGAAAGATGACTCGGTTATCCCGATAAGGATAAGCGGTCGATGCCCCGATATCGCGGGCTTTTTCTCAACCCGTCATTTTTGATTGTATCCCACGCGGGCTTTCTTGGTATTTTTTGGGGGGATCTGTTTCTTTTTAAAGAGCTTTTTTTTTTTTTTTTTGTTTTCTTGATTTGCTCTCTCTTTTCAATCTCTTCTCTTTTATTTGTCCGTCTATTGTTGTCCGGTTACAATGGCTGCTATGCGTTTGGCTTCGCGACGGGTTCCTCTCGCTAGGAAGCTCGTTCCTGCGATTGAGTCACCTCTTCAGCGCCGTTTTGCTTCGACACAGGCCAAGGTGAGCGCCTTCCAAGGAAATTTGTATATTATGAACAATACTAACGGTGATGAATCTACAGGATGCATTGCCCAACGCCGACCCCTCAGCCAATTCGGCGACAGCGGCTTTGGTTAACCAACGCGCTCCCTTCATGGTGCCTACCTACGTCCGTCCGCTTCCCGTGATGATGAAGGGACAGGGATGCTATCTGTGGGATATGGAGAACAGACGGTATCTGGATCTGACGGCCGGTATTGCCGTCAACTCGCTTGGTCACTGCGACCCGGAGATTTCGCAGGTTATCGCTGAGCAGGTGCGTCTACGTTCTATACTGTCGTAAACCATTGTTTCTCGTTACTTATGGAAGAATGACCTAGGCCGAAACCCTTATCCATGCGTCGAACTTGTACCACAACTACTGGACCGGTGCCCTCAGCGAGCTCCTGATCCAAACTACTGTCGACTCGGGTGCTATGCGTGACGCATCGCAGGTGTTCATCTCCAACTCGGGAACCGAAGCCAACGAGGCTGCAATCAAATTCGCCCGCAAGGTCGGCCGTTCTCTTGAGCCCTCGGGTGAGAAGCACGAACTCGTTTCTTTCCACAACTCGTTCCATGGCCGTACCATGGGCGCTCTGTCCGCAACCCCCAACCCCAAGTACCAAACTCCCTTCGCTCCTATGATCCCGGGCTTCAAGTACGGCAACTACAATGATGTCGCGCAGATCCAGACTCTTGTTACGGAGAAGACCTGTGGTGTGATTGTGGAGCCTATCCAGGGTGAGGGTGGTATCAACATGGCTACCCCCGAGTTCCTGGTTGCTTTGCGCAAGCGCTGTGATGAGGTTGGTGCTGTCTTGATTTTCGATGAAATTCAGTGCGGTCTTTCTCGAACTGGCACTCTCTGGGCTCACGCCCACCCTTCTTTGGCGCTTGCCTCTGGCCAGGCAGCGCACCCCGACATCCTCACCTCCGCCAAGGCTCTTGGTAACGGTGTCCCCATTGGCGCAACCATCATCTCGGGTAAGTCGGTTGGCGAGCACATCAAGGCCGGTGACCACGGCACCACTTTCGGTGGTAACCCGCTGGCCTGCCGTGTCGCACACCACATCGTCCAGCGCCTCGCATCCTCGGAGACGCAGAACGCTGTCGAGGTGAGCTCCGCCAAGTTTGTCCTGGGTTTCCAGGAGCTGCAGAACAAGTTTCCCGAGGTCATTTCGGAGATCCGTGGTCGGGGTCTCATCTTGGGTCTCCAGCTCAACAAGGAGTACAGCGCCAAGGCAGGTGAGATCATTGGTGCTGCTCGTGAGAGAGGGCTTCTTGTCATTACTGCTGGTGACGGCTGCTTGCGATTTGTTCCTCCCCTGAACATCGGGGAGGAGCAGATTAAGCAAGGATTGAAGATCCTGGGAGAGACTTTTGAGGCGGTTCTTAAATCGTAATTGCATGTATAATGAAATATTATGCATTATTCTGGATTTATGTAGATCAAAAGCATGTGATTTATTCTTCAGGCATCCAGGCATCAGCTGTCAGCTGTCAGCAGTGGTCACGAGCCCAACTGCCGCTTATCGACAACCGCATTCATTCGTCCTCTTCCTCTCCAATTGTTCGAGATGCTCAGCAGTGATAAGACGATGTGTCGCTGTGGATCGTGACGCATTGTTCCTTCTTTTCTTAGACCAGTGATCCTATATAAACAAGCGCCTTTCTCCCAGTTGTAGCTTTGCGTACTTCTCTCACTTACGACTACATCATCCATCTCCGCATTGGCATGCCTCCAACATCCGACACAGAGGAAGCATCCATGTTACCTCTCCCCGGCGCTCCATCTAGTTCATGGGCTCGATTCCGTGAGCGCTTCAAAGCCATCTTCAGTGGCGCAGACCCACGCGTTTGCATCGCTTTCTGGCTGTTTGGTAAGAACTGACCGCTCATTCAGCGCAAGACATCTCAATTCAGATCACAGCGTCTAACCGATATATTGCCTTTGGTTTGCCTGCACAGGTCTAATAAACAATGTCCTCTATGTGATCATCCTATCCGCCGCACTGGATCTAGTCGGCCCCGGCGTCCCCAAAGGCGTCGTCCTACTCGCAGATGTCATCCCCTCGTTCGGAACGAAGCTTATCGCCCCATACTTCATTCACGTGGTTCCATATTCGACGCGGATCGTGATATTTGTCGGTCTCTCTGCAGTAGGCATGCTGCTTGTCGCGCTGACGCCGGACTATACCGAGGGCGGATCGATCTCGACCAAGCTAGCGGGTATCGTTTTGGCTAGTTTGTCTAGCGGAGGTGGGGAATTGAGTTTTCTCGGCTTGACGCATTTCTATGGACACTTTAGTTTGGCTTCTTGGGGTAGTGGGACTGGTGCTGCTGGGTTGGTGGGTGCTGGTGCTTATGCGCTTGCGACGACGTCGTTGGGGTTGAGTGTTAAGTCTACGCTGCTAGCGTCGGCTTGTTTGCCGGCTGTTATGTTGATGAGCTTTTTTATGATTTTGCCGCGGGGTCCGTTGCAGATGGTGCCATTGCGAACTGGCTATGCCTCGGTCAACGGAGGGGATGAGATCGATGAGGAGCGCATTGGAGATGATGATCGGAATGCTATCCTGAACGAGCGTGAAGGACTACTTGGTTCGTCGATATATTCAGCAGATAGTGGAAAATTGGGATGGCAGAGCATCAAGGCCAACCTGCAACGTGTAAAGGGACTCTTCTTTCCATTGTGAGTACTGTTCTCTTGGCCTTTGTTCCCCTGGTTTTCAATATTGACAATTTCTAGTATGCTTCCGCTTCTACTGGTCTACGTTGCCGAATATACTATCAACCAAGGTGTCTCGCCAACACTGCTGTTTCCGCTCAAAGAGTCTCCATTTTCACGCTTCCGTGCCTTCTATCCGGCCTACAACGCTATCTACCAGGTTGGCGTTTTCATTTCCCGCTCATCAACACCGTTTTTTCGGATTCATAATCTCTACTTCCCGTCTATCCTCCAAGTCGTCAACTTGGTACTCTTGACTCTGCACGCACTGTTCGACTTCATTCCCAGCGTGTACCTTGTCTTCATGATCATCTTCTGGGAGGGCCTTCTTGGTGGTCTGGTATATGTCAATACTTTTGCTGAAATTGGTGACCGGGTTCCACCGGAGGATCGCGAGTTTTCCCTTGGAGCAACTACTGTCAGTGACTCAGGAGGTATTTGCATTGCCGGATTCATTGGTATGGTGTTCGAGGTGTGGCTTTGTGATTGGCAGGTCGCGCATGGAAGGGATTACTGTCAAAGGACGTAGTAGTTTAGTTTTGGTAGGAATTGAGAACGGAGTATATAGTAGGTTTCTTATTGTTATCCTGACTTTCATTGCCTATTGTAATTGGCAGGGATCGACTTCCTAATTAAGCTTAGGGCTGCCGGTGTCTGTCTCGGCCTTCAGCTTCCCAAACAATCGATTTCACTTCTCCCGCCACTTTTTTTCATACGTCTTGCCCACCACATGTCACTTGCCTGACAGCAGCAGCAGTTTATGCATGCTCCCGTCGCACCCACAGACAATCGTCTACACATGGAGACCTCAATATCCTCGGTCTTTCCGGCGGTGTGAACCACGTTTCGAGCGAATCGCCTACAGCACCTCGAAAACTCGTGAATCATGTCAACACCTGAAATCATTAGTAGCAAGCAGTAGTGCCTCGGTTTTAAACTATGTTTGCTTTCACCTCTTAATGCCGTTGGCCTCCTATTCATCCGCCAGGTGGTGTTTCAGCTGCACCCCGGACGTTTGTTTCCTGCATTGGTTTATGTTTCTATGGGAAATGAATTCGGTTCCGAGAAATGGATATTTGAGTCTTGGTTGGCGGGAAATGCTGGGTGGCCGTTAGGATGTCTCGGAAATAGAGCTGTCAGTTTGGAATTCTGGGGGTTCTCCTTAAGGATATATAATAACCCAGACTAGTGCCTGTTGGGTTGCTGCCGTTTTGCGGATAAAGAATCCTCATGAAGGAAATTTCGAAGATGCTCGGTTTCTCCAACATACATTGCTATTTTCTTGATATACTGACGAACAAATGATAGATCACGTTTTTGGAAGGCGGTCGACTAAGCTCCGCAGGGCTCAGGTCTTGGTGGTCTTGGTGGTCATTTCGTTTGGATTTCTTTATCTCCTCAAGTATGTCATCCTTTATTGGAAACGAGATCCAGTACTAACAGTGTCAAGGGGAAACGAACATGGACCTTCCTTCATCAGCAAGTTTTCATCCTATCCTACGGGGACGGTGACCGTCTGGAAGGTGGCTGTTGCACTGCTTCTCTGGCTATACTTCTGCCGGAACTTCGCAACAATCACTGACCTCGAATGACCCGAGCCCCTCGTCAACGTCTATACACCTGGGTTCTTCCAAGCCACGCAGATCACCACGGCTCTAGACGCAGGATTCTGGACTGCCATAAGCATCAAGCCCAAATGGCTGTGATATTGCGTCCCTGGTCTTCAGCATGTACTATCTCTTTGCGCTTGAGCAGGCTGAAGCGAAAGTGCGCCGGGTGCGATCAGTTCTGACTGGCGCATTTGCGCGTTTCGTGGAACAAGGAAACGACTCCATACCTGTCGATAATGGCAAGAATTCGACGACCACGGTTCACTGATTACCCTCCTCGTTCCATTCAGATCGCTCATCCGCAGCTGTCACCGTACAAGGAGCCCGTGAATGCATGGCTGTACTTTGACGGACCTCTGAGTGCACTTGAGGAACAAACCTGTGTGGTATTGGGTTTCCCGGGTGGTGGTTTTGTCGCGTTGAGCCCGCGAGATCACGATGATCGACTACTTGCCCGGGCTGGGAAGCTCAAGGTACCCATAGTGAGTCTTGATGACAAGAAGGCACCGGAGTACCCATATACGCATGCCCTGCACGAAGGCTACGATGTCTTCCAGCATATCATCGCCACCAACGGACGCTGTCTTGAGCTTAGCGGTCGAATATGTCACGGAGCATGGACGCTAGCGAGCTGCACAGCATGTTTGATTATTTTGGCCTGTTTGGTGTAGAACATTCACTGAGCATCGCTTAAACCCCTCGCGCACACTAAATAGCTCGTCGCCGGCAGGCCTGCCTCTTTCCTTTCTTTCCTCATGTTAGAATTTCGTCAGATAGTCTACAAATAGATTCATATTGCTCGAGACCGTCACAGAATATGTCCACGGATTGTTCTCACTGAGGACAGTGCTGGTGATAATCTTGCCGTGGGAACAACGCTGATGGCTCTTGCCAGCGGCCTTCCCCGTCCGGATGGCTTGTTCCTGGCATATCCGTGTCTAAACATGAAGGGTGAAAATTGGTTGAGTTAGGAGCAGATGTCATTGATTCACGGCAAATGTGTACAGAGAGCCAACCCGAACGTCTTATGGAGGAAGGAAGCAGACTTTTACGGTTTAAAGCCACTTTCATCGCCCAGTACATCTCTGGTCGGAGATGACTCCTCATCAGAGTCATTACAACCGGACATTGATAAGGTGTACCAAGCCTACAATGATGCTTTTCCTCCAACAACCTCAAAACCAACCCACACTCAATTCGTCGTATCATCCGCACTCTCCTATGCCAATGACCGAATCTTAACACCCGAAATCATGCGCACGCTAATCATCCTCTACATCGGCCCTCACAACCAGCCCAACTTCAACAAAGGCTACTTCCTCTCCCCCATCCTCGCAGCGGATTCCCTCCTCGCCCAGTTCCCAAGATCTACTTCCTAACCGGCGAGCGCAATCCACTGGTCGATGATATAATGACTTTTGCAGGACGTCTGCGCCAGGCGAAACTAAATCAGTTCCTGGACGCACAGGGGATGGGTCTTATCGATGAACGCAGGATATTCGACGAGAAACACCATATGGAGGTATTCTTGCTACCAGGTATCTCGCATGGATTCTTCCAAATGGTCAGCTTTTTCCCGGAGGGGTGGAGGTATTTTCATCGGAGTGTGGAGTGGATTAGGGAGATGTTCGAGGGGGGTGAGGTGGTTGATTGGAAGAGTGCTCTGGATGCAAAAACGCAGACAGCTGGATAATTATGGGAGAAAGATGCCGCTATTTCTATGCCGGCACGCAAGTGCAGCGTGGGCAGTTTGTGTAGCGAGGAGGATATTTTTGACCGAAGAATGAATGGATTGACTAGAGGATTGATGTACTGACGTACATCTGGACGTGAAGGGCTTTTTGGTATATTTGAATTCTTTTATTGTCAAGATACTTCATACGTTATTATCTATTAATCATCGTCTATGTCATACCCAAATATCATCGAATTGTTACTCAAGCCATCCATCAACCATCTCACAGGTAGACCTTAATTCCCCAATCAATTACCCACAAACCAATTCCCCACTGCAAAATCCCCCAACCCAACCCCCCTCCCCCACTCCCCAAGATCAAACCTCATCCGATACCAATTCGACAACTCCCTCCCATCCTTTGGCGCATACCTCTCCCCCGCAAACCCCTCCGGCTGCTCATATAGCAAAAACACATACCGATGCGGCGCGCTACCGGGTGGAGGGGCGGGTCCGATGTAGTTCGCGACGAAGGGGGCTGTTGGTTGCAGAGTTGAAGATGAGGATGAGGACGGCGAAGATGGAGAATATGGGGTCTGTTGGAGGCGGATGCCTGGCTGGATCCAGTGAAGGATTGGGCCGAGGATGGGGAGGGAGGGGAAGGGGGCGTCTATGTCGAGGGATATGGCTATGTAGGTTTTGTCGGTGGTGTTGGATGGGAGGGTGAGGTCGGGGGTGATTGGGCGTCTGGTCTTGTTAGCTTCTGTTTCTGGTATCGGTTCGAAGGAAAGATGACAATTTACCAGCTCTTGGGATGTATTGGCCCGGTTTAATGGTGTGAGATCCGATTTTGAGACCTAGGACTTTGGAGGAGTCGTTCTCGATTAGGGACAGGGCTTGTTCGATGGTGGTAATGGAAGACATCTTGGTCGGGATTATGCTGGCAGAGCTTTCCTTGGTATATTTTGATATTTTTATAGAAGGAGAGAAAAAGAGAGAAGTGGTGGGAGGGAATGAAAAGAGAGAGGTCCGGACATAATGTAGGTTTAAGCGGAGAGAAGGGTCTGTCTGTTCTTAAATCCGTTTTTTTGAGGCACATTGAATTGGTTGTCGGAAGATTACCTCAAATCGATGATAATAAGTAGCAGAAATCTTGACTTTTCTCAATGAATAACTACAATGCTGTGGAAGTAGTGCTGGTTTACAGTGCATAAACACACGCGGAAACGAGACCCTGTGACCAACATCACGACGTCGCTGTCACTGTGGCAGAGCAAGAATAAGTCGTAATCAACGTGCTCGTGATTGCGTACGAAGTACTCGCGGGTGTCGGATTCTGTATCCGGAACCAATTGACAGCCACCGGCTCATCCAACCCAGCATCCTTTACGAAATCCTCGAGATTGAACCTAAACCGGCCCTTAGTCGACTGGACAACACTATCCAGACAGGTGGAAAACGTGTGATTTGATGGCTGTTGGTAGAGAAGAGTGATATACTCGTGTGCTAGGCCTAGGAATGGTTGGGGGGGGGGGAGATGTAGGGTGCGACATTCATTGTAGACAAGAGAGAGGAGGTGGTGAGCGTGCCGGAAGGATTGAGGGTGAGATCCGGCTGGTACCATTGGAGGATGTTCATTTCGGTTCCGTTCAGGTTGAGGGAGTAGTCGATCATGATGACTGCGTATTTATGGTCTGGTGAAGAGGCATTAAAAAAAAAAAAAAAAGGGTTGGTGGGTTCATCGTAACTGGAGAATGTGTCAGTCTCTAACGATGGTAATCTAAGGTACTGGCTCGGCTAACTGTTCTTGGTAAGCTTGATTCCCGGTGGATACACAGGGACTTTGTTATTATACACGATGGATAGATCCTCCTGGGCCCTAGACGCAAACCCAGCGGGCGTGCTGGTGGCGCTGAGGCCGGTCAAGAGGACAATAACAGATGCACCGATCAGCATAACGATATTGAATCAAAAATTGAAATGTGGACTGTCGGCGGGTTTTTTTTTTTTTTTTTT